AAGCACTACCCATCATGCGTAGTGGGGTGGATAAATACAAAGGAGAGGGAAAAATTACGTCGATTTAACACATAATGAGTGATGAATGTCGTTATACATGGGAACGGAAAAGGTATTGGTGCGTTTTATTTCCCTTGCTGGTCTTGCCTTTTGTTGATTTTACGCTTGTTGGATGTCCTCTTGGTGAATGACTAGAAATGAACACCTAGGATTTTCTCCAAATACTAAAAAGGTGGAATATACCACCTGAAGTGCGGGTGTAGCTAAAGCTGTTTCACGTCATCAAGTCGGACATGCGTATTTATCAGCCACAGCATAAGGAGTACTGGGCTAGAAATTCAACGCTGCGTTTTCTTCTATTTTTGTACACTGCTTAAAGAATGGCTAAGGAACGACCATCATCCAAAGAGAGCGTGTCAGATCTATTTACAAACAGCACTAGTGTACGGTTGCAGTTTTTGTTTCTATGGTAGACAGCTAAGTGTCTTGACTCGACAAAGTCCTACTGCCTTAGCCATTTCTGAGCATAACAGAGGTTTTTCAAACGCTGATTATTTGAAGACAGGCTGGTGGATGTACTGCTGTGACTTGACTATTCAAGCTCTAACAAAAAAAAAAAAAAAAAAAAAAAAAACGCAGGTCTTTTTTTTTTTGTCTTTCCCCACCTTCTCCCACAATCTCGCAAGAAAAAGTGTAGGAAGTTTTCCGATGTCACGCTACCTTTGAAACCAGGTTAAACAGGTAATTATACAAGCATGGGGACTCGCTATTTTTTTTCTAATTTCGTTTTTAGCTTCCTAAAGTTTAAAACTTCTTGTATCGTTTATCAGGTATGTGGCCTTCACTCTGATTTATGTTTAGCCTGTTGATCATACTAGTGGATTAAAACCGTAATAATAAAACCAGCAATTTGATCTTGAGATCAGAAAACTTATAACTGCAACAGATGGTCAACAAACTCTCATGATAGTTACCATCACCTTTCGGAAAGGATCGCCAAACGATAGTTCGGAATTATAAGCAATTTCTGTGGGTTGTCTATAGGCGATCAAGATATTGATGAAATTTCATTGAGGATCATGAAAGAATTGAACCCTGATCTTCACTTTACGAGGTATTTATTTGCAACAAGAAGTACAATAGGTGTAATCGGACAAAGGAGAGCAAGAGAGATAAGATTAGAAAGTATTGGTGAGATCAAAAAAACAGCAAATCCACGAAAAGAAAAGCAGAAGGTGGATACGGTATCAAGTTAACACGAGAAGCATAACACGAGAGGGCAAATAAATACGACGCATAAAGAAAGAATATTTAGTGGATAAGGGTGTAATATACAAGGTAATAGAGGTATGTTTCGGCTTGATGATATGAGGATGACAAGAAAAAAGAAAATAAGGTGCTGAAAAGTAATGGAGGTGCCAATAAAAATAATATATATGACTACTGTAAACAGTTTGAGGGATTGATGCGGCAGAATATAAAAAGGATATTGGCCAAAATGGCGTAATCTCAAGAGTGTGAATTATGTTAAAAGTTTCCTCACAGGGTGTACTGTAAAAAAATGGCAACAGATGTAAATCTGTACATAAAAAACAAAGATTTTGTTTGTTTTCTTTTCTCTGTTTGCTTAACTTAAACTGTGCTTGAGGCGAAAGGGGGATCTTTCAATTGAAAGCACAAAAGTTCTAATAACGTAAGGTTATGACAGTTGCTGTTCTTAATACAAGTAACTTTGACAAGAGGTCAGGAAGCATAGTGGTAAAAATAGTTAGGGCATTTAATAGCGCCTACATAAGGCTTTACGATATGGTGATTGTTTTCGTATTTCTGTAAGTTTCTTTTCTTTTTATAGAATTTCCCTTCGCCAATGACTGACCAATGTTAAGGTCAGGTTTTGAAGTTTTCCGAAGACTTTCTATGCTGAGCACACTGAGTCTCTTCTAAAAACGGCTGGGAAAAAATTGTTTTGAACGTCATTTTAACTGGTGTTGTTATCCTTATTGCAGTAAGAGTAAAAAAAAAAGGGGTGTTTCGCTAAGCAAACAGTGGGCTTATTTTACGCCCTCCCTTCGGGGATATGTTGTGCCGGAGCTTACACCTTAGATACAGTCAAGTGAGCGTAGTCACAGCCTAGGATCGGAAACCTATTGGCTGTTCCTAAGAGATCACATGCTGTAGTGGCTGTCCCTTAATTGCCTTACACTCTGTAAAAATAAAACAAACTCTTTTCTCTAGAAAGCAAAATAAATATTGAAACTTTTGAAAGTGTCTGCTCTTTTGCCAACATGAACACCCAATACCACCAAAGAAATTAATACCAATTTTACTAAAAACTTTCCCTCTCGAAAACAAGTTTGGGACACTAATTGTCAACGTCAAAAGGACAATTGCAAATATAATTGCCCTTATTATATTAAAGTAAGAACCTCCAAAAATGAGGGGGGGGGGGTTCTCATACTCAATCTATCGAGAATGAACCTTTACGAGTTCAGTACAGAAAATATTATATTTGGCAGTAATGGAAACAAAAAAAGCTCGCGTCTGACTATGCTACAGGGCATTGCAAGTATCACAAAACCCAAGAATAGAGCGTTCCTTTTTTTCTTTTCTCTCTCAGTAGCTAAATTCTCAAGACTACTCACGGGTTTAGAAAAAGAATACACCCGGTTTTTTCTTTTATGAAGCAATCAACCATCAAGTTCTCATGGTAACCGCACTGGAAAGCAATCGATCAAGGTTAAGCCTAGTGACAGCCATGAATTATAGAGAAACATAATATTCAAATATAAACAAGGTTCGATTGTTTGCTGTTGAAGTTTTAAAAAAAAGGAAACCCAATTCGGCTGTATTTTATGTAGCTGCTACAATGATCAAGGACGCAAAAAACAAGAGGACTTTAAAGACCCTGTTTTTCTCTCTTGATAATCAGACTGATAGTACCGTAAAGAAAAAAGAAGAAAAAAAAAGCTTGATTTACAAAGGACAAGATAGACGATGTAAAGGCAACGACACTCTCTTTCCCCCCAGTATTTATACACATAATAAACTCTGTATTCGGTGATGAATACATGTGTCAAATGAAATGAATTCCTAACATTGTCACGAATGATTCTTCTTTTTTGTGTGATACACAAATTGGTTTACATCGGATAGTTTGACTATTAACATCCTTGTAGTTCTTTTATGTTAATTTACCATTCTCATATACTACTTCACCACCAAATACTCGTGTATATTTTCCTTTTCCCCTATCCACTAAATTGAAAGCACTGCCCATCATGCGTAGTGGGGTGGTTCAATACAAAAGAGAGGGAAAAATTGTGTCGATTCAATACATAATGGTGAAAGTCGCTGTCTGTGGAAACGGAAAAGATATTGGAGCGTTTTATTTCCCTTGTTGGTTTTGCCTTTTGTTAGACTTACGCTTGTTGAATGTCTTCTTGGTGAAAGAATAAAAATAAGCACCTAAAAATTTCTCGAAAAACTGAAAAGGTGGAATGTACGACGTGAGGTGTAGCTGGAGCCATTTCACGTCATCAAGTCGGACATGCGTATTTATCGGCCACAGCATATTAAGGCTAGAAATTGAACGTTGCGTTTCCTTCTATTTTTGTACACTGCGCAAAAAACGGTTAACGAATGACCATCACCCCAAGAGGGCGTACCAGATCTTTTTACGAACAGCATTAGTGTACGTTTGCAGTTTTCGTTTCTATAATAGACAGCCAGGTGTCTTAACGCGGCAAAGTCGTTCTGCTTTAGACATTTCTGGGTGTAACAAAGATTTTTCAACAGCTGAAAAAAAACATAAAAAAAACCGCACCTCTTTTTTTTTTTTCTCCCCACAATCTCGCAAGAAAAAGTGTAGGAAGCTTTCCATTTTTATGCCACCTTTAAAACCAGGTTAAACAGGTAATTATACAGGCATGAGGGCTCGCTTTTATTTTTGTTTTAATTTTGCTTTTAGCTTTCCAGTTTGAAACATGTTATACCGTTTATCAGGTATTTGACCTTCATTTTAATAAATGTTTGGCCTGCTGATTTAGACTAGTGGATTAACAACGTGATAATAAAATCAGCAACTGGAAATCGAGATTAGGAAACTTATAACTGCAACAGACGGCCGACAAATTTTCATGATAGATACCATCATCTTTGGGAAAGGAACGCCAAACGACAGTTTGGAATTATAGGCAATTGCTGTAGGGTGTCTATAGACGATAAAGATAATGATAAAATGTTGTTGAGGATTATGAAAGAATTGAATGCTGAACTTCACTTTACGAGGTTTTTATTTGCAACAAGAAGTACAATAGGTGTAATCGGACAAACGAGAGCCAGAGAGACAAGATCAGAAAGTACTGGTGAGATCAAAAATACAGCAAATCCACGAAAAGAAAAAAGAAGGTGGATACGAGATCAAGCATAACATGCGAAGTATGACGCGAGATGGGAGATCATCACGACGCATAAGGAATACTTTGTGGATAAGAGTGTAATATACAAGAAAATAGAGGTATGTTTCGGCTTGATGATATGAGGAGAACAAGAAGTAAGAAAATAAGGTGTTGAAAAAGTATTTGGGGTACCGATAAAAATTAAGAGGTATGGATACTGTAAATCTATTTCAAAATGTTTGAGGGATTGATGCGGCAGAATATAAAAAGGATATTGGCCAAAATGGCGTAATCTCGAGAGTGTGAATTATGTTAAAAATTTCCTCACAGGGTGTGCTGTAAAAAAATGGCAACAAATGTAAATCGGTACATAAAGAACGAAGAATTTGTTTGTTTTCTTTTTTCTGTTTGGTTAACTTAAACTGTGCTTGAGGCGGGAGGGGGATCTTTCAATTGAAAGCACAAAAGCTCTAATAGCTTAATGTTATGACAGTTGCTGTTCTTAATACAAGCAATTTTGACAGGAGGTCAGCAAGCATATTGGTAAAAAAAGTTAGGGTATTTAATAGCGCCTACATAAGGCCTTACGATATGGTGATTGTTTTCGTATTCTGTAGGTTTCTTTTCTTTTTATAGAATTTCCCTCCGTCAATGACCAACCAATGTTAAGGTCAAGGTTTTGCAGCTTTCCGTAGACTTTTTATGATGAACACACTGAGTCTCTCCTAAAAACGGCTGGGAAAAGTTTGCTTTAAACGTCATATTTAGTTGATGTTGTTATCCTCTAGCAAGAGTAAAAAAAAAGATGTTTCGCAAAGTAAACAGTGAGCTTATTTTACGCCCTCCCTCCGGGGAGATGTTGTGTGTAGTCACAGCCTAGGATCGAAAACCTATTGGCTGTTCCTAAGAGATCACATGCTGTAGTGGCTGTCCCTTAATTGCCTTACATTCTGTAAATAAATATTGAAACTTTTGAAAGTGTCTGCTCTTTTGCCAACATTAACACCCAATACCACCAAAAAAATCAATAGCAATTTTATTATAAACTTTGCCCTCAAAAACAACTTTGAGACACTAATTGTCAACATCAAAAGGACAATTGCAAATATAATTGTCCTTATTATATTAAAGTAAGAACCACCAAAAATGGAGGGGGGGTTCTCATGCTCAACCTATCGAGAATGAACGTTTACGAGCTCAGTACAGAAAATATTTTTTTGAGGAGTAATGGAAACAAAAAAAAGCACGCGTCTGACTATGTTACAGGGCATTGAGCAGGAAATTAAAAGTATCGCAAAACCCAAAAGAACAAAACTTTGGGGTAGGGGTTTCATGAGCCTGATAAAATAGATTTAAATAACTCAGCTCAGCTATGCATGGCTGACACAATCCGACAGGTAGCATATAAGAAATTTATATTTGGTATATTTCCAGTGCGTGTAACAGGGCCTCTTGAAAAAATCCAACTCTTTGGGATAGCCAAAAGGTACCCGATCCTAAATGACCCAGAAATTCAAAAGTGGCTGTATGTGGAAATCGATAAAATAAAAGGGGGTCTTTAGATGCACATAATTTCAGACATTAATAACAGACAGGCTGATGACGATTGTGGGTAGATTTATCCAAATAATACTCGGATGTAATGATCCCGTATAGAAAGGCCATAATGAGATTTCAATAACAATAACAATAACATTCATTCTTAAACTGTGTATGTCTTGTAGCACAACATTCAGGGGAAATTGTAGTTCTTATTTAAGATAGCTGTCGCACCTCATTGTGGCTAATGTAACCTTCACATGTTTTCATATTAATGTTATTTTTTAAATGAGTATGCCTTATACTTGTATGAAGGATGATATGAGATCAAGCCTGTACATAAAGTAAATGATCAGTATTTAATATAAAGTATCGATAAGAGTTTTATTTAGGGTTATCAAATGGAAGTTTAGGAAGTGTAGATAGAGCCATATATTAAGTACATAGCCTCAATCACGACATGTACCTGCATCTCTCATTGTGCTTTTTTTTTCTTTTTTAGTATTTTGGGTCTGTGATGAACGGTCTGATGTAAATGATGAACTTATTTTAAAGGGTGAAATAGTCACTTTACCTTCATACAGCTAGTCATGAAAAGAGTGTCTGAGTACTCATGCTAAAAAAGCTATTGGTGGTCTAATAGAAAACATTATTTACTAATAACGCATTTGTATATGCGCATAAAAAAAAAAGTAAGTGCTTATAAGATTGGTAACAAGCTCAAGAGATTTGTTCAACGAGTAAAGTCTTGCTTATTTAGGAGATATTAGTTACGCAACCCAGCCTTTTCATGCTTGAAAATTGTACTCAGATCTTTTACTCTTTACTGCCCTTCTTGTAGTTGTAACCCAGCCTTTTTCTGCCCCCCCCCCACTCCCCTCAGATTTTTTTTTATTCCTTACTGTCCTTCTTTTTATTGCAATCCAGCCTTTTCCCGGTCCCCAGATTTTTTTACTCTTTTGAGAGTCGCGTATTGAGCGAGGGAATGCAGTTTGCCCAGTCGGGTGGCTTGACATGACTTTTAAAATTTGAATAGCCTCAGGCAGACAAAATTTATTTTGTCAACTACTTACTTCCCTGCGTGTTTGTTATTTCCCTAATTTTCTGCACAGTGTAGCTTTTTTTTATGAGAGCATATCCAATACATATAGCCTATTGCTGTATGAGGTTTGCTATTATATATGGCTTTTTTATAGACATATACGTCTCTTTTCATGACTAGTCATTATGAAGGTAAAGTCACCTAAAGATAAACCCAGTACAATCCACATTACCAGCATTTTTACACTTTGTCAAAAGATAACCTGTCATGTATACAGTGAAAAAAGGGGGGGGGGCGAAATTATCAATATAAATGAATTATTCAATCTGCTTTGTTTTTAAATTTTTCACTTCAAATATTGAACCACCGTGCGTATGTTTATAAAATAAGTGCGAAGTAAAAGGATCAAAAAAATAAAAGGCCGACAAGTACATGTGAAGTGATGGAAATGGTCTGGTGCTATGCTACATCATCCATGTATCAAAATGATACTGGATCTATGTATACGAAATCAACAAGTATACTATGTAATAACTTTTGCTTATTTAATACACATGTAAGAAGGACAGTAAGAAATAAAAAATCTGAGTACACTCTTTGGGGGAGAGCCATTTTACTCTTTTTAAAAAAGTGCGAGTAAATTATTTTTATATGAACAGGCATTAATTATTCTCTATAAGAGAAAAACGATCAGATAAAAAGCACTGCTTTGTATGAATTATCTAGCATTTATAGCATGGTAAAAGGTAAGGAGAAAGAACAAAGGAAGGCTATCATGCTGGGAGAATAGAGATTATATTATACTCAAAGATACATCTGACATTAGGGTCCCCGAGCATTTTTGTATGGGGAGCTTTGATTGTGCTCACTTCATATAGTATGCAGCATATTTTTACTGTTATGAATTAAATAACAACCTATAGAAAGAGCATCCCCATCATCATCATGGGTGCTCCTTTATTTATCTTGCCCCAATTCAACATCAAACTATCGTACTTGTATCGAGTTCCAAAAATAACCTTTTTTTTTAACCCCCAAGAGAAAAAGAATCGTTTCGTTAATGACAGATGTTTTTTGTTGATGAGACAACTATTCATTTTCGTCTCTTTTTTTTTTCATTGTCACGTCGCTTCCATCCATGAACACAATTGTCCTCGAATGATGGAGGTATTTTTCTTTTATAACGTTTGTTCCGAATTATCGCACACACAAAAACAGTTATTTCAGCACAAACTCTACTAGAAATAGAAAACGATGAGAGCTTTGGTTTTGGTGCCTACCCATCAAGGCTTTTTTTTTTTTTTTTTTTTTTTTTTCTGAATGAACAACAGTAGAGACGCTTGTGCTGTAAGTCTTGTTTTTTTTTCGCTTATACCTTACTTTGAGGTGTTTTAAATTGTATGTTAATGAGTTATTTTTCATTGATTTAAGAAAAAAGAAAAAGGATTTATGACAAACTTATTCTTTTGGAGTATCTAGTAACTATGAGTGTTATGATATTATGTACCCGTCGATCAAGAATTGTTGTATACACAAATATCCCGAAGTGTATACAAGCACTATTCTGTGAGTTACATACTTTAGCGAAGAGATCTCGAAATAGCTATTTTGTGTCACCTCACGTACACGCAACATCTGCATTAAAAAATGATAAAAAACAACTTTCAAATAATACCACAGCTTACATTGCACGCATGGTCCACACATGCTTACTGCAATATGTTCACATTATAAATCATTCTCTCAGCCTGCTCTATTAATTGACAAGTACCGAAAGGTCTTTGTCAATTCCTATATAAAACATCCTCTAATTCAATAATAAAACGATATTCAATTTACCCAGTCTCACAATTACCTTTTTCTTTATCTTATAAACTGTCTATCTTGTTCGATAGAACAAAGATTTAACGGTCTACACTATAATTCGTATGGTACGCTATCAGCATTATCGCCTCCATTGGTTGGCAGCTTACGCCCGTCAAGATTAATAGTAGAAATTGCTGAAAATATTTTGGGTTGTAGGATCACTCACTGGCTCAACCCATTTTTTAAGAAAAAAATAAAAAATTTACAACGAGAACTGGACAGATTTTTTTTTATATCTATTTTTTATCTAAAATCTATTCTAATGTCGCTCTTCACCAGTTGGGTTAGTTACCATGTTCATTCTTAAGCCATTTTAACAAGTGCATTATCGGGTATTGGATTTAACTTCTCGTAAAAATCCATACCAACGGTTTTCCTTTTCCAGTGTCAATACATCTGGCTACAATTATGCATAACGAGCTGTACTTGTTATCTTGACAGGTACATGTGTTGTGGGTTGAATCCAAGGAGAGCATATCACCATCGCGCTCCAAAAGCTGAAAATATCAATAATAAAGAGAGGGGATTTTTTTCAAACAAAAATTTTAATCAATGACTTGGTATACTTATTTTCAGCTGCCACTCTGACATGAATGAAACCATGATTTAATGTCTTTTTGTATACATCCAGAGTTTTAGAAATAAAAAACCCTGTACCTTCGTTGGTTGTGATCTTGGTGGACCAAAGGTCCATACTTTTAGCGTTGTCCTGGCTCAACATAGCTCTTTTCCCGATGGTTTTCTTCATGGCATAGTGTACTTAGGAATACTTTGACACCCTAAAATAAATCAGCGATCAAAATGTTTTTTTTGATCGCAGATCGCAAAGCCAAATTTTCAAATCTCTATAAAAACAACATATACATAAATAAATAGATGTAGCAATACCATGTCAATAGATAAACGTGATTTTTTAAAGAAAAAAAATGTTTATGGGGATGATAGCCAGGGTAAGAAAAAGACAACTTCAGATTACGTAAGTAAAATGAGAAAAGGGGACACGTGACTGTGGGTTTTAATGATTTTCCAACACTGCTGGTAATACTACTCTTATCGACTTTGAAAGCCTTACCAGTTTTTATTAGATATTTGTTGTTAGACCTGTCGACCGCATTCACCAACCCAATAGTAGACACAAGGTTCTTTGCATCAAAGACGACAATTTTTTTTTTGCTCTGCCTCATCATGCGCGGGATGGCCTTTGAATAAGGGGAAACGTCATGATTCTTTATAAGTTCACCAAAAACGAAGTTCGAGCCTGGAGTACTTTCTTGATATGTAAAGTCAAAAAAGAACAAGCGTTTACGCACGTACCAGTTTTCAACAGGCCGAGACATCCAAATTACTTTAAGTGAGCACACATGAATTTAGATTTGCAAAAAAAAAAAAAAATAGGAGAGTGCCTTGAATCTGTCATTTACAAGACTGATGAATCAGTTGCTGTAGAAAATAATCAACCCGTACGGCGTTGCCACACAAAAGGAATTGAGTCTGAATTTTTTTTTTCTTATTTAAACAAACTTTGTTTTTTAAACCTTTTTATTCTTATTCTTTTTCCACTTTTCTTTTTCTTACAGGTTAATGTATGTATATGCGAATAGTTAATGGTATTTGATTCATCATAATCATTCTTAAATTAATTTAGATTTAGTTATGTGACTAATAATAAACGTGTTACAACTTTCTAATAGGATCACACCAATGCTCTTTGCTCGGTAAGGAACTCTAACTACTTTCTTATATCTATTAGCGCATTTTTATAGCTAAAGGAATCAATACATTGATTACTTGTGGAAAGTTAAATAACTTGATACTGGTATACTTGTTTATTATTAAGTTAACCCAATTTTTTAAAGCTGATTGATATTACTATTTATTTGAGGCTCGTACATCCGACTGTTTTGTAAAGGTACATATTGCTAAACATGATAATTTATTCTCTTATTAACATAAACCATCTTTATGCAGGTAAGTGATACTGCTATTCGTCTGAGGTCTTCGTATGGTCACTATCGTAGTTCCTCTCATTATATCTGTCTCTGGTCATATTTCACTGGTCATTTTCCATATTTGAAGAGGTCCATCATGATCAGATTTGACGTTATTTAGTTTTTTTTATAAATAAAATTTTGTTTTTCCCAATATATATAAACGTATCAATTTCAAGCCTGCATACTGATTTAGCAGGAGTGTAAAAGTAATATTATATCGATTATCGATTACCCCATTTTTTTTTACCCCATCCAACGATATTTTGTTTTTGATTTAAGGATCGATATTGCCAATAAAGATATTTTAGAAAATTTGATCGATATTGCCAATCGCGATATTTTGGAAAATTTGATCGATATCGCCAATCGCGATATTTTTAAAAAAAAGATCGTTATTTCCGCTCTAATTTGTTTCAATTTTTGATCGCTGATTTATTTTAGGGTGTTGATCCCATTAAAATATGGAGGTTTTCATGGCTGTTTTCATTCAGCATCTTCATCATGGCGGTCTTACCTAATTGGAGTATACCCTTAATGTCAGACCAAATCATGTTTTTTTTCAACTTGTTCCATAACAAAATCGGATATGATTCTATTAGAAGGGCTAGTACGCAAATCTTGGAGGCTTCGAGGTGAATGTCCAACATGTTTTTAATGGTAGTCTACGGAAATCATACCCGTATTTTTAGCATTTTCTTAGCTGTAGCCTTTTTTTTTTTTTTTTTTTTTTTTTTTTAGCAAGACATCCTCAAAAAATTGAATTTTGAACTGATCAGGTATTTTGTTTGCGGCTACCATTGCAGTTGAAAATCTGTGAAAACAATTTTTGATATGCATAAAACTTGTTTACATTTTAAAACACACATATATCTATTTACCTGCTGAAGAGTACTTTAAGTTTATATCATCTTATTTATTTGACATCTAGAATTTCCGAAACCATTTGATTATTTATGGAGCTATTATTTCTTTGCGGCGGTCACCAGCAGATGAAGTTCTGTCAATAAAACTGCAAAGAAAATCCTCTTTTTTGTTGTGCTATCCAGCTTTCGAATTCATTTTTAGTTACGGTCAATTTGATAAAATCCAATTCAAAGATTACAGATTTAGTATTAGAAGTAAGAGCCTCCTTCAAAAGATTAAGTAAAGATCCCGTATTATTTGTGTTCGTTTTTTTAAGATAACAAAATTTCAATCAGTTGCAAGAAGAAATTCTATAACTACTTTGCCAACTGGTAATCTGCGTTCTGTTATCACACGGTCTTTTTTTTTTTAAAAAAAAAAGCACAACTTTTTTAGTTTAGCCTAATATTCCGCAACAATAAACTTTTTCAAGTAAAAAGCACGAGCTGAGTGACGATACGTATACGTAAGTTTCTTGACTCCGAGTCATGTGGAATGTTTGGATATCTTTCCATCAAGATTTTTATTGAAGAAGTGTGCTTTCTTATTAATGATAAATATATAAATATGTGAGAAAAGCTAGCTTCAAATTTGCCTCATCTCCATTTCTTTATGCTTTTCGTGCCACGGTACCTCTATTCGTTTGCTATGACGATGAGAATCGGTGTTTGAAACACACCGAATTTATAAAGCAAAAAGGTTTTTTTGGTTGTCTATTTTTTTTTTTTTTTTGGTTTTATAAAGAAAATACAATCAAATGTCAGTTCCTAATCTACCACCTCGTGCCATGGCATCGACACACACCCCACCCACTTCTATCGAGAGCAATACACTTTCTCCTCTCGCACTTCTTGTCCGTTTAGAAACCACGACTGACCATCAACACGTCTTTAAAAGTTGTATTCGGGGGGATGCCACCAAAGATCAGGAAGAACAAGTACTCCAGACCGTCGATGAACAAGATTTAGAAACAATGCCGTTGGATGACATCACTACTTTGTCTCAATACATTTGTCAATCGTGTCATGCTTGGCTTTATGTCAGCCATAGTTTACCCGAAGCGTCCTTCTGTACTGGAACGGATTACGCTTGTCATCACTATCATGTGCAAGGATTAGATACTTATGCTTGCTGTGGATGTGCGTATGCGTTGGCAACCGAGATACGTGATCCGGTTTTGCCCATTGCGATATTGAACCGACTCAGCGCCACACGAGCCCAAGCGAGGACGTTTGCCGATCAGATGCAAAACAAGGAACATACACCCACCATGGCGAGTACATTGACAACCGTGCTTGTGTACATTAAGGATTTATTAACCGGAGCTTCAAGAAATATCAATACCCATAATCCTCATTTTTTGGCCCGAATTGGATTAAGTGACGGAAGGCAAGAGTCTTACCCCAAAAAAAAAAAAAAGATTTTCCCCCACTAACTAAAATAAAAATATAGTCAAGCGTTATTGGAAACGATTGGATTTAGGATGGAAGAGAACTATTTTATTGCACCCGAGATTAAATCTGGATCGACTGAAGAGGAACGTTTAAAACAGATTCAACAAGAGATTGTGCTCGTCATGGATGCGCTTCGATCCGAATTGGGAGCCACTTCGATTCCAGTGAATAAAGCAGAGGCAGAGATTAGATTCAAGACGGCGGATATGGCCACGTTGTTAGGGATCATACCTACCTTGGAAAACCGATACAAGAGTAGCGACGGGTATCTTGTCGGAGCCTATGAGAAATTAGGTTTGACATCAGGCGCTTCGGATACGCTTGTGAAATGGACTTATCACAAGGTGATGGAGGAGTACGCAGTAGACCCCTATGACGCCTTGGATGCCTTAATGGTCATAGCACAAGCGACCAAATCAGACCTCTTACAGACATTGATTGCTTGTGAACGTAGCCAAGGAAAGATTGCTAGATCGGATATCGGGGATGCTTATGCCTACTTTGGTGTAACCGATGATGTCGCCGATGACCGATTATTGATTGGATTATATCAAGTTAAATTATCGGATGAACCTTTGGAGAAGAATCTACATCAGGAGAAATTAAAGACTATTGCCATTGCTAGAGGGAGTTCCGAATTGATCAACTTTTTGAAGGAGGAAAGAGGTATTACGTCTGCAACAAATCTTCAATCTGTGGAGGATATGATGGGCGGTAAAAGAAGCAGTTTTTGAATAACATTGAATATGAATTACTTACGTCTATTCTATCTCTAGTGCCAGCTCATATGATAAATAATGTTCGACATTCGTAAGTACTCTTTTATTTTACATATTTTTTTTTTTTTTTCAAAATGTATCGTGTTTTTTCCATCTTCTTTTACTTATCAATTATGCGTTTCGTTATATCTACTTTTGGAAAAAGACCCGTCGGCTTAAACAATATTGGCAATACATGTTACTTCAATAGTGTTTTACAAGTAAGCAGAACCCCAATCATTTTCCTCTTCTTTACAAAACTCATATGTGTATAGTACTATTTTACCATTTTACCTTTTCGGAACGCCATGATTGAAAATGAACTTTATGTTGAAGATGGTACAAGTGAACTTAAGAAAATTGGTGGTATTGAAGTGGACCGCTCTGAAGTTCGACGAGCCAAGAAATGTAAGTTTTTTCGGTTGTTGTGGTTTCCTTAACAAAGACTGATTTCTATTAGTTGTTGAATTGCTCAAGGAGTTGTTTATAAAGTTACAAGAGACTCATGAACGTGCTATCTCGCCCGAATATGAATTAGCTTACATGGCCTTGTTAAACGAAAAAGATGAGGATAGTACTGAAGTGGAAGAAAAAAAAGACGAGGATACATTACCTGATTTAAAAAAGGAAGATGAGTTAAATAAGGATCTTGATGGTGAATCAAACAAAGAGAAGGAGGGGGAGGAGGAGGCGCTTATTGATTTAAAAAATAATGACACACTGGATGAATTAAAGGAGGACATGTTGATGGATCCTATTGATGAGGATGTACCACCACCACCACCACCTGTTGAAACACCTGGTACAGATTCCGATATTGAAAGTGCGTTTAGACGTACGTCCTTCACCTTGGAGATTCCACCTCCCATCGATTCACCGCCTAAATATAGTGACATCGTGACTGATAGTGAAGCGATTCCTTCCCTGGACGAAAAAGTCTTGCCTGAGGCTGTTGAACCCGAAGTTTCTAAAGTAAAGGAAAGACCTAGTGCAGATACCATGATGTTTGGCAAGCAACAAGATGTGACAGGTATAAAGTGAAAATACATCCCATTGTTTTCTAGTCCGTACTAAGAAATGAGTGACATATTTATAGAATGTATGGGGAATGTTATGTACCTCGTGGAGGCTGCTTTAAAACCTTTAGAGACAACAGAAGACGGAGAACAAATTGATGATATGATTCGACAGGTGTTTTATGGAAAAGCTCGTCAGATTTTATCGTACTGTGATAATAAAACATTGGAAAACGTCAAGAAGGAAATGGAAGAAGATTTTTCTCATGTGATTGTGGATGCATCAGAGGGCAAAGATTTGTATGATGGATTGGATGAATACTTTTTTGCAGATAAAGTGGAGGAGTTCCAAGGCGGATATGAAGCTACACGTGAAGTAACTGTCAAGTCCTTTCCACCTGTACTTCAGATTTTGGTGCAGGTAAAAAAATAAATAAAAAGAAACACGAAAACTTACAAGGGAAACTCACTTTTATTTATTCATAGCGTGTACAATTTGACCGTGCCACAGCCAATGTGTATAAATCAAACGCGTTTATTCAATTTGATAAAGTGATTTATCTGGATCGTTATCTGGACGCTAATTTTGAAGCCTTGAGAGAAAGAAGGTCTGAAGTAGCCATTTGGCGATCTGAACTTGAAAAGAATAAGAAGCAAGTTTCCAAGTTCACAAAGTCCAAGGTATAAACACACCCCATACAAAGGGAATTAAAAGACTAATATAATGAAACAGAAACTTGGTATCCCTGTTCCCGATTTACTGGATGAAACACGTAAAATGTTAAACGAGTTCAAGTTGGATGCACTCTCAGAGGAAGAACAAAGTCAGTTTGATAAGAGTATAAGGTTATTAGAAAAAGAAGCGGAGGAGAAACGACAATTGATACAGGCTGGGACAGAAGCAATTGAACAATTCAGGACGAGTATTCGACATCAATACGATGATTATAAACAACTGGCCTATAAACTTCATGCAGTTTTTATGCATCAGGGTCAAGCAAATTATGGTCATTATTGGATTTATATTCTGGATCATGATGAAAACCAATGGTGGAAATACAATGATTCTATGGTCTCCAAAGTCAATGAATCGGAAATCTATCATAATACCACCGGTGCTACTGCTAACCCTTATTTTTTGGTTTATGTCGATGCAAACAAGGTCAATGAATTCGTTGAAACCATAGTGAAAAATACACCAACCGCATAAACATAGGAGATTTAAATAATTTTTTTTTTCGAACATAAATAGCTTTTTTATTTTTATTTTCTTTTCCCTCTTTTTCTTTTTCTCTCTCCTTTAATGAATAATCAATCACCTCCTCAACTTCCTCCTGGGTGGTAAGCAACTTTTATTTTCGTTGTTTACTTTTTATTAAGCTATGAATATGAAGGATCGCGCTCTGGGATGAATCAGCACAACGCTATTATTACGTAGAACAAGCAACAGGTACAACACAATGGGAAGTACCCACCGCACCTTCCAATGCTGCACAAGCAGGTGTTGGTAGTCGTGGGGAAGCATCGAGTTACAGTCTTCCACAGGCACAAAATAACATTAGCTATCCACAAGGAAGTGGTGGCTATCCACAAGCTGGGGGATATCCACAGGAACAACAACAAGGATATCCACAACAATCCCCAGGATATCCACAACAACAACAATCTCCAGGATATCCACAACAACAGCAATCTCCAGGATATCCACAACAACAGCAGCAAGGATATCCTCAAAGCGAGAGTAGTAGTTATCAACAACAGAGTCCTCAAGTAGGAGCAGGCAGTAGTAACTATTCACAAAGCCCTGGCTATCCTGGTCAACCTGACTATCCTAACAATGGACAACCTGCTGACGGACCTGATGGAGAACGTGGCATGGGAAAGATGCTTTCCGGTAAGAGACTTATAATGAAATGTAAGAGAAAGGAAAACTCAATTGGGTTTGTTGCATGATTTAGGATTTGGAGGTGGTGCTATTACTGGTACTTTAATAGGGTAAGTTCGTTTTTGTGGCCAAGTTAAAAGAGTGGGGGTTTTTTTAAAAAGTCTTTTTTTTTATTGGGCAGACTTGCAGCAGGTAAACTTCTTGGCAATAATAATCATCATCAGCAAGGCGGAGTAAGTTGTTTTTTTATATCTTTCTAGAGAGTGCGCGAGATATTTATAAATTCGCATGTAGGGATTTCCGCAGTTTGGTAATTTCGGAGCTCAGCAAGGTTATTATCCACCTCCTCCTCCTCCTCAGGGCTACGGTAAGATAGAAACATAACGGGAGGGCTAAGTATATAACATAAAAAACTGAATTTTGTCTTGTTTAATCATGTTAGGTAAACCTCCCAAGAAACATCATTTCTGGTAGCTTCAACTGTACAAACAATAAAAAAGAATATTTTTCTAAAAAAAAAAAAAAAACTCCGGTGTAAAGAGAGAGTGAGAGAGTGAGAGTGAGAGAGAGCTGACGTGCAAACAGTCCCCCGGACAAAATGTTATGGGGAGGGGGGGAATTAAAAAAAAAAAGGCTTAATCTTTTTTCTTTCGTTATTTCTACATAATAAAATGGCTCAACAAGCAAAGCAAGCCGCCCAAAAGTTAGGAGGTATGTTTCCTCAAGGTGCCGGTAAAGGTCTCGGTGGTGCTGTAGGTGCCATTGCTATCCTTGGTGCTTTAGGTTATGGTGTCAATGCTTCTCTTTTCAACGGTAAGCTTCACAATTTAAATATTCCGGGGTATTGTAATGGGCTCAATCTGACATGAGACACATTCTTTAGTTGACGGTGGTCATAGAGCTATCAAGTACACCCGTCTCTTTGGTGTCCAAGATACTGTTTACAACGAAGGTACTCATTTCATGATTCCCTGGTTCGAGACCCCCGTCGTTTATGATGTCCGTGCAAAGCCTCGTAACGTTGCTTCCTTAACCGGTACCAAAGGTAATATAATCGCTTGTCTTTAACAAAGTGTTATGTGTGTGTGTGTGTGTGTGTGTGTGTGTGTGCGTACGTGCTAAAAGAATAAGCATGCTAGATTTGCAAATGGTCAACATTACCTGTCGTGTACTTTCAAAGCCTCGCGTTGATCAACTCGCCACTGTGTACCGTACATTGGGCCAAGATTACGATGAACGTATTTTACCTTCTGTCGTGAACGAAGTGCTCAAGTCTGTTGTTGCACAATTCACTGCCTCTCAATTGATTACACAACGTGAGCGTGTCTCTCGTCTTGTTCGTGAGAACTTGGTTCGTCGTGCCTTGCGATTCAACATTATTTTGGACGATGTCTCTATTACTCACGTTGGTTTCTCACCCGTGTTCGAAAGTGCTGTTGAAGCTAAACAAATTGCTCAACAAGATGCTCAACGTGCAGCATTCATTGTCGATAAGGCTCGTCAAGAAAAGCAATCCATTATCGTCCGTGCTGAAGGTGAGGCCAAATCCGCTACCTTGATTGGTGAGGCCATCGAGAACAAGCCTGGTTTCCTCGAGTTGAAGCGTATTGAGGCTGCTCGTGAAATCGCCGCTGTTATTGCTCGTTCTGGTAACAAGGTGATGCTTGATTCAGATACCTTGTTACTTAATGTCAACACACCAAAGCAAAACTAAAAGAAGTCGAATTAGAAGATCCCAATTTATACATACAAACTCACATACACGGAAATAAACACTTGTAAAAAAAAAAAAAAAAAAAAAAAAAAATAGAGAGCGGCAAGGTGAATGGATATGGTTGCCACACATACGCGCCCTACGCATATTACACACACGCACACACAACAGAGCAGCTGGAAGTATCATCTTTCTATCTAATATCTTACTCCCGGAATGGAGAAAGCGCATGATAGTGCATGTGACAGTTTCTTTCTATTTCTCAAAGGACCTACCTCATTTTCTTAAAAAGTGATCGGATTTATCTTCAAAAAAGGGTGATAAATTTCCCAGGAAACTTATCTCACCTGGTAAAATTGGATCCGTTCTACATGCATCTTCTACCACCTTTAAGTGAGGTTTTTATACATGTAAAAAAAGTTGCCAATTTTTATTGTGTGGACATCGGGTATGCTGTCGTTTCCATGGTGACGGACAACCAATAAGCAAAGAGGGTGGGGGAGGGTAGCGTTTCAATGGCAACCTTTATTTATTAACCTCTTACACTTTCCAGCTGTCAAGATTAGTTTACTGGTTTTTTTTTAAAAAAATAATACAAAAGGCACTAAAAAGATCCTTTTCTTTCATTCATGCCAGTTTGTTCGTCATCCAATATACCCAAAAGGGTCGAGACAAGACACTTTCATGTGCTTTTATATGTAGTTGTCATGTTTTAGTATTTGCTTATGTAGGCCGGAGCAAGTGGTTTTTTTTATATCTGTAATTTGAGAATGATAAACAAGGACTGTATATCAACAATGTCAAATGAAATCATTCCAGAATACGCGTCATGTAAACGTGCCAATGGATTTCAATGTAAGGTCTCCCTCAATGATTATTGAAGCAATACGTTTTTCATGCTCATAATAGGTCATTAACACATTCCCATATATAGTACAGATGTGAGTAGAGAAGAAGGAAAAAAGTGATGTCAGATTTAATATTGTATGGATTCGGAGATTTTTTTTTATCTCTCTTTTTTTGTGAAATCAGATGACACTTTCAATGGGAAAAGAGAAAGTAGATCTTTCAAGACTGTGCAATCGGCTTGTTGTTTCGGACTAAGCCGATGGGGGGAAGGGGTCGATCATAAGTGAAGAAAAAAAAATTTCTTTCAGTAGCCCTGAAACACTTTTATTCACCCTCAAGGAACAGGTCACAAGTCCAGAACAACGGCCACAAAAAAAGAAAAAAAACCACCTCGCGAAGGTTTTTTTTTTTTTGATAGAAAAAGCGATTTCCAACCGGGCCTTGCGGGTGTCACCAATGGGAAACTGTATGGTTATATTGGCCGAAGCTCATTAAAAAAAACGAGAGTTGGATATTAAGTCGGCTGTTTCTATTTGTTTGTGCAATCCAATTATTAAAAGGGGATAGATTACAAAGTGACGGCTGTAAAGGGGTGGGCGGGGGGATGAGGCAGATATATTTTATGTATGATTCCCTCAAGAAGATAGCTGTCAAGCAAAAGGGATAATGTATTACTTTTGGACGGTTGTTTGTATTCACAGGACTATATATGGGGTTGTTGTAAAAATAACTTTAAGTGAACGCGTGTGCGCGTCGTGTGAAGACAACGGCATTTTTGAAGGATCGTTTACCGAAAAGCCATGTAACATTTCACAAGGAAATAAATAAAAAGGGAACCCAAGCCATCCGCACGTACCACCTACCTTCCATTATTCGGAAATTCCATTCCTTTTGTTGTATGCTGAATAAAATATGTTTGATTAATTCTTACATATCATAAACATTAACATATCTGGTGATGATCCACGCTCTTCTTCAGATATTTCTCTTTTTTATATATATATACATATTATACATGTGTGGGAGAGAAACAGAATATACATGTAAAAAAAAAAAAAAAAAAAAAATTGGTGTAACTCACCTGCTTCCGATTACTTAAAAAGAGGTAAACGAATCGTTAGAAACTTATAAGAAAGCCCGTTCTCGGAACTGTTTAAATTTTTTTTTCTTTTTTTTTTTTTTTATATCTCTTTCTCTCTCTCTTTTCCTTTTTTTTTCTTTTTTCTCTCTCTTGTAAATAAAAATGGATATTAAACTTGTAAAGAATATTCGACGTAGACGTAGTGATTGTGCCTGGAGAAAGAACAGCACGAGTTCTTTAAAAGAAAGCGACGTGAATGAATTGGTAGAATATCCTTCGGGACCCATTCATATTGTATGTTCATGGAATCCAGTCAACAGAAGCGATAAACCACCTTATTCGTACGCAACTATTATCGGACATGCCATTCTCACCAGCAAAGAAAGAAAACTCACACTCAATGATATCTATGTTTGGATAACTGAGAACTACCCCTTTTATTCCAACGACACGCAAGGCTGGCAGGTAATACTATTTTATTCAATTAAATTTAATCTTACCACTCACTAAAAAAACCTATGCAGAACTCTATAAGACACAATTTGTCGCTTCACAAAGCGTTTGTAAAGATTGATCGCGACTCAACGGGTCAGAATCCACCTCGGAAAGGCTGTTTCTGGACAATCCGAAGTGGAAAAGAAAAGTCATTTATTGATAACCTACAAAAACCCGTCAATTCTGTGCGAAAGCAACAATCTTTATCGCACCTGAACTCTTCCAGCTTTCTTCGTCGTCAACAACAACAGCAAGTACGTCGTTCTTCTGTCTTAAATGCTGGCGAGGGGTTTAATAGCTTTCGTACGACAGTGATACCAACAAGGAGTAGCAGCAGTACGATGGTTCCGGAAGCCGAAGCTATTGTTGCCACGACATCATCATCTTCCTCGTCATCCGATCATCACTCCTCCTCCAACAGCTCATCCCCCATATATCATCAATTGATTGTACCCGAATCTAATACAACGTTGCATGTGTATCCTGCTGACGAACAGGAATTATTCGGTGCGGACAATCAGTCTTATTCAGGAAATAGTTATATCACGTCACAGCCACCACCATCACTTTCTCCTTGTGATGCATATTCGACCACATCTTCATTTCCCGAATACTATAACACAAGAGGCACACAAGATTTCTCGTTTCAGTATAAACCTACAACTACCTTTACAGCTCACCCATATCAGCAGTACATGATGGATTATACACAGCCGATAAAGCAAGATGTCTATTACTATTTACAGCAGCAACAACCTCGCCTTGATGGCCATGGTGGTGATTTTAGTTCGTTTCTTCATAGATAATACCTTCTTCTTTCCCCTTTTCTTTATGATATACCTCTCTCTATTATTCCTTTTTTTTTTCTTTTGCTTTTTCTTTTTTTTTTATGTATGTACAAACCTCAAAAAAAAAAAAACTTATGCTTATATGCCCTTCTATTTTTTTTTATTGACAACAAAATAATAATAAAAAAAAAAAAAAAACTTTTTTTATACAGATGGTTTGACGAGAGGAGGATAATGAGTGATGGTGGATGGAGAAGTAGACTGTAAACAAAATGAGCCAGTACTACTTTGTTGTTGTTGACCTTCTATAAAGGTAAGCGGTTGTTGATCTTTTACTTGATTAGGTTTATAAAGTACCACACTAGCTGCCGAAGCGGGTACAACAAGGTGGTCATAACTAAATCCACGCGGAGGCTGTTGGGGATCATCGTGTAATGTGGCCGAGTCTCCCTCCTGATGATACTCAAAGTATCTTTCTTCCGGATACACCACTGTCTCTTCTTTTTCCTTCTTTTGTCGTCGCTTGCTCTTGCACATCATGTAAATGATAGCCGCCATTATCATGAACCCAACCTATCCATTTTTTTTTATATGTTTGTACAAATTTAGTTATATGAATATTTTAGTTGCTGTAGCACACGAACCACAAGTACCGAGCCAATTGTAATCCCGATAATAGAGGGAAGACTAAATCGCATCACTTTTTCCACCTGTCTGCCATTATTGGTGTCCAGCATCGAGTAGCTTTTAAGCCAGGTTGCTGAACCTGATAAACTTAAAAAATAAACATCGTTTGTAATTAATCCTTTTTGATTCACGCCAAACAGCACAAATAATGTATCATTACATAAGATGGCTACTCCAGGATAATAAATTAGCTTACTAAACTCTCTATCTCTCTCATTTTTTTTTTTTTAAAAAATAGAAAAAACTTTACCCGAGTGTCCAAACCGTGGTCCTGCACCCTGCGTTTGCTCATATTCTTCCATTCTGGTATATTCCAATGTTTTTGGATCAAACAAATAAAGATAGTCTGAAACTGCAGAAGGATCTAAAAAATCCGGCTTGTGTCACTAACTACAGCGTCTAAAAATAAAATGACATTTGTATAACTCACGCTTCTCGTTGCCATCATCTGTCGCACCTCCATATATTAGAATCTTTCCAGAATAAGGCACTACATGTAGGATGAATATATATACACAAAATGCGATGAGTAACATACAATGGAGATGAGTATATATATATATAAATATATTATATATATCGAATGGCTAACAAAAGTGGGGGGGGTTTACCTACAAAGGTTGGCACTATGCATGTAACGGCTTGACATGGTGGGTGCGGAAGGACTATCTTTGGAAATCCAGGTAGCATCTACGGTATTATACAAAAGAATCTTTGTCATGGGAATAATATTGTATGGAATCAAGTTATCTGTCAACGTAGCGGTTGTTCGGATCCGACCCCCCAAGTAGAATATGCTGACGCCGTCATTGTCTAAAGTAGCTGTATGTCCAAATCTGGTAAATGTACCAAGGGGTAATTGACTAGGGCATACCGACCACTTGAACATCTACATAAACAAGCTCATGAGTGATGAGGCTTACACATAAAAAAAAAACCTTATTTACCGGGCTTGTAATGGACAAGACGGTGGTTGTGTTGACTGGATAGCCTGGATATTGTCCACTATCAAGATGAGAAACGTTTAGCGAAAAAAAAAAAAAAAAAAAAAAAAAAAGAGGGGTGGGTGGGGGGAGAACCCTTTCATACCTTAGTCCACCCCAATAGTATATTCTTCCTTTATTAGGTACCTTGACGGCTGTTCCCATATAACTAATTTATGATTAAAAAAAAAATAAGATGGTTATATATCATTCCAAACAGGGGGAAAAGCCAAAAACGGTTTTTTAACACACAAAGGGGTTCCCTTGTTAAGCTAACAAAAAAAAAACTTTTTTGCTTACATTGCATTATTTGAAAGATTTCTTCCATCATTGGAAATAGAAGACCAGGTGTTTGCTTTGGTATCGAATAAACGAGAAATGTTTTTGACATAGGGAGTTTCATTGTAACCTCCATCAACCATGTAGCTAGAGTCGGAGATGGAAGTAGCTGTACCCGCTAAAGCAGGTTCGTTCATAAAGTTGGGATCGTCTGGAATACTGATCCATCGAGCAGACGTTTCATCCAGCGTCAAGGTCTGTTGAAGATCAATATAATGGTGTTCGTTTAATGCTCGTTTCACAATAATATCTCCCAAGGAAGCGTAACCACCCGAGTAACAATAAATCTTCGTCGATACCAGTTTACAAGCTAATTCATGCATGATTAAGAAATAATTATAAAAAATAATAAAAATTTGCCTGTGTGTAATACAAAAAAAAAGTTTATTGTTTACATGATTTATAATTCGGTGTCAAGGAAGCGGCTTGTATACATGTTGAATAGAGTAGAAAGAGTAGTAGATTAATTAGAGTCATTTTGTATTAAAAAAAAATGAAAAAAAAAGCAGTATAAAATAATAAATAGATTAAATCAAAATATAAAGGAAAAAAAAACAAATTTCTCGCATTCTGTATAAAGTCATAGGTACATTGCATTTTGTTATTTGAAAGCGTCACAAAAAAAAAAGGGCAGGGATGCACATTTCTTCTCTATAATTTTTTTTTTATTGTTAAATCGTGCCTGTTGAAACAGACACAGCAACAGCTGCAGCCGCACCAGCAGCAGCACCCGCATCGTTATTCCCTCCAATCGCACTTCCTCCTCCTCCCGTTCCACCCACAGCAGCACTCCCTGTTGCTCCTTGATTTTGCACTTTACTCGTATTCAGCCAAAGTCCTCGTTCAAACCCTTCTTCATCTCCAGAATCCTCTGCTTCCACCGCCACTTCCCCTTGGTATCGATACACCACGGGCTGCTCAGGAGTGACATATTTGATCTGCAATCGATGCAACTCATCCTTCAACTCCAGCAAGAAATTATTATGTCGCATCCATTTACCAGCCGAATCTTGCCAATTTTTGGCATGCTGGAAAAAAAATGTCACCGTCAACAAGTCCAGTTTTTCAAACGCAATAATGTTGGCTCCACACGCATCCTTTGTATACAGCTTGGGATACTTGTTGCACCATACAACCATATGATCTCGTAGCTGCATGAGTTTAGAAGAAGGTGTATGATACGACACCTGGAACTTGAATCGCTCTGAGGTACGGCCCGATCTTCGACAATTCACAATGTACTTTGTGGCCAGCACAGAGTTACGCACATACACCACCGACCCATCCAAATTCCGAAACGTAGACACCATGATACCCACATTGATCGTCACCCATTCTTCCGTATCCACCAGTATACGATCGCCCGTATCAAAGGGGTGCGTCACAAACACAAAGATTATCGACTCAAAAGCATTTCGTGCACTACTTCCAAAAATAAAACTAGCAGCGATAAAGGCACTCCAAAGCGGCGTCAGCTGCGAACTGACATTCACACCAAATACTGCCAACGTCACCACCACCCAGATGCAGATAAAGATAATAATCATTAAAATGTCCAGTTTACCCGTCGCTTGTGACATATCGCGCATCGAACGCGCCAAGTTCGTTCGATCGCGGTAAATACGGATACACCCCGCTCGCATCTCGCGTCGACTGATATCACCATTGTCATCTGAATCAAATAACGAAAAGGCTTCCCTGGCATCCTTGATCGTTCGAAAATAAGGATACATGTCGGATTCGAGCACATGTTGACGAATGGGGTTAGGTCCCATGATATTATAATAAATTTTTCTTGCTAATTGTTTCGCTTGATTCACAGGATCTTGAAAGGCAGATTGTTGTGCTAATTTACGATATCCACTCATAAACAAGCCCGATTTTGACGTATCCGAAGAGATGGAAGAGATACTGGAATCAGAACGCATGATTTTTTCATTGTTGGGATTTGTAGAGGTGGTATCCTCCTCCTCCCCTTCCTCCTCCTTTTCTCCTCCCACCTGGTTATTCTTTAATTGCTTCACCACATTATCCATAAATCCCTGTCTCTTCTTGGGTTCTTTCTTCGTTGTCGTTGGCGTTGTCATGGGTATCGGAACCATGGTTTCAGGTGGCGGAGAGCCTGTATCGAAATGCACATTTCTTTCCTGTCTCTTGTTCCTACGATTATAAATCCGCTTAAACACTGTCTTGGTCCCCTTGGGCCGTCTCAATTTATCCAGAATATGCAACGCGCGTTGATTCTTATTCAATCGATCCCCATACGCCTTTTTATGAAACGTTGTGGCAATGATCTGTAAAAAGAACTTTTCGATGAACAGTAGCAAGGTTGCCAAAAAGAAGACTTCCCATACTTGCTCCAGAATCTTTACATAGTACGGTTGCATGGACCCCTCGGGTAAATCAAGCTCACGTCGAAGAAAGGCCCATGAACCCCATGTCCATGCACCGATCACCACCAGTTTGGTATAGGAGCGTAAATCATTGTAGTACTTTTCTTAGAAGGGTGAGTTTTTTTTTTTGTAAGTTCTTTACATTCTTTCATAAACCCTCTTTACCGCTAGTTTCGATCGCACAAATTCCGCTTTCGTGGGTGTAATAATCGCTGCCACATTTCGAATCAACCACGGTAGGATCTCTACAATCATTTGTGTGGCAAGTGTCACACAACATACAAAGGCAACAAAGGTAAACCAAAGCGCAAGGTTGTACGAAGTCATGGTGGGGTCTGTTTGTGGCTTGACTGTAATAAATACTGCAACACATACCGCCACAGAAATAGCACACATGATAGAGAAACAGATCCATGAGAGCCGCGAAGAGCTTCTTGTAAGACATAGGCAGCAATGGTGGTCGGGTGGTAAAGGTGTATCTTCTTCATCTGAATCAAGATCGTCCCAATCAAATTCGCTTTCTTCGTCGCCAGGATAGTCCTCTACTTCCTCCTCTTCCTCTTCTTCTCGAGGGTTGTTTTCTTCACAACATGTTTCATGGTGCTGGACAGTGACATCGTCCTCTTTGAAATATATCATTTTATTTATTTATTTAGATGTTTGTTTGTAATTTTTTTTTAAAAAACAAAAGAAATAATAAAATACCCGTTTGTGGCCTCATCATTTCTAATTAGGGTGTAAGAAGCAGACAACGCAAAAATGACAGAAAATAATAAAAAAAGAAAGAAAAAGGACTGAAAACTTCCTCGGGCGTGAAAGAGGGGTCTTGGATGATGTAAAAAAAAAAAAAAAAGGTTTTTTTTTATTAATTAACTTAATCGATATCCATGTCTGAGTCACCTTCTTGCTCCAGTTCAGCAGTTGCGGATTTGGAGTTTTCCAGACGAACACACTTCGAAAGTAATTTCCCGCGTAATTCAGATAGATTGACACCAGATCGTTTGATAAACGCAGGGACGGGTATATTACGATAATTCACGGTATCGCGTTGCCAATGATACATATGACTCCAATCGCTATCTCGGCTTAATTTTCTTTCGAAATTTGAAAACATCATTTTTTGCCGACTGATATCCGTCGGGTTCTTACTCTGTAATTCCCGTCCCCCAAATTAATATAACGTGTCTCGGTAAACATAAAACCCCACCCCCATCATCATCATCCCATATTTATAAAAATAATAAAATAATAATAAAAAAAAAAAAAACCACGCTTGTGACTTACCAGTTCTTTTAATCGCGCCGTTCGTTCTTTCTCACGCAATTGATTCGCATGAATATTAAATTCACGTAATCGCTTCATCTTTTCTTCTGCTAATACGCGTTCCTTTTCCAAACGAATCCTCTCCTCCTTTTCAAACTTCTCCTGCTTCTCGCGCTCCTCTTCTTCTCGAATACGGGCTCCATTCTTGATCTGTGAGTACAAATCCGCAATATCAAACCCCTTTGTCACCTCCTTCACTTTGGGTGGTGGTGAAATGCGAGGCTTACCCTGTTGTTGTTGATGTATCAGTGAAATGCCCGAAGTTCCTCCTCCTGCTGTCGATGCTGCTGCTGCTGCTGCTGTCGTCGCTGGGGGTGGTGAAATTCGTGGTTTATGGGTTGCTGTTGATAACGATGGTGGAGGAGGCGAAATCTTGTATGGTTTTTTGTTAATCATGGTAGGAGGAGGTAACGAACTCACGTTTTTGGCTAACGCCGCCCATTTGTCATGATTAGGTAACACATCCGGTTTCTTGCTCATCGTCGGTGAGGTAGGTTTACCAATTGCTAATTTAGCTGGCGCGTGTGCATGGATCGCTAATTTTGGATGTTGTGTAGGTTCCTTCGATAACGCCAAGTTGAGTTTATTCACCTTCACTGGCTCCTCTTTTTTACTATTATTGCCTGTGGGGATCTTTAATCGTAATATATTCGATCGTCCTAAATCTCAAGTGTTAGGTATGTGGTTTCCACACACAAACACATACACATCTTTTTTTTTTTTTTTTTTACCTGATGCACTGCCTGAAGCACTGGGTAGGTTGGCGGATGATTTGATTTGAATAACAGAAGGTGACTCTGATGCCTCTATTGTGGGTTTGGGTGGTGGTGGTGTTGCTACTGCTGGAGCTGCAGATGCAGTTGCTGCAGGTTGTGGAGGTGTTTCTGGTGAATGTCTTGTTGGTACCTGATGTGATGTATTTGAAGTATGATCTACAGTCACATGTTGTTGTTGCTGTGATCTTTTTTCAGGCACTGGTGGTGTATTATATGTCATATGCGTAGTTGTGGACGGTTCTTTTTATAAAACAATGTTTTAGCGCTAGAAATAGATATATATATATAAAAAGATATAGAAATTCACCTTTTTCAGAAGTACGTCTCTTCTTGGAAGAGGACTTCTTCTTAGTCTGATGCAGCTTATCCCAGTACTTTTCAAACACCTGTTCCAATTGATGACCAAACTTATTGATATCATGCTCGGGTGGATTATAAGCATAACAGTTTCGAAACATGAGTCGGATATCCTGAGCTAGTTCCTCTTCATCGTGGTATTCGCCTTGACGTAATTTCTTTTCATACGTGGACATATCCATAGGCTGTTTAATGATATCATAGTAGTCGGTGGCCCCCCAGGCATCAGCATCCACAGGGTTAAGAAAGGGCCAACTGATGCTTTGGTATTTAGGTTTCTTGAGCTCTTTCACGATGGCTTCACATCGTTTGTATTGGTCATCAGACATACTCTGTCTCTTGTTGCTGTTCAGCTGGAGTTTCACGGTCAAGGGTCGAATGGGCGCGGCAGGTGGACGTTCCTGTTTGGTGTAGTTGTATTCGTAAGTATCGTTGGATGGCTTTGTAGGGGCGGCAGGTGGAGGTGTCATGGGACGAGGTGGAGTCACAGCAGGAACTGGAGCTGGAGCTGAAGGAGGTGTAGGATGAAGTGAATCCACAGATGAGTAGGAAGGCTCGATATTGGATGTGTATATATCTGTAGTGTAGTTGGAAGGATACATGGGATATGAGTCAACAGGATATTCGTAAGAGGTGTAATTAGACTGCTGTTCTTTATGTGCACCACTGGATCCAACCACAGGTACAATAGGTTGTCCCAAAGGCTAATAATTTCTTGATGAGTTTGATAAAATACAGAATATATAAAAAAAAAACTTACGTGATCTTGCAAGATATGAGATATATTGACATGCGGAGGCACTTTTTTAAGTTGTCTTTTAAACGATTCTTCCAACTTTTTAGCGTCCAAGGTGACCGGATCGTATTCGTTATTGTAAAGATAACAGTTGTCAAAGATCAATTGAACGTCAGCCAAAAAGGCTTCAACGGTAGGGTAGGCGTTTTGTTCAAGCTTAGAATCTATCGTGCCCAAATCCATAGGGTGCTTTATAATGTCAAAGTAATCCAGAATGTTGAACTGTACGGGATCCACAGGGTTTTGGAACGCAACAGAACGTTTATTTCGTTTCAAGACTTTCATTGTGTTTTGACAGAACTGCATATCGGAGGGAGACATGGTAGCTACCTCTTCACTGCTTCTTTTTTTTTTATTTTAATGTCCATTTTTATTTTTTTATGTTTACAACAAAGGAAGAAAACTTACGGATCCTCATCGTCTACCATGCTAGCAAAGGGTCTCTTTTGAGAAACGTACGACATGTTTTCGTTCTGTTAAATCAAGGGGTCACGCACAAAAAAAAAATAGAATGCCCACTTGGAAACGATCTCTTTTAATGTGCAAAAAAAAAAAGAGAGAAAGGTTTTTTTTTTCAACGCTAATTTTTCGGTTTGTTTACGTCACAAATTAAGATTTTGTTTGTAACCCCGCGTCTCAATATCTTTTTAGGTGAAGAAATCATTTTCATACCTTTCTTCTTTTAATATGATCAACTCTACTTATGCAGGAAAAGTCAAAAAACCCGATGTGTACGGTATCCGAAAACGAAAAGCCAAACAAATACAACACCATGATGACGACGATGATGATTATGATTTCCCTACAACAACAACAACAACAACAACAACAACAACAATGGAAGATTGGAATATCAACTCGGATACGATATCCGCAGCAGAGTACCTTACAGGGATGAAGTGTAGTTTCGGATTATGTTTATCGCATCAAATATACAGCATCTTAGAAAATCACACCACTGTCGATCGAGAGCTGGTAAAAAGAAAAACGACGACGATGGGATTCTATTTTACGAGTATGCATCCACTAAATATTACTATTTAGCAAGAAGCGATACAGGCGAAAACCTGGCGAAAGTTTCATATCATGGGATCATTGGAAGATGAGTATCTACTTTCTAAAACAGATACTTATCTCTCTCATGTGTGTGAACAAAGGAACGACGATCCCATTGTATTTGGTAAACAGACAGCTTTTTTTTTTCGTAGATATGGAAGGATTTACAAAGAGGGATATTAATTTTATAGAATAGATAGGTTTGAAAAGGTGATTGAAAAGTACATATCAACGTCCATCAAGAAGGAAATTTTAAGATCAGAATTCGAATACAATGAAAAACAAGTATCGTTTCTTGTTTCAAGGGGATTTTTATTGCCTCATATGAACACACCCGATCTCTATTGGTTTTCAATACCCCGACAAGGTAAATTTATGTCAAATTTGTCCAATGGTAGGACGGAAATCCTAAGGATCATCAAGAAGCGGCCTACACGAGATATCATGGAAAAGGTAAACCTTTTTTTTTTGAAGTGTTTTTATTTATTGTTTATTTACAAAAGTATAAAAAAGATGTTGAAACAAAAAAAGTTGGTTAAAACGAAATTCATGATGGAATTCCTAATGCATGATTTGATTGGTAGTGGTAGAGTGGAAAAGTAAGAAGGTTTGGGGGGGGGGGGTATTATATATAAATGTAAATGTACTGATGGTGTTTATAAAGGTATTCGACCACAATGGGAATTCTAATTCGTTTGACAAATAAAGGGGAGATAGGCATATGATTTACTACAGTTATATAATTTGGGGGGTGGGGGTAAGTGGAATAAATAGAGGGCATAAGTTATGTACACAAAAGAAGGGCAGGAAAGAATCATATATATATATATATAAAGAGAGAGACTGGTTTTAGACAACATTCCTTAAAGGGGATTGTCTCCCCCAGACAAACTCATCGGATCTCTTTCGACATGATTTGGGAACCGCATTGTTTGTGGTGATTGCCAATTTACGCAAATAATCAGAGTTGGATCTAGTGTCTCTGACATAACCATGCGTATTAGCCCATTTTGGCTGTTGTGCAGATTTATTTACCGTGGGTGGATTAGAATGTTCTATCCAATGATGCTGTGAATGATGATGACCACCTGTTTGTTGATATTGCTTGACAGTCTTGTGACGGTTTTCTCTTTCCACCGCAACAACATTTAAATTATCATTATGGCTGCTGCTTTCCTCTTCCAGCTGTCGCTTCTTGCTCGTGTAATAATTGCGCAGATCTCGATTCATGTCATTGTCCTTTTTGATCGCTGTCTTGGCAACCACTCGAATCACTGTATGTGGATCGTTCTTCACAACAGTAGGTCCTACTTTCGGATGATGCGGGATCTTATTGACAAGTGTCGATAAGGCCTTTTTGATACTCGAAATGGAAGGTGTGTGATGATTGGAGGAGGCAAGCGTAGAAGAAAAGCGCATTTTAAAGTGAAAGTAGAAAGTAAAAAGTAAGTTGTAAAAAAAAAAAAAGGAAAGAAAAAAAAGTCTAGGTTTTTATAATAAAATAGGTAATTGACAAAAAGTCTAGTTTCTATAGAATAAATATATGCAGTGCATGTGATATGACAGACAAACATGGAATTCTATTTTTATGTAAATATTTATCCCCTCAAACGCAGTTTCCAAATCTCAACGTCTTCATTTGCCACTAAAATCTGATGAGTTTGAATTAATTTCTTCAACACCATGCTTGCATCAAAACCCAAGGCTCTAGCCTTTGCAATAAATCCATCCACCACTAAATCATCTCGTCGCTCCATTGCAATCAACACAATAGTCTTGGTGTTGGAAAAATGGCGTATACACCGTAACAAAGGATCCACAAGCTGTATTTCGTATATGCAATCGGAAGCTAATATATAATTAAACTTTTCTTCTTCGCTACAAGGTAAATTGAACCAATCCAAGGCCCTGACCTGGATCTGTGGCTGAATATCACTGTGGTACGTGTGATGCAAATGATGCCACCACCTCTGAATCTCCTCCACCGCACTTTGACTATTCTTTAGCAGGACTCGATCAATGACACTGGGTAAATCTGTCAACGTCGTCTTGAACCCCAGTGAAGCCATCACCAGTCCCGCCAGTCCACACCCACTACCCAATTCAAGACAGCTTTTTTTATTCTTGACATTCACAACATCATGTCGAATCTCAAATGTCGGTACTTTGACCGAATCGAACAAATACAACGACAACAGTTTGGCGGAATCCCACACCGTCGTACCATGATTTTCCGTATGATTTTCCTGACTTAGGCTTAATGAAAATAAGGGATTCAACTGAATCGAAAATGTCTTTAATGACTTTGTATTATCCGACATGTCCACTTGCATCTTTTATTTGTCTCTCTGCAATGGATTTAAGAAAGAAAGAAGACCCAAAAAAAGGTTTTTTTTTTCATTGTGTAGGTTGGACGGCTTTTTTTTATTATTATTCATATTATTTAATTGACAGTCTCACCATACTTGACCATCATCGAAAGTGTTTCATATATCAAATCAGCTGCCAAAAAACTAGTCAATTGCGCTTGAGTGTCATATGCAGGGGCAACTTCCACTAGATCCATCCCCACAATATTGTACCCATCCAGACTACGGAGAAGGTATCGCATCTCCCTTGTCAAGAATCCACCCGTCTCAGGTGTTCCTGTAGCTATAAATACATTTTTTTTTTTTGGTTCTCTGGTTTTAAACATTGTACATTTACAACACACTTTTTTTTTTTTTTAAAAAAAAATCTTACCTGGTGCCATCGATGGATCAATCACATCAATATCAACAGACAAATAAACAAGTGCATCACGCTTGGGCCCCAGCACCTCTTTCATACGTCGGGCGATCCCCTCCAGCCCCAAATCAAAAATATCATTGGCTTTAATGATATGAAATCCTAACGCTTCATCGCGCCCAATATCTTGCTCTTCATACAAACTGGATCGTATACCCACATGTAAACTGGAACCGTGAGCAATCAAGCCTTCCTTGGATGCATGATACAATGGGTTGCCATGGTTATATTGAGACCCTTTCGCCTTTACATTGTAAATCTCGGGCGCCCACGTATCCAGATGCGAGTCAAAATGAATGACCGACAGAGGTCGACCGTGAGCAACTGACATGGCTCTTAGCACGGGTAAAAGAATCGTATGATCTCCACCTAAAGTGATCAGACGAGGAACATGAAGACCAGGACGAGATAAGATGTAACCTGTATAGGCCTCAATTTGGGAGAGTGCATGTTGACTGTCAAATGGCTCAAAGGGGACATCACCACAATCAACTGATTTGGCCCAAGATTTAAATGGATTTACACCCACTTCAAGATTATATCCCTAAACAAGTTTATTTTTAAGCATTCCCATACACAACACCCCCGTGGCTTTTCGTTCGTGTACCTTGATGCGTTTGGACCCTTCTCGAATAGCAGAGGGACCAAAACGAGCTCCTGTTCGAAAGGTAACGCCGATATCATAGGGGACCCCCATGATGGCAATATCGTAATCTTCCTCAGGGAGGTCCTTATCCCAGCAATCGAGATAGGGCAAATGAGCAAATGTAGAGATACCAGCAAAGGAGGGCACGTATCCACCTTCTTGTAAAACAGGTCGGTTCGAAATGACAGGTACTTTAGCTAATAAAGGGATTTGTCCACTCTCATGTCCCTTCACACTAAGCACTCCATAAAGTATTAATAGACTGTTTAAAATAAGCATTTTTTTTTTAAAAAATAAAATAAAAATAGATAAGAAAAAAAGAGAGGGATAACATCTTATATTCTGTCATTTTTTATAGATTAACTTTATTACTTTTCACACGAATTTGCATTGGCTGCAATGACTAAACACCTAAGAAAAATGAAAAAATGTTGTACAAAAACGTTGAGCCAATCATCAACTAGTACGCGTTCATTTAATCATTGATTTTTTTTTTATCTCTCTCCAAGTAAGTTCACACTTTCCTTTTTGCTTATATAAAAAAAAACCATGACAAGAGGCTGGAAGCGAGTCCTTTATATATCTCGTAAAAAAAGACAAAAAAAAAAGTCTTCAAAAAAATACCTTTCTCTCGAATGACTAACTTTTTCATGGTTTCTTTCTAGCTCTTGTACTTGCAAGTGTAATCCTTGTCCATGCATCGGATCAAGCAGAGGTAAAAAGACCATAAGCAGGAACAAAACTCCTCTTCACCTTGTCATGTTCTAACCTCTCTAATCCCGTGATGAAGGTGTTGACAACTTTTTCTATAGAACAAGAAGGTAAAAATTGACATTGGGCCACGATGCATAATAATAATAAGAAGAGGCAAGGTTCACTTAACAATAATTTATTTTAGGTCAGAAATTATATCATTCAGCTGTACAACAATTGGAGCAAATCGAGCAAAAATTAAACCCCAATGCAACCACCACGACACACAACGAAAATCAATCCTTCACCGATCATCTCATTGCTAAAATCACCCGACTCTTTTGGCAACCTTCAATACCTACCGAAAGCGCATTGGATATCGCCTCACACGATGATGTATTTCAACCCGTCATTCGTATCCTAGAACGATCTGCACGAGAATTTCATAACAATGATGCCTTGCTCTTACTAGCCGAACTTCACTTTGTAAATACTTTTTTATTTTTTTTTGTTATTTAGAAAAAACTAACTCTGCTGGATGCAATCCAAGTAGCACGCCAAATACGCTCATCGCAGAGACTTTCATTCCGCCTTGGAATATTACCACGAACTTGCTCAAAAGGGAAACGCAACGGCTCAACAAATGATGGGGTTCATGTATGCAACAGGCATTGCCGTGAAAAGAGATCAATCCAAAGCACTGCTGTATCATACATTTGCTGCACATGGCGGCGATACCACGGCTCAAATGACCATGGGTTACAGATACCTATTAGGCATCAGCACAGATGAAAAATGTGCTGATGCTCTCTACCATTACAAAAGAGTCGCTACCAAAGTTATTGATTATTACCTGTCAGGTCCACCGGGCGGCTACACTCCACCTTTATCCAAAGTACGTCTATCTGAAGAGAATGGCGGTGTCTATGGTTACGGTGCTAGTATCACCACCGAAAAGAAATCACGACATGGCGGAGAGAAAAACGTGAGCATTGATGAAATTCTGCAGTATTGGCGTTACCTGGCTGCCAAACAAGACATGGATGCTCAATTAATGTTGGGCCAGGTGTATTATTTAGGTACCCGTAGTATCCCACGTAACTTTGACGAAGCCTACGCCTTTTTCAATCAGATCGTGAATAAAATTCCAGACCATGGCAAAGTCCCTGCCAAAAACGCAAAGGCTATTGGACAAGCAGCGGGTTACCTCGGTCTCATGTATTGGCGTGGTGAAGGTGTCCAAGTGAATGCAAAGACAGCTTACAAATGGTTCTCCATCGGTCATGATTTAAACGACGCCACTAGTCAAAATGCCTTGGGTATGATGTACCTTGACGGTATCGTCCTACCCAAAAACAGAGACAAGGCCATCGAATTCTTCAAGAAATCGGCTGATCAGGAAAACCCAAATGCTCAAGTCAATCTCGCTATCGAGTTTGCTCAAACCGACGCTCATTTACCCTTGGCTATCAATTTGTTCGCCAAAGCAGCTGAAGCTAAACATTTGTTAGCCTTTTGGTATCTTGCTCATATGAATGAACAAAATATCGTGCAAAGACCTTCGTGTCGGGTAGCTGTCTCCGTAAGTTGTGTGGTTTTTTATAAATGAATGTGATCCCAATTTTTTTTTTAAAAAAAAAATCTTTCTTGTAGTATTACAAGGCTATCGCAGAAAGAGGAGATTGGTTATATCCTACAGTGGAAGATGCATATACCGCCTATACCAAAAAAGACAAAGAAAGTGCCTTATTAAATTATATGTTGGCCGCTGAGCGAGGATACGAAGTAGCCCAATCCAATGTAGCTTATATGCTGGACACAGGTAAACGCAAAAAAAAAAAAATGTTTCCTTTGCATACACTATATATATATATATATATATATATATATATATATATATATATATATATTCCCTTAACTAACCATTAAAAATGTTAGACAAGAAAATGTTGACCCATCTGCCATGGATTGGATCCAAAAATAATAATACGGAAGAGGAAACTGGACCTGTGATGGATCAAGTGGATAAAGGAGAACTTGCGTTAATCTATTGGTCTCGTTCTGCCAATCAAAACAATGTGGACTCACGAGTCAAGATGGGCGATTATTATTACAAGGGCATTGGTACAGGTGTGGATTATGAACGTGCGGTACTGTGTTATCGGGTAGCAGCAGAATTCCAATCTCCTCTAGCGTATTGGAACCTGGGATGGATGTATGAGAACGGGATTGGTGTGGCCAAAGATTTTCACCTGGCCAAAAGGTCATATGATCAGGCGCTGAATACCGATCAGGATGCATATCTGCCTGTAAAACTGAGTTTGATCAAGATGTATGTTAAGTATTACTGGGAGTGGATGACGGGACATGAAGTAGGCCCTGCTTTGGTGAGTGAAAGTCATGGAGGAGGCGAGATGAAAAGACGCAAGCAAAAGCAAAAGGAAGCTGAAGAAGGATGGGATATCGGACAAGAAATGGAACACAAATATAAACTCAAGAAACAAAAGGAAAGAGAAGAAAATGAACGTTTAGGACAGGATACTATGGATGATCCTTCCTTTTCAGATGAGTTTTCCGAAGAAGATGAATTGATTGAAAGTCTATTAATTTTGGGTCTTTGTATTCTTGTTGGTTACTTGGTTTATGTCAGACAATTTCGTTTTGGTAACGCTAGACCTCCTCAACCAGACCAACAACAACAGCAACAACAACAACAATTATAATCTCCCTCCCCACTAAATAAAAATTTAAATGAACGCGTACCATTTTGGGACGTGTTATTAAATTCCAATTTTTTTAAAAAAATTATTTCTTTTTTTTTTTTTTTTTTTAATTTTCCTCTTCATAGCTCCAAATAAAGAGCATAATAAAATGAAATCTCCTCCACCTCCACCACCTCCCATAACCAATTGTATACCCATGCGTACAGATAAACGAGGCATTCCCATCGTGCAGACATCACCTTTACGAACTCGTCGTCATTTGGAAAGAGAATGTGACGAAATTCGTCTTTGTCGAGGGAAGGATTCCATCCAAGCGGATTATTACACACCTCGCATGTATTCTCCCTCTACTACTACTGCCACCACAACCAATACGAGTAGACCCATGTCATCCCCTCGCATGGACTCATGGCAAGATGCTTCCACAGAGCACTTGTTCCCTCACAAAAAACACATATACAGCCCCAGACCACAACCCAGCATTTACATGAACCGCAAACAACTAAAACGAAAACCCGTCGATGAAGATTTTGGTCTTAATTCTCCTTGCTCCAAAATCTCTCGACTCTCTACTCCACAAAGAAAACTAGAAGACGACGACGAACACGATGAGGACGATGACGACGACGACGATACTTTACCACAGACACAACCTATGGAACGTATGTTTGAAATCGATAGAATGGAAACTGAACGCATGATTGAAAAAATAATTCGGTCTCCCAAAATGAGAATTCAAAGCATTATCGAACCTACCATGGTAGAACCACGGACCGTCGTTAGGCCTGTACCTGAAATTCAACCTCCTCCTCATCCGCCTTCTCCACCTCCCATCCTTCCCCCACCTCCTCCTCTCCCTCCCGCCGTTGTTGCTGCTGCTGCTTTTACTGTACCTGAAATTGCACAGCCGGTTGCCATGGAAACATATGAACCGGAAGATATGGTCATTGATCCGCCCGAGCCGGTTGCTCCCATCACTCCACTAACTACATCCACAGCTACAGCAACGACGGTAGTAGCAACAACACCAGTAACAACACCAGCGGCAACACCAGTGGCGACACCTGCAGCAACACCAGTAACAACACCAGCAGCAACACCAGTAACAACACCAGCAGCAACACCCGCAGCAACAGAAACAGCACCACCACACACTACTTCTGCTACTACTTTAACAGAAACCAAAAAACCTAGTAAAGAAGAAGAAGACGCACGAGTAGCAGAAGAAATCGACCATTTGATGAAGACCGTGAAGGGCCTCCCCGATTATTACAAACTCATAGATAAGATCGGCGAAGGTACTTTCAGTACCGTCTACAAGGCATTGGATATCCGTCGCGATTTATACCATAATGGTGATTGGGAGCCACAATTGATGGAATCGGAGGAAGAACAAAAGACCATGAACCAATATGTAGCACTGAAACGTATCTATCATACGAGTAGTCCACGACGTATTGCTAACGAGGTGTATATCCTTCGCAAGTTGATCGGAAGTCCCTGTATCTCACCCTTGATCACGGCCTTTCGACAGCAGGATCAGGTATTTGTGGTGATGCCTTATATCCCTCATGACGATTTCAAAAAGACCTTTCATGAAATGCCCATGCTCGAAATAAAATCTTACATGAAGGCTTTACTCACAGCACTGCATTATTTACATAAACAGAATATCTTGCATCGTGATGTTAAGCCAAATAATTTCTTGTACAATCGTCGAAAAAGAACGGGTTACTTGATTGATTTTGGACTAGCCGAGGTAAGAGAAAGAAAAAAAAATGAAAATATATATAGATCACTTACTATGTTTGTAGAATGAAGAAGAAGGTAGAAAGCTGGAAGAATATACAGCCAAAGTAGACGCGAAATCACAAAACAACATGTTTATACAAAGTAGTCGAGCAGCAGCGTTAAATCATACACCCTGCAAACCCACCTCGTCTTCTGTCTTAGTGGCACTCACTAATAAAGAAAATCGCGCCTCTACCTCCTCCACCACCGCTGGCACCACTGCCACTACCACCGCCACTTCAGCAGAAACAGACCGTAAAGTAATGGGTTATGTCAAGAACGATGCTCGACACCAAGTGAGGGCTAATCGTGCTGGTACGCGAGGATTTCGTGCCCCCGAGATCCTAATGAAAGTGACACGCCAGACCTGTGGTAAAATTATATTTATATATATATATTAAAAAAAAACGAATCACTCTCGAATGCTAATGGTTCTTCTTCATTAGCAATTGATATTTGGGCAGCAGGCGTGATTCTTTCATGTTTTTTGACAGGAAGATATCCCTTTTTTTTGGCCAACGAAGAATCGGATGCCATGATGGAACTAGCACAAATCTATGGATACCGAGAAATGAAGAAATGTGCCAGTAGTCATGGTAAAAGCTCCAAACCCCCATCCATCTCTCTCTCTTTTTTTTTTTACTAACCTTTTTCTCAAAATATAAAGGACGAACATTCTCTACAAATATAAATATCCCACTTTCAAGGATACCTTGGTTTAAACTGGTAGAACATTTAAACAAGGAAGCCATCCAATCCTGGGACACCAAAGACTATAAAGATGCGCTTGATTTATTAGACAAGTGTATGGATTTAAATCCAAAGACTCGAATTACAGCTACAGATGCATTACAACACCCTTTTTTCTCCTCTTAAATCATACCAAATACTCTCAATCATCTATTCTTTTTTTATTGTATATAATGACCCCCCTTACCCTTCCCTCTTCCCCTCCCTCTTATATAATAAACATACTTTTAACACGTTTTGACTTATTCATTGTCCTTGACTTATGCTTATTTCCCACTCTTTGTAAACAACAGTACAATGGGTTCAATGGACTCAAAAGATGACTATAAATTGTTGTCTTTTTTTTTTATTAATACTTTTGAATCCCCAAGAATTACATTTTTTCATAGAGCATGCTTATTTCATTTATTACAACAGGTAGTTAAAATAAAAAAAAATACATACCCATCGCACAAAATAAAAACTCATCATACATATAAATAAAAAACTAGATGATTCAACCCAAGGAAATCGATTCCTATCCAAAGGTATTTACGAATTAAACAAATTTAATTATCCAATGGCTCTTTCCCACTTTGAAGAATCCGCTCAAACAGGTAACGAATATGGTCAATTATTCGCCGGTCTCCTGCACGCTGTGGGGTTTGGTGATACTGAACAAAACCGAGTGAAATCATTTACCTACTTTCAACAAGCTGCTACGCAATGGAAGAACCCCATCGCTCTTTACGCCATGGGTATGCAATACCTCACCGGTCGTGGTGTCCCACACGACCCTCAACTCGCACTCAATACATTAACCTTAGCTGCAGAGAGCGGTTGGACCGAAGCCAAACTTCAATTAGGTCATGAATATCATCACGGACGTCACGGTATTCCCGCAGATACCGCTCTGTCTCTTTACTGGTACATGAGAGTCATTGACCAAAATCACACATGCAATCGAAACTCCCTGTTTCTCTTCGGTAACATCGATATTCGTATCGACTTTGAGCTCCATGAAGATACCATCCAACTCGCTCAGCCCATACGTTCGATGTACCGTGAATCACCTCTTCATTTACACGACGAATTCGATCCTTCTTCTCACCTGTATTACTGGGACACCATGTGTAATGATCCTTCTGTAGCACTCACACAGAGTCATGTCGGTATCGGCCTAGTCAATTTAGCCACAGGAACCGATCTTCATATCTGTTTGGAGAACTGGAAATTTGCTTTAAAAGGTGTCAGTCCCATTGCCAGTTATTACTTGGGCGTGCTATATAAAAGAGGGTTAGGCGTCCCCATTGATTATCTAGCTGCAGCCAGGTTTTTCAAACAGGCTTCGGATTGGGGTTACGATCTCGCTTTGTATGAACTAGGTTACGTGTATCATAAAGGAGGCCATGGCTTAGGCTTCGATAATGACAAGGCGTTCCAAACATTTGTTGAGTATGTCCAATTAAAAAAAGACCAGGTGAATATCAAGACGTACTATTATATGGCTTGTATTTGTGAGGATGGAAGTGCGAGAGTGCCATGCGATTACAAAAAGGCCTTGCTGTTTTACAAGAAGGCCTATAAAATGGGATACGGTGGAGCGGCAGATGCTATAGGTCGCATGTACAAGTTTGGCCTAGGTATGCCAGCACCCAACATGGACAAGGCGCATGAATGGTATTCAAAAGCACTCGCATTGGGATTTGAGGAGGCGCACCAAGGATTAGGACAGTTGTATCTTGATGGCTATGTCAAGGGACCGGATGGTTTACAGTTAGCTTTAAAGCATTTTATGACTGCCTTTGAAACAGGCTATGAACCAGCGGGGGCTATGATTCAGTATATCAATGACAGGCTACAAACTCAAGGGATCAATTTTTACTAGTTTAAATAAAATCACGTTATTTTTTTATTGTTAGTAAAGTGTTTCTTAATTACAGACTAGCCAAATGAAACACCTTACTTTGTGATTCATCATGTTGTTGATATACCTGATTTTATTTGACTACGCACATCATGACAACTTTGAGATCATCTTACTAATTGCAAGAAAAAAAAAAAGTCATGCTTGTATCACACATGCACACACATGTTTAAATATGAGCAAAAATGCACAAAAAATGCCATCCTCCATGTGATGATGATTATATTTTATTATAATTATTTTAGAGTTTTAGAAAAATAAACGAGTAACACAAGTGTGATGGCCATGATGAGCACATTGTTGATATGCAATGGCGTCCCATTTGAAGTTTCACTAACCACATTATTTGTTTCTGGGGTTGGAGCTGCTGTTTCCACTGTAGGCTTGGGAGCAGCGGCACGGGCAGACTCGGCAGCTGCCAAGGCCTTGGCGGCAGATTGGGAAGCGACATCCAAAGGATCCAAAATGTTGAGATAGGCTGGTGAGTTTATATCAGGCATGGCAGGTAAGGAAGGGTTTATACCAGGCAATGGAGAATTCATGATAAGTAGAAAGAAAGTTGAAAAGAAATTGTTTCTATCCACATCATCTTTATAGACTGTAACGAAAGTGATTTACATCAGCTCAAAAAGACAGCTTGAGAATCACTGATCATTTTGATTTCAACCGAAACGGGCTTTCATCGTGGTTACACAAGGTATGTCATTCTCATTTTAGCAATTCGACCTGCATTTTTAATAAAACAAGTTGTAGGAAATATTACAGCAGTAAGAAAAAAAAAAAAAAAAAAAAAAAAGAGGGAGAAAGTAAAGTTAAATTGAGATTTATGCCGTAAAAGAGAAAAGAGAAGCCGTTTGATTCACATACACACAGCAACAAAAAAAAACAATATGTGACACACATTTTATGGACAACATTATTAAACATACATATAATTTTTTTTTTCCTTTCTATCCTTTTTTCTTTTTTACCTTTATTTAAACTTTTTTTTCTTTTTCCATTGAATATAGAATCATGTCGAATGATGAAGGATCGTCTGATCCTGATGGCATGACACATGAAGAGGTTCCACCACCTTTACCACCACGCACACTGGGCTCGAGCAATAAGAGTCATCACACTCAATGGACAACATCCAAACCCATGGAAGACCCATACTTGGAAGACGGGCCTTTATTTCGTGCCACCATTCATCAATTAGAAATGCGCACTACCACTCTCAAAAGCAACTTAAAACGCATCATCAAGCATGCCGCCTCTTGCTTGGATGCTCGATATCAACTCAGCCGTGCCGATGAAGCCTATTTCGACGCTCTCAGTGACACCCATTGCATCCAACCCCTCATGAACCATTACCTCAACCATGTCTGGCAAACCATTGCCGAAGAACGCAAACGATTGGATGATTCACTTTCGACCCAACTCTTAGAACCTTTAAAACGTGTCTATGAAGACGATATCAAGGTCGCCGACCTGAAACGCCGTCAATTCGAAGAGGAAAGTAAAGACTATTATGCTTCATTGGCAAAATACCTTAAAGCCAAACCTAAGGGTGAGACAGAGCAAAAGCAACAACAACGTAAATCTAAGTTTGATCTGGCTCGTTTTGATTATTTGGGATTCTTGTTTGATTTACATGGCGGTCGTAAAGAAAACGAAATCTTGTTTCATGTCACAGATCATACCATGCGTGGTTTCGATTATTATGAATCTATCGCTCGTAAAATAGAGCCACAGAAACAAGGATTGAACGATTTAATCGCATTCATGACTGAAAATTCGCGCGAACAAGAACTCGCTGCCCGAGAAAGAGCACATAAACGTAAGGAATTGTCTACCGCTTGTATCTCTCATCAAACCGTAGATCACTCCGATCAAACAGTACCCGTTGATGAAGAGGATTTAGACCTCGCCTCTGATCCTCCCCTCTCCAACATTGATGATCAATCCTTAGCATTTCATCCTCCCCCACCTTCTCTTCCTCCTCAGCTAGATCACGATAGGTTTAAAGGCATCCGTGACTTGGATCAAAATCGTGGTGATATGATCATGACCGGTCGAAAAAAGGAAGGATTCTTATTCGCTACCGCTAAACCCTCTAAAAGCACTGGATTTGATGTCACTTCTTCATCCGTTACCTGGCACAAGTAAAAAAAAAAAAGAGAGAGAGTTAAATAACTTTTACATCCTATTGACACACACATTTGCATAGATATTGGTGTGTTTTAAGCGGAGGTCAAATTCATGAATACTCCAATTGGAAACGTCAACTAGAACCGCACATCGATCCTATTAATTTAAGGTTTGCAACCGTGCGAGAAGCACGTAATGCGGAACGTCGGTTCTGTTTCGAAGTCATCACACCTCACATGCGACGTATCTATCAAGCCACTTCACAAGAGGAAGCCACCAGCTGGATCAACACGATCCATAACTCCATCGAAAGTTTATTAAATGGCACAAGTAGTAGTTCGGCCAATTTAAAAGACATGATGGTCGCTTCCTCTTCAACCCCTCAGAGTAATAAACGTCATGGAAGGTCCTTGAGTGGCGCTTTTAAATCTGGGTTAGCAGTCGTAGCTTCCGCAGCCACAGCAGCCGCAGCTGCAGCAACTACAACAACAGCAACAACCAGTGAGAAGAAAAGACAATCTGCCAATATACCATCTTCTTCTACCTCATCTGCCGTGGTATCTAGTGGTATGAACTCACCCTCAGAAGGAGCAGAATTATTAGTATCGGCTAGTCCCAATGATCGTTTTCGATGGTCGGGTTTTAGCTTTGGAGGAGGAAATGGAACAAATGGGAATGGAGGACATTCGAAAGCAAATAGCCATGTATCAAATCAAGGCAATTATCTATTCTCAGCATTGGCGGATTCGGAAGGAAATACACGCTTATTATCGATATTAAGACAGGATACATCCAACCATTATTGTGCCGATTGTGGAGCTAAAAACCCAGATTGGTGTTCATTGAATCTCGGTATTTTACTATGCATAGGTATAACAGATTATAAACCGATATGTTTTTATAAAATAGAGCAACAACAAAAAAAAGATAACACTTTGTAATTTTAGAATGTTCGGGTATTCATCGTAGTTTAGGTACGCATGTATCCAAGATTCGATCCTTAACATTGGATAGCACATCTTACACACCGGATATCATTGAACTGTTAAAATCCATTGGCAATGCGAAATCGAATGCGATTTGGGATTGCCGTTTTGAACCTGGAGCCAACATGGTGGATTTCCCCAGCATTGGTCGACCCAACCCTACAGATTCCCGCGTGGCCAAATTAGCCTATATTCAAGCCAAATATGTCAGTCGAGCCTTTGTGAAAAAGACAGCAGACCCGGACCGAATTTTATTTGAGGCCATTGATTTAGACGATATACCCAAGGCCCTTTATGCTCTTGCCTCCGGAGCTAATGTGAATTCTTCCAGGCCGGATTTTAACACCTCACCTCGTATCTCCCTCTTCATGTCACCTCAGGAGTCTAATCCAATTCAGATGTTTATGCCCTTTCTCATGGATCTCAACGATCATAAAGATCATCAAGAAAAATTACAAGTGTCAGATGAAAAGAATTATATCGTTCGTTATGCCTTGCATTACGCTTTATTGCATGGTCGCGTTGTAGACACCGAGGATGTCTTTCATCCTTCCTCACCTACTACCGTCAGTAGTCATGGATCCACCGTCTTATCCGAAGAAGACTATCCTGTCAAGAAAGCAGCCGTGATTTTCCCAATGGCCGAATTTTTGTTACAAAATGGGGCGGATACTGGTATTATAGATACCCAAACAGGACATACCTTGGCTGAATTGGTCGGTATGGGTTCCGTTGTAGATGATCATGCTATTGCCTATATCAACCTGAAGAATACGGCCCGTGGTCAATCTTCCATTGTTAGATCCATCTCTTCCGTACGTCCCAAACACGATTCATTACCACCCGAGTTACCCAAAAAAGATCAAGATATCTCTTAAAAAAAACTATTTTTTTTTATTTACCTTATTTATAATAATTTTTCTCTCTCTTTCTATCTATTTACCCCCACAACCTTTCTTCTTATTCAAAACATAATAATAAATATACACAACTAAATATAATCTTTGTGGGAGGGTTCAACATTCAGATCATTCAGCAGTAACCTTTCTAGATAACTGTACACGGTATTTTGCTCCGTTAAGTACCGGCTCTTGCAATATCTAACACAGACAGTTATTTGTGTATATTTTTGGGTACCAAGTCTTTACATATGAATGTGTTGGAACGAATTGGCTGAAGTTGAATAATGACTATGCCCAAGACCCTGTAGAGCACGCTTATTTTTTTAAAGCGGCCTTCAGGTTTGGGGCACCAGAGGCTGATAAAATCCGCTCGGCCTTGGAGAAGATACATGCAAAGTGTTGCTGTCCAGGACAATGCTTGTTCCATTTTAAAAGAATCAGCCGGTATGGCTTGCGTTTTGTTTGATTTAATCTCATTTATACATGCGTGCTCGATCTGTCTTTAACAAGATCAGTGCATGCTTCAGTTCCTTTTTGTGAAATATAATCAAGTGATCTATTAATGATTACTATATTATTTTCATTTTACATCAAGATCCTTGACATTGAAGAAACTATTTGAGGTCTTAGATCTTGCTGCGCGCAGTCTACTTTAGATTTACTTATTTACGTTACTTAACTTCACATTAAAAAAGAAAAACGTTATGGTTAACAACCATTGAAAAAGAAAAAAGAGTTTTATTGAGAGTTTTTATTAATCAAGAAAAGATAGCTTATACAAATCAAGACATCGTTATTATTATAAGTTAGTTAAAGCACAAAAATTCTCATGATCTGCTATTTTACTTACTTGATATCATGAACACACCACACAAATAACAGTAGTAGATACACATTTGCCACTCACATAAAGAAGCGAGTGTTTCCAGGATGGCCACGAGGAGGCTTGTATCCATACATCCCGCATTTTCGGTTTTGTCTAGAATGGGGAGAAAATCGAAAAGGTAATAGAAGCTGTGGGGGTGAGACTCGATGGAAAAGGACTAACTTGATCAACCGGACCGTAGTCTGATAAATTAATATGTGAGTTGTAGTCAAGTAAGAATGCAAGGTACACTTTTCCACCCTCTACAACGCGTCCCTGTTACCCTCCTGTGAGAGTAAAACTATCTAAACCGAAAAGAAAAACAGACCTAGCCGATAACGTCAGTATCTACCTCTCCGTCACTGCCAGCTCAAGGATTGTTATCCAGTTAAGGACGACCATCACGTCCAAAGCAGTAACTACCCCCTCGGAAAGATAGCACTCCTCTGGTATTCCCACCAATATTGCCAGCTCAGTTGTTGAAGCGAAATCTCTGACACTACCACGATCGTCGAAACTACCATGGATTTTAAGTAGATCTCACCACCTTTTTACGAGTGGGCTATGAAGAAGAAGGAGAAAGAAGAAAAAAAAAACAAACAAAAAAATTTTTTTTACGCCAATTATTCACAGTTTGTTTGTACTGGATTTCCCACCGTATTTTCAAAAAATAGTCCCTAATTTTTCAAAAAGTCCGCAGTAATTTTTCAAAAACATAACCTTAATTTTTCGAAAAACTTTTACCATGTCCATTGACGTTTTTATGAGCGATCTTAATCTTGATGTAGAAGGTGACGAGGAGACTGAAGAGCTGTACGTTCACTTATACCAAAAAAGTGCTGGATCGGCATCTAGTGTTACTGAAAGTGCCATGGAAGTAGATGAGGATATTGCTGACGATTTGGAGGTTTTCCCTGATAGTAATGACGAAGACAGCAACAAAAGTTCGGATGAAGAGAGTGCCCGCATTGATGAGACTTTAGAAGAAGCACATATTCGTGTAAAGAACTATTGTGACCTTCATTATAACCAGCCCGAATTTAAGCACGAGGATAAAAAGAAAAGAATCCACATGAAGTATAAAGATGAACAGATAGGAATGTTCATTGACTTGATCGCTGCTGGCTCCGATGTGAAATCAGCCTGTAATTCAACTGGTATTAGATTGCACTCTGGTTATAATTATAGAAAAAAGTATAGAGAAGACCCAGAATTGGGAATCCCTGAAAGAAAGAAACGAGGTCCTAAGGGATCCCGATTCAAATTAAAAGACAGGCATGCAGACTGGATCATCAAGTACATCGACGAAAGACCTACTGCTGTACTTGCTCAAGTTCTGGAAGATTTGACGAATCATTTTTCGGATGAGAATATTCAGGTGAGTAAGTCAGCATTGCATAGATTTATGAGAGAAAGATGTGCTTTATCTATGAAACGACTTGAGAAAATACCTGCAAGACGAAACCACATTGATGTAATCACTCAACGTCGAGAGTCGGTAGAGGATTGGATTGCTAACGAGGATATGGACTTTGAAAAAAACTGCGTGTTCATAGACGAAGCAGGGTTTAACATAAATATCACCCGTAACAGAGGTTGGTCAAAGAAAGGCAAGCCTGCCAAGGCTATTGTACCTACCTCTCGCAGCACGTCAATCACTATTTTAGGCGCAATTTCAACTGACGGTTTAATTGACATATCATTAAGAAAGCCTACCTCAACAACGGGGAGCAAAAAGAGAAAGGTCAATGGTAAAGAAGTTGTCGTAAATGGTAGAGTGGGTACAAGATCATCTCATTTCATGAGCTATCTTAGCAGCATGATGGATTGTTTAGATAGAAATGGATTACACGGCTATTATCTTGTAATGGATAATGCACCAATCCACAAACCAATTGCAATCAGAGCGTTAATAGAAGAAAGAGGCTATAAGTGCGTTTATTTGCCTCCATATTCCCCCTTTCTTAATCCAATTGAGGAATTTTGGTCGAAGGTAAAGAGTGGTATTAAAAGAAACCCTTTGGACACAGGCGATCTTTTGACTCCTCGAATTATGGAGTCAGTTACAAATGTAACTTTACAGGATTGTCGTGGATGGATTCGACATTCGGTTAGCTTCTTTCCTCGATGTATTGCTATGGAAAAAATGCTTTAAGTTAATAAACAATTATAAAAAAACTACTTGTCTTTTGAAAAAATATTGGTATCTTTTTAAAAAATTAGATTGAACTTTTTGAAAAAATAGTGGACTATTTTTTGAAAATATGGTGGGAAATCCAGTGATGTAGATCAGTGTTAATTCCTTATCACCGTCACAATGCATCCACAAAAAAAGGATCAAATGATGTATAGGGAGCACACATTTACTGGTATTCAACATTCATATTGATACGGAGTCAATCAAACTCAAGACTATGTAGCTGGTAGATGGGCAAGTATTGGATGCATCGAGTAATTTTTCTTGTCAACTAGCACACTCTTTCTACCTGTTGAATTAAAATCGTGGCAATCAGCAGGGGATCAGTTTCGTCCTATTTAATAAATAATTAGCTTACATATTGACACAGATTTCTTTGGCAGCGATAATAGTTAGTCACGATATATATATAAACCTGTATTCCCTGTTATCGTAGCGTGTGCTTTGTTTCATTTCCCATTGTATACTCTATCACATTTAGTCTTTTAAGAGCACAGATAATATGCAGTAGGAGTCATTTCATATTGTCAAAAGTCTTCAATATATGAATAATAACCCATCTCATGATTGACAGCTCCCCTCCATGAAGACACAGATTTATGTTTTACTGTGCATCATAAATAATGTTTTGGGTCTGATTCAATAAATTTTAATCCACCTCCTCCTGACCTACATTTGATAACCATCAGTATTCTCGTATTTTTACATCTATCAATCAGTGTAGCTCATTTTAATAAATATTGGATTAGATAGTATTAACAGTCTTTCTACCGTTTCTGAACTTCATCTAAGAACACGCAGTAAAGGTTGAACTATACTACATAAATAAATAAAAAAGCGTAACACAAAATATCAAGATTAGATTGACAGGGTGTAAAGAAGGGCTAAATTTCAAAATCAAAAATCAAAAATCAAAAAGCTTCATCTTTGTTATTCTCGCGTTCATAAGCATTGTCCTCAATGGAAAATGGGATGGAGTCTCATAGCTGTCGAGACTGCGCCCAGAAGGGCCAAAACAAGATTGTGCATGTAAAGCTAAGCAGCACGTGACATTGTTATTGTACAATGAATACTCGACAAAGTAAGGATCACAGCAGTTTTTTCGATTAAAACCATCAATCATCTGTAGGGTTATATATTTAATAATTAACCGATACACAACATTGTACAGGTCACTATAAAGAGATGTCGATTGGGTTTTTATTCATATCCAGTAGGTGAAAAAAAAGGCATTTGCTTTGAGCGTATCCGTATTCAAGCAAAAAATTATTCGACACGTCTAGTAAAGAAAATTATGGAATGCCGAATTTGTCGGCTCTCTTAAAATAAAGATGGCGACAAATAAAATCATCTAGATGGATAAAAACATGTTTATTGTAGGATGAAGGAGGGGGGGGGGGAATGAATTCTATGAGTTTCTTTGTGAAATAATAGGAGATGTTTCCAAAAAATAAGCATCAGAAGGATGTACAAAGATTTGTTGGTTGGGTTGACCCGGGTATTTTATAAGCGCTTTGATATTGGGAATATCCAGATGAAACGCAGTGATGGATTTACAAGCGATCCGAATTGTTAATTTATCATCCATATCAAACGTATGATGGTACATCGTATCCTCTTCCATTTGAACAACACCTTGTCTATCATGACCCCAATAGAACAAGGTCTGTTGCTCCATTTCAAGACACAAGTGAAATTCGTGGTAATCATCCTCACTGTCTTCATGTCCCGTATCCATACAATGTAAAACATCGAAGCCTGTATCACACATGGGCATCTCCCATATACTATCATATTCAAAATCAGAATCCAAGATGGATAAATGTTCTAAATAAGGCAAACGTTTCGAGATCTCTTCCAATGCCGTATTCGAAAACACACAACAATCAAACACAAGCGTGTGTAGCGTACGACAGAGAACCATGGGCAAACTATCATTATCGCAATGCGAAAACAAAAAATTCCTCAATTCCAACGTCTGGAGCTGAGGACAGTGCTTCAATACATAATCCAAACAATAACCATGGACATCGTTTCGGTGCACTTCTCCGTCTCCTAGGTAAAGAGTATAAGCATCACCAAAATCAAGCACGAACCCCGTCAACTGACGTCCGAATCTCCGGATGAGATCGCGATGGGGTAAAATCGTATAAGGCGTGTGTAACGGCTGCACGCATTTGACCAAAATTTTCGTGTGGGTCAAACTGACATGTTCTGGATGATGGTAGTCGTTTTCGTACCGTATTTCGAGCGTTCCATCAAATCCGCTCTTCTTTAAAAACCCACCAGCCACCTCAGTGCCTTGCAAAACGTACATTTGTTCTAAGTTTAAAGTGGGTATGTTTCTATAACTATGTAACATAAATTGGACTGCAATGTCCGTAGTGAGAACATTTTCCACCGAAAGCTGGCTTTTGAGGGTGTTCATGGCAAAAAAAATATGAAGACATTCGAGGTTTGGAAATACATGCATTAGCCAAAGGAGTAGTCGTCGACTGGGTAAGATAAGGCCTGATCCAATCCATTCCTTGATATGACGACATGGCGTCCTTTCATGATGATCCTCATCATGCCATGTCTCATCCATACGCGTACGTTGATTGATCTCCACTGAGCGTAGTGATCGCGAGGTTTGAATCAGTCGATCGGTATCATACATGTTGTCGCCTGAGACATGGCATAACAGATACTTAAGTCGAGGAAATGCAACCAACGAGTCTCCATAGTGATGAAGATGATCCCAAATCATTAAACGTAGCAACCTGTCACGCAAGTGCCAAGCGGCCTGTGCGTAAATAGTGGCCGTATCGTTATCTTCTGGAAACGGAATATTCTCGAGAAGAGGACACGGATGTTGCATAAGTGTCGTATAAAAGGCAGTGGCCGCCACAGGGCTCCGGAAATGCACAGGATCCATCGTCTTGATAAAACGACAACTACGAAAGATATCTGCCAGAGAACGGTCCGAGGTGAAAAGAGGGAAAGAAATCGTTATCTTTTTGACCATTTGACTTGGACCGTTATATCGGGTCATGGCATCTGCAAACGAAGTTAATTGTTTTGGACTAGAGAGTTTGACACTGTTGTATATGAGCCCTTGCGTGGCCAAATGCCAACTTCTACAAGTATATAAACAACTTCCCAAGTCCAGTTGATCTAATTGGGTTAAAATGCAGTACAAGATCTCGAAGGGTAATGCTCCCCATGAGGCCATTTTTTTTTTGTGGGAGGAGGAGACAAAAAAATAATAAAAATAAAAAGGGAGCGGGTTATCAAATAATTTCATATATAAAAAAATAAAAAATAAAAATGACTGTGGGAAAGTTGACCCCAATGAATGCGTTTGTTCCTTCTTTATTGTTCTGATCTGGTTCGTGGTTAATTCCGTCTGACCAGTATGATCTGTGTATCCAATGACAAGTTTCATTGTTGTGTTATAATTCGAATAGGTCACAGGTTCAAACAGTGACGGTTCTCTCTTTGTGGGGTTTTACTGCAAAAATGTCAAAATCCCACGTTTCAAAAAACTTTTTACAACAGAATAAAAGTAACTCAAGCATATGTTTTACACGGCTTTTTATTAAAGGGCAACGCGCTAGAAAAGAATCGGAGAGGATATATATAGAGAGGGCATTTTAAATTATTTAATGCACTATCATACAAAATAAAGTAAAGAATATAAAAAGCGCCGGTTTGGAACGGAAAAGTCTGTGCATTTATTAAAAAAAAAAATCGTTAATGGCGTCACTTGAAATTCAACCGTCACTTTTTTTTTTGAGCAAAAAAGCAAAAACGGGACGGGTGCGCGTAGAATAATCAAAAAGATGATAGGTTGGGGGTTAAGCAGAGATATTTTTTTTTTTGTTTCTTTCTCCCAGTAAAGGTTTTTGCTCTCTCTCTTCACTTTTATTTATTGTAATTTTATATCAAACCTGGGCAAGGTTAGAGGGAAGGCAGAAAAAAAATCTATTCCTTGACCCATATTATCTAAAAAAAAAAAAAAAAGCTCTTTTGTTTCTTTCTTTCTGAAAAAAAAAAGATGGACGATCGCACCTATTCGAAATCGAGAGAAAAGTCTCTTGAACGAACAAGTCATCACCAAGAAAAAAAAAGCTCAACGACACACGATAAACGAAGTCGAGACTATAGCAGTGATCGTCATCATGGACATCGAGAAAAGCGGAGGAATTATGGCGACGAAAGAACCACCACCAGCACAACGACGAGTGGACGTTACAGTAGGTCACACCGCGACAGAAGTCGTGATCGAAGTCGTGATAGAACTTCATCTTCGTCATCCTCGTCTTGGAGAACAAAAGATAGATCAAAAAAAGATAGACCTTCCTCCTACCATCGACGTAGTGATCACAAAGAGGACACTCATCATGACAAGGACGCTTTACCATTAGGCCCAAAAGCAGATACAATCATGCCACCACAGCAAAATACGTCGTCTTCAGAAATGGATCATCCTCCCACCGCACCCGCTGCTTATTATCAGCCACACCAAGATTCTCATCAACAACAACCCGTTGTCAACAATCCTGTTCATGCTTCTGCCAATGCCACTTCGGCCAATAATGCTGCTACTGCTATTTCTAATGCTAATGCTACTGCGGCGGCAGCGACGGCGGCTGCTACAGCGGCTGCCACAGCAGCTGCTTGGAATAATTATTACAGTACGTGGACACAAGCCGATTATGCAAGCGCATACCAATCAGCAGGATATACAGCTGAACAGTACCAAGAATACCTTCAATATTATCAGACTCACGATCCACATAATTTTTATGGTTATTATGATCCTGCCTATTATCAACAACAACAACAACACCACCACCAACAACAACAACCCCAACATCAACATCAACAGCAGCAACCCCAACAACAACAACAGCAAGAAATACCCCCACCTCCACCCACGAACAATAACAATCACCATTCCATGACCACTGTAAGTACGCATCCTCCTCCCCCACCTCCACCTCCTTCGAATAACACAACAACAACTGCATCCGATGTAAACCAACCACCTCCACCGCCACTGGCGATCCAATCATTACAAATTTCAGAAATATCTTTTACAGGACAGACAGGTGGTGTGCCTGAATCAGCATTGGATGATGTGGGATATCCGTTTCAAACACCTGAGGATCCCTCTGCACTATTCGAAAAGATTGGACAGGTTGGAGAAGGCACCTATGGGTACGTTTTCATAAAGGAATCGAGAGAGATGGGTGGTTAACATATTATTGTGTAGTAAGGTGTACAAGGCACGCAATGGTAAAACAGGGAAATTGATGGCGTTAAAACGTATCCGAATGAAGACTGAAAAGGACGGGGTAAATATATAGAGGGATGTGCTGTTTTCTTTAGAAAAGAGACTAATAGGATGAGGATAGTTTCCGATTACAGCCATGAGAGAAATCAAATTATTACAAAAATTAAAACATGAACGTATTGTGCAATTACAAGAGATCATGGTAGCCAAGGGCTCTGTATATATGGTACTGGAATACATGGATCATGATTTATCAGGTATATTAGGTCATCCTAATTTCAATTTTGAGCCGGCTCATGCAAAATCACTGGTCAAACAAATGCTGGAAGGTCTGGCTTACCTTCACCATATGGGTATACTGCATCGTGATATCAAGGGATCTAATTTACTGATCAATAACAAGGGTGAGCTGAAAATCGCGGATTTCGGTCTGGCAAGAGTTTTTGAAAAGAATAGAGCACATGATTATACCAACCGAGTCATCACACTGTGGTATAGACCGCCCGAGTTATTACTGGGTGCGACTGCCTATGGCCCCGCTGTCGATATCTGGAGTGTCGGGTGTATCATGTTGGAATTCTTTACAGGGAAAGCGGCTTTTAGTGGCGTGGATGAAATCACACAATTGGATTCGATCTATAAAATTATGGGTACACCTTCCGTTGAAAATTGGCCTACCGTGAAGGAACTGCCTTGGTATGCTATGGTGCGTCCTAATGAAAATTACGTGTCCAAGTTTAAAGAATCTTATGCATCGTAAAGTAGCTTTAAAAAAATAATTATAAAAAAAAAAGAGAGAGATATCTAACGGCTATATGTGGTTTAGGTTATTATCAGCGGGAGCTTTAGAGTTATTAGAAGCCTTATTATCAATGGATCCATTAAAAAGACCATCGGCAGCTGAGGCGTTAAATTTTGATTATTTTAAGACGGAATTACCAGAGGCAGTGATGCCTGCAAAGTAAGTTTAAAAAAAAATCTTTTTTAGGAGATAATCTAAAAAAAAATTCAACTCTGTAGCTTATTGGATATTGCTGGCGACTGGCATGAATTTGAATCAAAGCAACGCAAACGTCAAAAGGGTTCTAATTCATCAAATACCAATAATAACAAATCCAAACAAGAAACTAGACCAAAAGCAGCACCTTCACTACCTTCATCTTCTCGACCTTAATCCTATACAAAGAAAAAAGATATATATATATATAAAATAAAATAAAAAATAAAAAAATGTATAACAATGATTTTTTTAGATTTTGACAGTGTGCTTTTAAAAATATCTCCGCTCTATTGCTTAATCTGGTAATAGATAAAAGATCATCTCCCCTTAATTTTTGTTGATTTTGGAAAAACGATCACTAGATAAAACTTGTCTACTCTCTTCTCTTTTTTATTTTCACTTTTTTTTTATATTTCTCCACTCTCTTTCTTACACTTTTTTTAGAAAATAGAAGAAAAAAATGATTACTGCTTTCATCAGTCATCAAACTAGAAGGGTACTTACATATACACGCACGCACATATACACACAAAATAGATGGATGTCAAGTTGTATTAAACCATAATAACTCATTAGGTTCCACGTCAAGCTTTCCGCAGTGTTACAGCTATCCGCTCATTGGCTTTACAACATAACCCTGTTGTCGAAAAGGATTGTTCTTCCATCACACCTCCTTATGCCAAATTAACCAAGAACTTGGATCTCGTCAAGCGTGTTTTAAATCACCGTCCTTTGACTTTGGCCGAAAAGGTCGTGTATTCTCATTTAACCAACCCTGAAGAAACCATCCCCGTACGTGGCGAGACTTACCTCAAGTTATCTCCTGGTAAGTTTTTTTTTAAAAAAAAGTGTGGGCGCGTCATATTTATTTATTTGTTGTTTGTGACGGGATAGATCGTGTCGCTATGCAAGATGCGTCTGCACAAATGGCGCTTTTACAATTCATGTTGTCTGGTATGCCTACCACCGCTGTACCTAGTTCAATTCATTGCGATCATTTAATTGCTGCCAACGAAGGTGCTGATAAGGATGTCGCTGAATCCATCATCGCCAATAAGGAAATCTTTGACTTTTTGGAAAGTGGTGCTAAAAAGTACGGTGTTGCCTTCTGGAAACCCGGAAGTGGTATCATTCATCAAATTGTCTTGGAGAATTATGCTGCCCCCGGTGGTTTGATGCTTGGTACTGATAGTCATACTCCCAATGCTGGTAAGTAATTTTTGTGTGTGTGTGTGTATGCATATGTGGATTAATTAATTTTTTATTATTATTATTTAAAAAGGTGGTTTGGGTATGGTTGCTATTGGTGTGGGTGGAGCTGACGCTGTAGATGCTATGGCTGCTATTCCTTGGGAATTGAAGGCTCCTAATGTCATTGGTGTCAAATTAACCGGTCGTTTAGGTCCCTGGGCCAGTCCTAAGGATGTCATTTTAAAGATGGCAGGTCAATTAACCGTCCGTGGTGGTACTGGACATATTATTGAATACTTTGGCGAAGGTGTTGAAACTTTGTCCTGTACTGGTATGGCTACCATGTGTAACATGGGTGCCGAAGTAGGTGCTACTACCTCTCTTTTCCCTTATACATCCACCATGCGTTCTTACTTGAACTCCACCGGTCGTCGTGCTGTGAGTCAAGCTGCTGATGCCAATGCTCCCTTCTTACGTGCTGATACAGGTGCTTATTACGATAAGGTCATTGAGATCAACTTGTCTGAAGTCGAACCCCATATCAATGGTCCTTTCACACCCGATTTAAGTACTCCCTTGAGTAAGTTCAAGGATTTCATTGCAGAGAATGGATGGAAGGATGATCTTACCTCTTCTTTGATCGGAAGTTGTACCAATTCATCTTATCAAGATATGTCCCGTGCTGCTTCGATTGCTAAGCAAGCTACAGATGCTGGTGTCAATATCAAGTCTCAATTCTTGGTCACCCCTGGTTCTGAACAAATTCGTGCTACCATTGAACGTGATGGACAACAATTGGTGTTTGAAAATGCTGGTGGACAAGTGTTGGCTAATGCATGTGGTCCTTGTATCGGACAGGTAAAGATAAAAAAAAATGCATGGTTTTAATAAGAGAGAGAAGGAACTAAACTAGACGTCTTAATTTTTTAGTGGAAGCGATCTGAAAAGAAGGGAGAAGAAAATGCAATTTTAACCTCTTTCAACCGTAATTTCCGTAGTCGTAACGATGGCAATGCTCAAACCATGAATTTCTTGGCCGCTCCCGAAATTGTGACAGCCATGGCATTTGCAGGCAAATTATCCTTCAACCCTATGACCGATGCCTTAAAGGATAAGAATGGTAAAGATTTTCATTTCAATCCTCCTACTGGTGATGATCTCCCTACCCATGGTTTCGAAGCTGGACGTGCTACCTATGAACCTCCTTCCCCTACACCTACCCCCGATGCCTCTGTTCAAATCTCCATCGATCCCAAATCCAACCGTCTTCAAGCTTTAGACGCTTTCCAACCCTGGAACGGTGAAGAGTTCAAGGATATCCGTGTCCTTGTCAAGGTCAAAGGAAAGTGTACCACCGATCACATTTCTGCCGCCGGTCCCTGGTTAAAGTTCAAGGGCCATTTGCAAAACATTGCTGAAAATACATTGATTGGTGCCCAAAATGCTGATAACGGTAAAGTCAACGTGGTGACGGATATCACCACTGGAAAGGAAGATACCATCCCTGAAGTGGCTAAGAGTTACAAGAATCAAGATATGGAATGGACTGTCATTGCCGATCATAACTATGGTGAAGGTTCCGCTCGTGAACATGCTGCCTTGCAAGTGCGTTACTTGGGTAGTCCCATGATTATCTCTCGTTCTTTTGCACGTATTCATGAGACCAACTTAAAGAAGCAAGGTGTCTTACCCTTGACTTTTAAGAACGATGCGGATTATGAAAAGATCAATGGAGGTGATGTGATTGAAACTGAAGGTCTCAAGACACTGGCTCCCGGTTCCCCTGTCAAGTTGATCGTAACAAAGCCTGACGGTTCCAAGTTATCTATTGATGCCGTTCATACCTTGAGTGAAGATCAACTCCAATGGATTCGTGAAGGTTCTGCATTAAATCTTATCAAGAAGAATGTTGCTGCTCAGCAATAAGTTAGAATTTTATTTTTATTGTAATATATTTTTTAAAAAGAAAAAACCCCGTATCATATAATAAAAATGGGGGTTAAACCAAATACCAAAAGAAAAAAAAAAGCTTTTTAGTACCATCTTAAAAAAGTTTCCCTAAGTTTATTAGATAAAACTCTTTTCACTCCAATAGAATAAACGCCAGGAAACAATTGGTATGATTAAGAATTTTGTTTGGCCTACGATCAGAACTAATATGAGATCATACATGTACAAATTGGTATGTGATGTTAAACCTAATCACTTTTTGTCAGTGCTTCAACAGTAAAGTGTATTTTATGAAAAACAATAAATCAATCATCTCTTGGTATCTAGTCTAAAAAAAAGAAGTTATCATGTTATTTTTAGAAACTACGAGATGATAGAGTTTTTTTATTCATTTTTCATTAAAATAGGACTTCTTTTCATGCATTTTACTAAAGAACAATTAGTAAGTTCAGCATCACGTATGTGTAAGTCTGTAGGGGATACTCATATATTTAAATTAGTAACTGTACGAAGCTATTTGCAGATGTTTCCATACTAAGTAAATGCCCAAACACTCTGGATTAAAAAAAAAATTATTATGTTTCTGGTTAAGGACATTAATGAAAACCAGGTAGATTATACAGTGTCTATACATTAAAGATGTAGAAATAGACACTTGCAAAACTTGCATGGACAAAAACACCAAAAAAATGGTTTAGAGCTATGAGTCACGTCACTTCTACATTCAAAGGTATGGGAAGCGAGGAAAAATCAAATTTACAGTCTTTAAGAAGATACTACTGTATGCCCGAACTGGTGAAAAATCCCGGAAACTAGTGCAAGCTCCTGGACGGATTTCAGAAACCCTCATCAACGCGTACTTTAGTAACTGTTCTGTCTGAGAAACCTCCTGCCATTGTTTTTTTTTCTTTCAATGCACTTTTATGAAGCTTTCAAGTATTTAGCTGCAGCGATGCAGAAACAGGGAAAGCAAGGGAGTACACAGGACGGGTGGAAGACTTTATCAATATAAAAGAAATTATTTCGAAGTTTAAGGGTTTCTATACACTGAAAGCAACGGCAGCAAAGGAAAACAGGCTAAAAAATCTTAGCTCATGTAGAAGGTGAAACTACAAGTGCTGTTTTGAAATTTCTGGGTGCTCAAAGTCTTTATAAGAGGGTCTTGGGCAGGATAATGTTTAGCATAGACTTTTTATTAATTAAGTGCTCATGATAATTAACTACATTATGGTACGTAGATCTTTGATGAGGACGAATGCGCTGACGATCTGCCTAATAAAACAGAAGGTGTAAATTGGTCCAAGGTTTTAAAAAACAAATTATTCTGATTATTTTCTAGTTGGTCACAGCCATTTGTAGTCTGGTAACACACCCTTTTACAGTACAATTACTGCTATTTACTGTCGGTATAGAGAACTTTTCCCAAGAGATCTTTAACACCACTTACAGCTGTAACAAGTACGCCTTCGTTAAATCTATCAAATAATCATGCAATAACCTTTGTACTTGTTCGGTATGATTCACAGGCATATAACCAACACTGTGAGCGAACGCTCTTTTCCGAAGTTTTCTTGCAACAGTTTAAAATTATTTGCTAAAAAATGGCCAAGCTCATCTATTTTTAAATGGATCGAAAAAAAAAAGCGTCAGAACACCGATCACATTGGCTGGCAAAACAAGAATTATGTGAGAAAGGGATGTTCAAACAAAATTGCTAGAAGGTGTTGGAATTATGAGGAAAAGCAACATCAATTTTATTATGCTTGAATCATCTGGGTAAACTGACCATAACTTTGACATAACTGTATTGTATTATCGATATAGATTATATTTATTTAGTTTCGATGGTGACCTTTACACGCACACTTTAGAAAATACGATAAGAATCTAAAGAATGGTATTGATTCACTCTCTATTATCTTATGTGATTATAAAGACTGCAATTTCGAAATTGCTAAGGAACTCGTGGTACTCACAGGGCATATCATCAAATATAAGCTTACCATTATTAAATACCCACCAGAATATGGATCCAGGTGGGTTACTTTTGAGGTCCGATATTGTAAAGTACCTCTGGCTCATCAAGAAGATGTAATGATTGTATAATCAAAAAAGACAATAGTCAACAACAAAAAAGCGGATGGAATACTACTCAATAACAAATACAAGATAAATTCTGATTTTAGAGGGAATTTTAAAATAGATAAAAGAGTATTTACAAGTTATCCTGAACTTGGTATATAATCCATCAGTGTTTTAGTTGTAACATAAATCAAGTCAATCATTCCGTGAAGCCTAGAAAAGATTAAAATTATATAGCTTTTTTTTTTTGGACGTTCCCTTTAGTCTTGTCATCCAAAACCTGTATTTAGTCTACTGTCAAGATTATCCCGTAAATCCCTCCCCCCTAATTTAAAATATCCCGTAGAAAACAATGTTATTTTTTTCCTTCCTTATCCCGGGATCTGCCATTTGTGTTAAAACTCATCTATCAGAATTTTATGTTACAGGTGGTCAAAAAAAAAAAAAAAAAAAAAAAAATGGCCAAAGCACGTCTTGTACTTCAAAGAAACTATAAATGGCTGGTAGTAAGGGGAATTTTGACCAATCACGGGGAAATATTTGGGTAGATTGATAATAGCCAATAGCAAGTGATTTGTAATAAATAGGGCAAACCTGGGTCTAAATGAGGGACGGACCAATATTTTGAATGCGAACAGTGTAAAGAAGGACCAGCCGCGGTACATTTTGTGAAATAGAGCGCACGTTTTTTTTAATATGTCACTCATGAACGGCAGAGTTTTTTTTTAATGCTTACATGCATAATCTGCCCGACTTGCTAATGATTGACGTTTTAGGTTTTTTTTCCCGGATTGTCTGACCAATCTCCGTAAGAATAAATTATCCAGCAATTTAGTATGACAGATTAAATAGATAATACGCAAGTCCCCCCAAATGCTTGTCATGATAGGAGAATTGGCCTAACTTGTATATTCACCGAAGAGTAACCGTTTTTTTTTCTTTTTCAGTTGAGTAGAATAATCAGACGGGTCTGTATAGCTGACTATTCAAGTTGGTATACACCTTTCAGGAGATCACAGTTCTATTAATCATGATAACGAGCTTAGCTGGGTGAATGGTTTATGCAATAAATGGCGTCATAGGCTATTTAAAACCAGGCACATTTTAAAAAATCAAAAAGCTTATTTTTCACATGCGTTAAAACAGTGTAAATAAACCATGTTTTTGTTCAGGGACAATAGTGGTCCTGGTTCCTATAGTGCAGTAATATGATCTACCATGAAATACGTAAAAAAAAAAAAAAATAGGTACCCGATCGTATGAGAAGTACCCCGCTCATGTACATGAAAAAGTGTGACTGAAATGTCAAGAGCCATAGAAAAAAAAACATAAATAATCTGTAGCTCCGAGAGTTTTTTTTGTCTGTTTTCTTCTTCTCCATATAACTTTTTTATAAAACCAAAATGGTCCAAAATATTGATCAAAGAGCTGTTGATACTGTTCGTTGTCTCGCTGCTGATGTAGTTAAGGGTGCCAACTCTGGCCATCCTGGTAATATAAATTATATATATCTAATTTTATATTTGTTGTCAGTGACTAACCAAAACTTAAAATAAAGGTGCTCCTATGGGTTGTGCTCCCATGGCCCATGTCTTGTTCAACAAGTTCATGACTTATAACCCCAAGAACCCCAAGTTCATCAACCGCGATCGTTTCGTTCTTTCCAACGGTCACGGATGTGCTCTTCAATATATCATGCTCCATATCTCTGGTTATGATGTTTCTTTGGAAGATCTTAAGCAATTCCGTCAATTAGACTCAAAGTAAGTTTCAAAAAAAAAATCCAATCGCGAAATTTTCTGGGTTATAGATTATTTTTGGATGGGGGAGGGCCAATCATCGGGGGATGAATTGTTAAGAGTCATCATTATACTGTTCAACCCAACAGGATGCATGCATTTTTTTATTCTAACAAAATTTATTAAATCTATTCAGGACTCCTGGTCATCCCGAAGCTACTGACACTCCCGGTATTGAAGTCACCACTGGTCCTTTGGGTCAAGGTAATATTGTTCATAAAAAGTGGAATCAAACCAGAAATTAACAAGTGTTGGATCTATAGGTGTTTCAAACGCTGTTGGTTTAGCTGCCGCTGAAGCTCATTATGCTGCCACCTTCAACCGTCCCGGTTTCGAACTTTTCAATAACCATACCTACGTTATTCTTGGTGATGGTTGTCTTCAAGAAGGTGTCACTGCCGAAGCTATTTCCCTTGCAGGGTAAAGTTTTTTTTTTCTTTTTTTTGTGTACCTTGGATCTATTTTGATTATTAACCCCAACAAAAAAAACATAGTCACTGGAAGCTCGGTAAATTGATTGCTCTTTATGATGACAATGCCATTACTATCGATGGTTCTACCGAAGTTTCTTTCACCGAAGATACCATTAAGCGTTTCGAAGCCTATGGCTGGCACACTATCATCGTTGGTGATGGTGATAACGATTTAGTTTCCATCGAGAAGGCTATCGAGGCCGCTAAGGCTGTCACTGACAAGCCTACTCTCATCAAGGTCAAGACCACCATTGGTAAGTGAAAATGGGTTCATGTAATACCTCCCCCCCCAATTGTTTTACTTACCTTTTTTTAAAAATTAGGTTATGGTTCTTTGAACCAAGGTGAAGAAAAGGTCCATGGTTCTCCTCTTTCTGGTAAGCTATAGTGATAGGTTAAAAGTGAGTGAAAATTCGTTATTCATCATTTTCTCTTCTTCTTTTAGATGCTGATATCAAGCAAGTTAAGGAGAAGTTTGGCTTCAACGGTGAGGAGAAGTATGTTGTCCCTCAAGAGGTAAGTTTTTTTTTTTAAAAAAAAAAAATCATGGCGCGAACGGGTAAAACTGGGATATTAATATACTATTTTTTTTTTTTTTTAAAAAAAAAAAAAGGTTTACGATTTGTATGCCACCCGTGCTGAACAAGGTGCTCAAGCCGAAGAAGCTTGGAATGCTCTTTTCGCCCAATATAAGACCGAATTCCCTGAAGAAGGTGCTGAAATCGAGCGTCGTTTCTCTGGAAAGTTACCTCAAGGTTGGGAAGCTGCTTTGCCTCGTTTCACTCCTGCTGACCCCGCTGTCGCCACTCGTAAGTTGTCCGAAAGTGTTTTAACCGCTCTTTCTGATGTCTTACCTGAATTGTTGGGTGGTTCCGCTGATTTAACCGGTTCTAACTTGACCCGTTGGAAGAAGGCTGTTGATTTCCAACATCCCTCCACCGGTCTTGGTGACTACTCTGGTCGTTATTTCCGTTATGGTGTCCGTGAACATGGTATGTTTGCTATCATGAATGGTTTGACTGCCTATGGTGGTAGCATTCCCTTCGGTGGTACCTTCTTGAACTTCCTTACGTAAGTAAACTAGTGCTACTCTCAATTTTTTTTTTTTTTTTTTTTGCTAATCAGATTAAATTTTTTTGATTCACAGATATGGTTGGGGCGCCGCTCGTCTTTCTGCTTTGTCCCATCTTCGTGTCATCTATGTCATGACCCATGATTCCATTGGTCTTGGTGAAGATGGTCCTACCCATCAACCTATCGAGACTTTGGTCTTGACCCGTGCCACTCCCAACATGTTGACTTTCCGTCCTGCTGATGGTAATGAGGTTTCCGGTACATACTTGGTTGCTATCGAGAACGAACACCGTCCTTCCGTCATTGCTCTCTCTCGTCAAAACTTACCTCAATTAGAAGGTTCTTCTATTGAAGCTGTCCGTCGTGGTGGTTACGTTCTTCAAGAAGCTGAGGGTGCCAAGATGATTTTGGTTGCCACCGGTTCTGAAGTTTCTTTAGCTGTTGATGCCGCCAAGGAATTAGCTGCTCAAGGTATCCCCACTCGTGTTGTCTCCATGCCTTGTTCCGAACTCTATGACGAACAACCTCAAGAATATAAGGATACTGTCTTATCTGCCGGTATTCCCATCATCTCTATCGAGGCTCTTGGTGTCACTGGTTGGGAACGTTATTCTCATGCTCAAGTTGGTATGAGATCTTTCGGTGCTTCTGCTCCCATCAAGCAATTATACAACAAATTCGATATCACTGTTGAGGCTACTGTTGCCAAGGCCAAGAAGGTCATTGCCTACTACGAAAGTGCTGGTTATGTTCCTCAAGTTGGTCTCCAATTCTAAGCCATTTATCAAATCACATACCTGGGAAAAGAGAAAAAAAAAAGATGAGGAAAATCTTCATGTCTTTTTGTTAATAGAATATGCAAATACACAATAATAATAAAAAAAATTCAAACATTTGATGCATCATAGAAACAGAGTTACATTTCATTTCGCTAAAATTTATATGTATATCAGACATTTCTTACGACTGAAGGAGTTTCAAATCTACCGAATTTTTTTAAAAAAAAAAAGAGGTACTTCTGACCCACTCTTGACGTGTTGCCCTTTATAAACGCATTCAGTAAAAATTATAAATTATTTTCAGGAACATCCATTTTTTTTTTTTTTTTTTTTTTTGTTAAAAATCACACTATCTGCTTATAATAGTATCCTGCCTACTGTAAGTTGTTTTACAGAATACGAGTAACATTTTATTTAAAATAAATAGATCACGAATATTGACTCTCTTCTGCCTGCTTTCTATTCTCAAATTTCTTACCTCTAACACCGCACTTGGAGTGTTTCATCTTGATAACAAATTCCTGATCATCATCTTCCAAGTTTCTGTTAAAGTAGTATATCTTGCGATTGCCGCTAACAGGGTGATTATGATCAAGGCGACTTTTGTTCACAAATTAGCGATTTTCAACATCCTTGGTATTCATCTTGATGTTTATAAAGGCTATTCACTTGATCTAACCAGTCTTTCAGTTAGGTCCTTTCAATACACCCTCCTCTACTGTGTCGTCGTATATTTCTACTTTGTCAACGTAACTTCAATAAACATGAAAACATTGTATAAGTGGTTTCTTCGCCTTTGATGTTGCATTATCCTCCAAATTACAATAACCAGTTTGGAGTAAACTTTACCGCTTTTCAAGTGTCTAAAAGGAATGTCCTTAAACTTCCAAAAATCCAAGCATCCTACATACTTACAGCAGCTTCACTTCTGCCAACAGCCTCGTCAAATGATGGTACTGGGATGTAGTCTCGTCATCCTCCCCACAACATCCTTTGCAACACTGATAGCGTTACAATCAAACTCGCTCAGGACAGCATTTTTTGTGAGGATTTCTCTCTTCTTCTAAGGTGCTACATCCAATTGTTTACTCGAAGCCATCGTTAATTTCAACCTCATGAGTGATATCGGAAAGAAGCTTTAAATAGTAGCTCATTATCGTCAATCATTTCTTTTATCATTTCAGTTAATGTGAATATAAAAAAAAAACGGTGGCAGGGTTCTTTAGGTCTATTTTCACTCATTAAAAATGTATGTTTTATCTTATGACTTTACCGTATTATTTTACTAAATACCACATAAAAATAAACAAATATTTGATATAAATACTCAAAAACATGATTCGTGATGCAAGTACAGTGGTGATTCTTGGTGGTGATCCAATGCTCGGAGGTGGTGATTCGTGGTGGTGATACAATGCTTGGTGGCGGTGTTCCTTGGAGGTAATAATAGTCGTTGTATGGAGCCGGTGGTAACCAGGTAAGACTATTTAGTGAAGCAAGTTTTGTTCTTTTTACAAGGTTTGATATACGTTTGAGTACAAAAATTCGACGCAAGTTTTGTCCGAACTGGCGCAAGATCGGTGCATGACCGAAAAGTTCGAACACTAGTTAGGGTTTTAGTAATATACTATGGGGTGCGCCTTGACCAAAACAAAGTCGATATTTGTCTGCTCGTTATAATCTTCATTTGACCATGTAAGACTGCTCATATTCTAAAAAAAACGATGATACGCACAAAAATTATCATTACTGTCTGAGATCGAACTTTTGCACAAAGCTAGACAAGTTTGACCTGTGAAAATTCAGCACGTTCTTTTTGCTTTACAACACCTTTTAAAATGACATTTGCAGAAATCATTGAATGTACCATTGTACGGTTTAATGAATATCGATTAAAGCACAACGTTAATTAACTATTTCACGTAGGACTTTGAGGGCCAACGTTTAGCAGAACAATTAACACATGTTTTATTAACTGCTTCTGGAGTAAATTATAATTATAGAATAGATTTTACAATAGATTAATCACCTTGAATAGGTTGTCAGTTTTGCTATTGGATTCTATTTACAGTCTATCCAGATGGTGATGGCAGTCTTCGCTGCGGGCCTGGTTATTACTGCATTGGTAAAGAATGATGGGTGATGTATGCAACTAAAAGGTTTAATGTTGAATTCATAGGTTGTCGTCCCTCCTTGGCCAATGTACAGAAAGCATGCCCAACCTTTTTTAAATGAATCAGTAGTCGAAAAGAAAGATTGAACGAGTTTGCTACTTTTTTTTTATATATTATTTTTATTATTATATTTTTAATAACCCCTCCCTAAATAATGATATGGTATATAAAGAAAAAGGAAGGAAAAAAGTGTTTTATAAAACAGCTGGCTCGGGCGGTCTTATTAATAACAGTTCATGATAACTTGGTGGTAATAATATATTATTTGTAGCGACTTGATATGTTGGCAGCTCTTCTCCATTTGTATTATATATTCCCATTTCAGGATCCAACTCCGTGATATGAATCATTAAACAAAATCTAGCTGACCTACAGGGTGCTTGTTCAATGGGAACTCTTTCTAACGACCAATGTATGTGATGAATCGAATCATTTGTGTTGAATTCATACAATGTCTTTTTCAGCCTACTTTCAAACTAAAAGAAAAAATTAAGCATTTACGTAGTAAATTTGAAGTTGCGACGCACCTCTTTGATCTTGATAATCAATGTAGAACGCCTTTTACTTGTCCAGAAACTTAATCCGGTTGGAACCAAAAGGAGTATAAGTGGACACCACATTGAAATATTAAGTGATCTCGCAATAAAGGTAAATATAGCAGAGCATACGATACACACTACAGCAAGTAGAAAGATGTAGAAATCAATATGATGAGATGGACAGTGATTTCGAACGAGACGACGAATTTGACCGATCCGATCCTCTACTATTGTATTTGGCAACTAAAAGATAATTTAATATTGTTTGTTATAAGTGATACAGAGATCAACAATTACAAATGCAGATAAATTTCTTGACAGCACTTCTTCGTCGATGACCAATTTTGGTGGTCTCCATCTTAGACTGACGATATAGAAATTGAAGACCATTCAACCGATATATATATATATATATTGAAGAAGGAAAAAGAAGATAAAGATGAAATAAAAACAAGGAGTCCAAGTAAACTCATTTTTCAATATAAAAGGGGAGCGTTAAAAGGGGATAGCTGAGGGGCTAAAAATCAAAATTCTTGTTACACACACACACACTCGAAAGAAAACAAAAAAAAAAGCTTTTTCTTCGTCCTTCTCTTGTCCTAATGTAATGTTCTCAACCACAGCTACGAAACCCGCACAACATGCACCCAAAAGAAACATTAGGAATTTATTCTTCCTCCTGTTTGCTTTCATAACGGGTGGAAGAATACATACGTTGCCCTCGGGTCAAGTAAGAATTATGTTCAGGTGGCAATATCTCGTTGTATCTTTATTAGCTGCTTGTTTGGGTACATTTGTTATTGTAAACACCACCCGGTTCTCCTGGAATCATATAGACCAAAATGACGAGGAAACCATATTCGCCCCATTCACCTGTCGTAAGGGTTCTTCCAAATGGAGAAACTACATTACGAATCAGCCTATAAATCTCGGAAACACTCATCCTAAACGTGAGTGTTTCAATCTATTTTTAAAAGTAAAAGAAGTTAACCCTTATTTCAGTCTATTACCCGAGAAACTGTCCCCATTTCCAACAGCATCTAAAATCTTGTGCAAAACCAGTTCCTTCCTTTATATTTGCTGGTAGTGAGTTCGCTGGTGCATCCTATGTGTTTCGAATGCTCAAGAAGCATCCTCAAGTGGCGGAGGCATCGGTAGATAACAGTGTTCCTCACAACCATGTATTTGTTAAAGACGAGTTTGATGACGCAAATGCATTTGATTCTTATATTTCTCAATTCCCTTTTTTAAAAGATGACATGCTGGCCACTATGGAAGAAAAAATGAACTGGATTGTAGGTGAAAACGCACCACACTACTTGTATCATAGTCACTTGGCAGCAAAAAGAATTAAAGATACGTTACCCCATGTCAAGGTAATATCTAGAAAAAGGCAAATAAAATCCAAACTTATCCATTGCGTTCATATAGCTAGTATTTTTTTTACGAGAACCCATCGCCAGAGCTTATTCGCAATATTTATATGAAAAATCAGGTAATGCAAACGCAACCCAATCAAAATGATCCAATTTACCAACATGCAGTATAGAAGTAAATAACTCCAAGTTGACATTTGAAGCCTTAATCGATTTGGAATTGCCCATATTACGTCGTTGTGGACATACAAGCACACAAACAGGATGGGAGGGATTCGTAACATGTCATCAAGGCAGTGAAATTCGAGGTAATGCGTAATAGGTGCTATACGTGTGCGGATCCTATATTGATATCTGATATTTAGCTTCGTGGAAAGTTTCAAATGACACACATGCGTTTAATTCACTAGCAAAAGGGATGTATTATCCAGCACTTGTTCCCTTTTTACAACAGTTCCCATCTTCGCAGCTATTTATTATACGAACTGAAGATATTTTGCTAAACCCCTCCGGTTCATTTCAACAACTAGCAAAGTTTTTGGACATTGATCCAACATTCTTTGCTGAAAGAAACTTTTATCAAGATGAGCATCTAACCGAAGCTGAATTAATATCAACACCACCAGAGAATGCAATCGGCAAAGATGATATAAAAAACGAAAATCATCGATCCAATGTTTTTATTCAGACATCAAGGCCGCCACGTCTACAGGTTAATAACGATCATCGAGACAATCATCTATTTTTCTCTTCAAATAATGATGAGCCCAAATTATCCACTCGATATAGACTTCAACGAGTATTTAGAGATTTGAACTATAGGCTTTTAGAAATATTTGATAATAGCAAGACATATTTTAATGGTTGGATTTATGATGTGGATCGCGGATAAGAAATAATGGGAAAAAAAAATTACAAATCTCTTTTCTTTGCAATGTACTCTCTAATCCAACTCGAACTAATCTTCAAAACATCCATATCTTTACCCTGAACAGACGAGTTTTCAGATGAAATCACATCTATAATTCGTAACTCTAAGGGAGGGTATCCGCGCATATCTCTCTCACTATTGACTGTTTTTAATGTATTAATAAATAATTTACCAAGCAAAATATTTCTAAATTTTACCTAAATCGCCGCCTTTAAGAGTTTCCTTAGAAACAACAAGTGCATCAATCGTAGGGTCAGTGACAGTAGGTCCGAATGGATCAGTGATAGGTACGACTTCATACGTGATACTTCTTTTGACAAGGTTTAAGTAGCTCTTTACCAGTTCTACTCTTTTTGCAGTTGGTTCAATTAGATCCCTATGTTTCTTCTTTAACAACATGCAATCGTCTAATACTAAATCAGAGTCTTATCACTAGAGTATCAAATTCACCTTTACCTGTAACACCTACCACCATACTCTCTTTTGCTAAAATTGCTGTCATGGTCAAGAGAATTTTATGACCAGCGTGAAGTTGATCAAATGTTCCACCAACAGCAACACGATCAAACACCAAAGGTTCAATAGGACCTGTATTTTCTATCAATTTGCCATGTCTGGTATCATGGTTATCGGTTAAGACATGACAAGCTAAAGGTGAATCTGTTCTTATAGTGTTCCAATGGCTAACTCTGTCAGAATCTAAAAGCTCTTGTTAATTATACTCTGTCTATTTGTTTTCCGTTCTCTTCTCGAGTGTGGCTTGATTGTTTCTATTTACCTTGTTCAGGTAAACATACTGTAGTAATGTAAGATTCAAGATGCACAGGATAAGCGCATATATCCTGAAACACGACATTACAGTCAAACAGAGGTTTCTCGGCCTGATAAGACTTGTTTAACTGAACAACATAGATTGTTCCCAGAAAAGCTTGAACCCGCTCCCAAATAGCATCAATGCATTTAGAATTTGATTTTATTTCTTGACATTCCACAGCAATGATGAGTTTAGCGTTCTTTTGGAGGGCTACCGTCACTGATTGTTCTATAAAACTAATTTGGCGTTCTTCAAGTCCAGATAGTTCTTGAAACTGCAGTGGCAATAATATACTAGTCATGCTGTCTAGGTTTACTGTTATTTAATTAAAGATTGAGACACTTTTCAGTTTTTTTTTTTCGGGACAGAATCAAAACTAAATTTTCATACCTTTTTTAGACGAAACAAAGGCTTGGATAACATAGTTGGGGTTACTCAGGCCTTTAAATTCCTCGTTGATTGGATATTAAATTTACGTTTAGTTTTCAGCAGCCAATGTATTCCTGATTTTAAGGCTGTTTTTAGATATGGAAGCTTTACGAGCAATGTTATCTGAAAAGGTGTATGCTTTTCTGTCTATCAATTGATTTTAACTTCGTGGATATTTAGTCCACACTTGATAACAGTTTTGTCTCATCATTTTAACAATTACATTATCGCTGAAATATTGTATATAATTTGATGATGAAATAATAATTGTATCTTAATGGCTTCCACATTTGGCTGTATCACGGAGATGGTCTTACCTATATACCGTAATAATATTGTAGATGCTTGCGTTACTATATAATACCATTATATAGTTTGGTTTTTTCATATTTTTCAACTATATCATGGAATGCTCATTGTTAGTTAAAGGCGCAAACATTAAGGATGATCAAATAAAGGATTAATTTTTTTTGACATAGACCAACTTTGTCGTATATGGATAAAACTCGTTCATACCTTGTTTTTTTCTTTGCTACATTTATTCTCTATATTTTTATATTTGCTGACACTATTAAGCAAATCATAGGCTGAATATATAGGGTGTACGTATCAGGCACATGTCAAACTATTTATTTCTTTAGACAACTAAATTGTTAACGTTTCTTCCATAATCTTATTAACCGTCATTTAATTTTGTCAGCCAAGTGCTATTTTTTGCACTTTAATCTGAAGGGGTCTTGATTATTTTAACTCCTTGATGGTGTACAAGTGTTTGATACGCTTCAACTTGATCATATCAACCGCATTCATTAAAGTTATGATGACGGTAGTGATCAAGACATAATCAAACTCTAATACGACTAATATGGGTGCACTTTACATTACTCAAGTGATGCGTTCTCTTATACGTTGTTTAAATCTGTATTTGAGATGAGAAAGCATCGCCATCTCGTGTCATCCTTAATTAAAACTAAGCAGCGTATAAAAAAGGACTTCTATTTTTTTTTTTTTTTTTTTTTTTTTTTTTGACAAACTCATAAACTTATTTTTTGTTCTGTCTATTACACTTGACACCTTTATAAACGCAACTATCACACTTGTTTAAAATGGTTTCTCCTACTCCTACCATTACTCCTCCCAAATCGGGTGCCTCTGCTACTTTTAGTGCTACCGTTGCCCCTGGCACTTTAGCTATCAACTCCTCCTCTACCGTCAGGATTATGAACCTCGACAACGAATTTGACCCTAACGGTAATAATTTTAAGTCATTCTTCAATGGAACCGCTTCTGCAGCACACGATCGTAACGCGTTTGAGAAATACGCTGATCGGGCACTGACCAGAAACAGTGAGATTCAGTTGAAGCTTGCAATCCTATACGAGAAAGAATCGACCATCATGGATGTCCTGCCTACATCTATTGATGATTCAAACCTCAGGGATCTGCATCTTACCACTATTAGACATGATATTGCCCATTGGAATGCTCAAATTGTTACCAACAATGAGATGTACACTTCCTACAAGCAGACGTCTGTCAAGTTGATCACCATCTTGGCTCAGATAATAAAATTGGATGATGCCAAAAGCGTTTCTGAAAAGAAACAAAAGGATCACTCTGATATTCCTGCCATGGAAATCCCGGTTTTCGTTGTCAAGTATTCTGACTTCGACAGTAATCCCGACGTTCGCAATCCTGAGGATTATTCATTGAAGTCTTTCATTTGTAAATTTGAAAGGGTGTATAATTATTACGGTGTGGATGTGGAACTCCACTGGCTCTTTCATCTTGAGGCTAGTTTTGAGAATAACGATCTTTATAAGAACTGGTTTCGCCAAAACTTTAAATCTGGGTTGAAAAACAAGAAAAAGTCTTGGTCTGATGCGAAGAAAATCATGGAACACCGTTTCGATCCCTCTGCACGTTTGGGTTTAGTTAAAACGAACGTGATGCTGCGTGGTTTAAAGCAGTATCCACATGAAAAACTAGCTCAGTTCATGGATCGTTACGGTGCTTGCGTTTGTGCCGCTAAGGTTCAAACTCAAGGACATTTCTTTCTTACTGTTGCCTTTTTAATGTCTCTTTATACGAATAAGTTTCAAGAGAAAGTAAAAGAAAGTATGCACGAGTATATGAACTTAAACCCATTGAGTCTTAATTTTGTCATGCCTAGTAAGCATGCTAACCTTGGTGACATCCAATTTTTCGAATATTACAGCAACTTCGGTCGTGTGTATGAAGCACTTAATCATTTCCTCGGTGAGTTGGAAGTATCTTTAAAGGAGATCCAATTAATTGTTAATGGAAAGCCTCCTGTTACCAACACCAATCCTTTCGGTACCAATATTTCCAACAAGAAGAACGTTCATAAGAAAAGAAAACTTGAAGTTACACTTGCTGATGTTGCTACCAATGCCTCAAGCGCCGTTAACCTTGAGAGAATGTATGACCGCACCCACGCATCGTCCGATGAAGATTGTCGTTTAGCTCCTCAGATTGGAAAGTGTCTTTCTTGCCGCATCGCCAGATTCTCCGAGAATATTTAACAAACTAACAATAAAGAAATAAAGAGTTCTTATTCCGTCTAGAACACTATACACTTTTTATATGCAATTCACACTCTATATTTTTTTTCTTTTCCTTTTTTTTTTTTTACCCCACTCTCTACCTCCCTTCAACTCAGGGTGGATATTTGGAAATGGTGTTGAACGGTGTCCTTGGTTTTATACGGTTTTCTTGTTGTTGGACAGTTCACTAGGTGCTGGTGTTTATAAGTACTTGTATTATTATCGATGTTTTCTTCTTGTGACTTTGCGTACTTTCTTTAGTTACTTTTTGGAATGTATGATATCTTCAACAACTAGATATATAGGTGTACGCATATTTAGAGGAAAGAAAAAAGATTTAGTTAGTATTGTCAGTAAAATCTACTAAACTTATATCCACGTCATTTGAGATAAATAGTAGTGATATATCCAATTTTTTTTTTTTATAAGTTGTAGAGCTGTAATGCCTGAGACACAGTCCTTTTTACTTTTAACAAAAAAAACACTGTCATAGTAACGTCTATTACTTTTATATGCATATCAAATCCAATCGAAATTATTGCAATCGATCACTTAAATACGACTTTGCATACAGCTTTATGACTTTGTATGAACAGCGTCTGATTTCAAGGCATCGATGCATACTTCTTCATACTTGTACAGTGATTTTTTTTTGAACGATCGATATCTTTAACACACTCCAGAAACAAATCCAAGCTATATGTATCACTTTTCCTATTTTCTAACACGGTAGATATCAACCCCACCTAAAATGTACTTCCCTTCTCTCACAAGTTTAGAGCTATACTCCAGACTTTCCCTTCATCCGGTATTCCTTTGCTACATTATCTGCAAGCAGAATCAATGCCGATATCGTGTCAGTCTTCATAGAAGAAGAATTTCCTGAGTCTCCCAAAAAAAAAAAAAATCGTGAGACTGGTAATAAGAGTAATGCACAGCAGGTTCAACTCAAAAAAAAACGCACGACAGCTTATCATATTGTCAAGTTTATGGAGCCATGGATAAATATTTTCAACAAACTTAGCAAAGAAGACACATTTATTATCATGGACAGCTGTAAGGTTCATCACTTTTGTTCTGTTGTTGATGCTATCAATAAAGGTGGCTATAAACCATTGTCTATGCCACCATTATATTTGCCTTTTCTGTATCCAATTGAAGAATGCTGGTCGAAAGTAAAGAAGAATATTAAAGGAAACCATTTTAAAACTATGAAAGCTAACACCAGGACTTGCTAAAGTTTTTAAGCAGGTCACTGTTGCTGGCTGTACCAGCTGGATAAGACATGCTGAAATATATTGGGAAATGTTTCCTGGAAAAGAAATTGGCAGGAAAGACCTTCACAAACTTTACCGTCTCAAAAAAAAAAAAAAAAAAAAAAAAGGGTTACACTGCATATCTTAAAATTATCAATCGTCTTAAAAAATAAGGACATCATCTAAATTTATAATTTTAATACGTCTCACTTTCAAGTCTGAAAATACTATAATAAACCGGTTTACCCCACATTATTCATTTTACGGCTAGGGATGCTAACGGCATAAAGAAACGCTTTTATATCCGGACTTCGGGTGCCGTAAAAGGAAAAGGATGATATGAACAGAAAGAATTTTTTGTCGATTTATTCCTTTTTTGATATGGCTAGTAGTAAAGATGCAATGCTAAAATGAGGGGTATCGGCGTTTCCTATTAACAATAGGTCGGATCACTAAATGCTAAGCGGGAAACGATATTGGACTGATAATGTACCACCTTATTCAATTAATTATTGTTTGGTTTACTAGTCACTCAGTGTTTTATCCCTCAATGTACATATTCATAGTATATGCCTTTATACAATAAGTGGATAACTGGATATTTACTGGTAAAAATTTGGTTTGGTGGGCTTTACCTCTCCTTAAATATGATTGTACATGACGCAAAACTATATAATCCACCCAGACTTTCTATGGACAATGTGTGGGAAAAATGGGAAGGATTTAGTCCATAGAAGGGTCACTACAGAATGAGAGATTTCGCAGAATTATGTGTTACAGTCGGTTTCAAGTAACACAGAGAGTCGAACACCTCCGACCTAGGGGTGTTACAGATATGTCAATAAAGGAAAATGTTTTATCTTTGATTTAATGTCAGATTTTAATTCATATGATACGCTCCCTGATGAGCATTGTCAGTTACATAAAAAAAAAAGACATACTTGACGGTTGAAAGAAGAAAAAATATAAAAAAGAGTAGACGTTAATTGTAAGAAATCAAACTCGTTCGTATGCTTCGATTTTCGTGACAATAAAAATAGATGTACCCGGCCCAAAACATTCAGGCTTTACCTTTTTTCTAAACTAACATAGAGGGTTTCTAGAAGTTTCATTTGTTGAACCCGACTCCTTACTTTAATTGAATGTGTGGTATTTTTTTTTAGGATGGTCAAACGAGTTTAAAGACTCTCAAAATACTCGGTCAGAACCATGTTACTGGGAAGTGCATTATCCATTTCTTCAATTGGAACTTTACATGCATCTTCGACTAAATCGTCATCTATCTGTTCGGTTCATTCTAGGACTAGATCCTTGTCTTGTTCATTAACTATTATTATATTAGACCCGACTCAATAGAGACATTCTAAAGTTTAAGATGTGAATTCTGAAAAAAAAAAATCCATGCTTTCCATAAACGTCAAGAGAATGGGATCAATACGCACTTCGGTCACTTGACTAGTAGTTCCAACTGCATCGTTTAAGCGGTTGGGAATTCAGCTTAATGTAGGTTCATCTTCTGTCTAACCCTTTGGTAGCAGCAATCCGATTGCTACAGGCGAAGCATTCCTGCAAATCTACAGCAGTCATGTCCAAAAACGTTGCTATGTGTGGTCAAGGCAAGCGCCTTTCTTCCTCGCAATCTCCAGTTTCAGTCTTTCCGCTGTGAACCATTTTTTTTTTTTGCCCTGTTTTTGGTCGCCGTCGTTATGCTTGACTGGATATATATAATTTTTTTTTCTTGATTCTGTTCCTGCCCGTCGTTGCTCCGATTGAAATTGTATTTCTTCAATTTCTTTGTATTAAGAAAATCATTGTTATCGCACACCACCCAAATCTTGGAATTCGGCCTCTGCTGCATTTTCTTTTCAAAACCGTTATTAATTGACCTTTTACCAATAATGATCGCTTTCATGAAAAAGACGAGAATAAGTTTGTTAGGGAGAAAAGGGAAGAAAAAAGTATGTGAACAGATTTTTTATGTGTCATGTCAGGATGATTTTATTAATCATTAATAATGTTTGAGTCTTGGAAACATCAGAAAAAGGCTCCAGGTGCATAAAACCGTAATTCGGAACTTGGTTTTCAGTACAAGCATGTATATAATCCTAAAAGCTGAACGTAGACATGTCACACTTTTAGACAGCTCTTATCTAAAAACATCAAAGAAGATAATATACAGGCGGCCAAAAAAGTTGGAATAAACGTTGATTATTTGGTCTTTTACAGCTTTTAAATTATCATACATGGTTTTTATCTAATCAAAGGTTGACTATATCAGAAAGAAGCACTGTATTAAAAGTCGACATACCTTTCGCAAAAGAAAAAAAAAACAACCAGGATAAAAGAGGATTTTTTCGTCTACACTCCACATTGATATCAAGCTATTTAATAGGCACATCATGCAAACTTAACTAATGCTTAAAACACCATGAATAACCAATGACCGAGTGTATACTAGTTTACCAACCTCAGCCATAATATTACCCATATCTCGCCAAAACTGGAACACATCTTTTTCATTTATAATTCATATTTTAGAATTTTCTTGTGGAGCCTTATTATTCCCCTTCGTAAAAACAGTTCTTTAATAAAGAGGGAGGGAGAGAAAAGAAGAATAAAGAATTTGAGTTTCATTTTTAAGCGGATACACAAGAGCTGGCTCATGTCAGAATGAGATAGCTGATTACTTTACCAACCACAATGGTTGAGCCTTTACTTTTAATTGACATGTCTGTAAGTATCCACATCCAGATATGCATTGACTTGAATATAAACCTCCTCAGGCCTACATAAATGTGCAGTGATGAGCTTCCCAATGATTTGTCAGTTTTTTAGCAGTGGCATCATGATAAGCGTAACTTAAAAATATCGTAGATATAGATCGGCATTATAAATAGGAAACAAATGTAAAGCAGACACCCAAGTCAATGAACATACACTTTAGACGTATATGTAACCTTTATTTGACTTCAATAACACCTTTTTTTTTTGGCTTTTTTTTTTCAGTGAAGTCAAAGCTGACATTCAATCAGCGATAAAACATTCCCTTTTTTGACGTGTGTGTAACAAACTTCATGGTGATCAGAATTAGTCGGAGGTAATTCGATTTTCCGTGTTACTTGAAACCGACTGTAACACATAATTCTGCGAAATCTCTCATTCTGTGGGTGATCTTGATTCTCTATGGACCGAATTCTTCCCATTTTTCCCACACATTGTCCATGGGACTGCGTCATGTACAATCATAAAGGGAGACTACCTTTTTTCAATGTAACAGGCCAATCGGACTAGATACTAACTTCGCATACCGTCCCCCACCTTTTTTTTTTACGTCAGGATGGTACTACAACTAGTTTTATGGTCCTACAATTTTTACAACTTTTAATGTGGAGACACACTTTTAGTAAATGGCCTTATAACCGAGCCGAATAAGGGCAATAGAGAAGTCATTCTTGTGCACAAATATTTTGTGCGTCCCCCCAAACTTTGAAAAAAAAGACATTTTACTCACACACTATGGACCGTGTATTAGCCTTGATTGTAAATTGCAAATCTTTATTTCGGATCTATGGTAAGTTGTATTTCCAAATAAATAACATTGACGTAGAGCAACGCACCTAATTTATATCACCTCAAGTGCTCAGATGACACTTTTTTTGTATGAGTATGGGCGATAATAGCTGATAAAACTGAATACAGATCTAGAAAAACAAAATTAGATTAGGTTTATGGGCTGTGTGTTATCACATTCTAATCTTTTTTTTTTTATCGTGATAAACCGCTACAGAGAGGAAAAGCGGCTCATTTTTATTACTTGTCTTATCGATTTTAACCATGATTGATCTAAAGAGGGACGCTGTGAATAAGGATAAACCTTTTGTCTGCTCAAAAATTGCTAAAAGAATTTTAAGAATTTCAGGAATATCATCAACCTTGGGGAATGAATTAAAAAAAAAAATGTTTTTGACCGGTTTGCCGGTTTGTAAGAAAAAAAAAAAAATGAAGATCCGAAATGCTTATTAACTGTAATGTAATGAAGATAAGAAGGATAAAATTGATAACATAGATATCATCAGTATTTCTGTTTTATACTAGATCTATGGTGGAACAAAAACTCTATCGTTCCAGGTGCTGTGTGAAAAAGGTGCATGTGTATTACTAGAAAGACGATTATCGGACTTGCATGCTCTGATTGGTTGCCCTCAGACACTTTGAATCGTTTCCAAGGTACACAAACTCATTTTAGAGTTGATAAGAAACCAAGATCTGTCTCCGAAATAACGCAAAAAAAAAAAAAGTTATTGTAATAGGACAAATTATCCCATTCCTTTTTATTTGCCTATTTGAGAAAAGAGGCGGGTTTAACCCCCCTTTTTCATTCTGCTTAATATGGATGCATGGGTTATGCTACAGAAAAACTTTAAAAAGCCACAAACTTGGGGAAAGAGCTACATGTTCCATTGGTGTTTATCTTCATCGATCTTTCAAATAACTGGAGTTCTTTATCAATTGGCAGTATGCCTCTAAAGGATATTTTGTATTTCTAGGAATTCAATCTCCATAAAGATGGGACCTATAAAAAAGAGGCTTCAGATTCATTTTAAAAGTCATCGTGTAACTCGACTTTCCCAATGTATTTTTTTTACTCGGTGACAGATCACAAAAACTTTATCACAGGAGTCGAAAAAAAAAAAACTATATAAGCAATCGATTTTCTCCAAGATTCTCATTTTATTTTTTTGTTTCTTCTCTCTTTGCAAATAAATCCAAGCCTTTTTTAAATTCTTCTATGCTCAATAATTTCTTTGATAAATTTAACAAGAACAAGTCTGACAAGAATGAGATTCAATTAAATGATTCATCTTTACCTTACGGTATGCCCCCAATCGAGGAGTCCAAGCCTTATCCTCGCCCTGTCCAAGCCGTCTCCAATGCCTTGCTATTTGTCTGGAACAAATTGTTCATTGGTCCCTTAAGTGTGGTCTTGGGCTTCTTATCTAGACGTACCAACTTGACATTCTGGATCATTTTTGGTATGGTTATTGGTATCTTGGTAGGCCACTTCGCACCTTCTGTAGGCGCTGAAATCGAGCCTTTAGGTGATGCTTTCATTCGTATGATTACCATCATCGAAACCCCTCTTATTTTCTCCACTTTGGTTGTTGGTATTGCTGGTCATGGTGACGACGTTGGAAAAATCGGAAAATTGGCAATCAAGACTATCATTGTAAGTTTCTTTTTCACCATGATTTTTTTTTATATATATATACTAACATTTTGATTATCTCTAGTATTTCGAAGTTGTTACTACCTTTGCTTTAGCTGTTGGTTTGATTATGGCTAACCTTATCAAGCCTGGTCAAGGTGTTGTCTTATATGGTGATACTAGTGAAGTTGCTACCATGGCCGAAACTACGATTACATGGTACGGTGAACTTGAAATGATTATTCCCAAGAATTTCTTTGTCGCTGCCACCGAAAACCAAATCTTGGGTGTTGTCTTTTGTGCTGCTATGTTCTCTTGTGCCATGATGAAGGCCGACAAAAAGTCCAAGGAATTTATGCTCAGAGTCAATGATTCTTTATCCATGATCATGTTCAAGTTCGTTGCCTTAATTATGAACTATGCTCCCATTGGTATTGGTGCTTCTCTTGCCGGTGCTGTTGGTAAGAATGGTGTTGATATTCTTGCCAACCTTGGTAAATTAATCGGTGCCTTGTATGCTTCTTTGGCCATCTTTGTTGTTGTCATCTTGGTGCCTGTCATGTTCTTGACCCGTGTCCCTATTGTTGGCTTCTTCAAGGCAGTTGCTCAACCTTGGTTAATCGCTTTCAGTTCTGCTTCCAGTGAATCTGCTTTGCCCAAAGCTATGCAAAACATGAGAAGCTTTGGATGCCCCAACTCTTTGACTGCCTTTGTCATTCCTTGTGGTTATTCTTTCAATCTTGATGGTACTACTCTTTATCTTGCTTTAGCCTGTATTTTCGCTGCTCAAGCTGGTAACATCAACCTCCCTCTTGCTACTCAACTCTCCATCATGGGTACATTGATGCTTTCCTCCAAGGGTGTTGCTGCTATTCCCCGTGCCTCTTTGATTATTTTAGCTGGTACTGTTACCCAATACGGACTTCCTTACGAAGCTATTCCCATGATTATGGGTGTTGATGCTATTATGGATATGGCTCGTACCTCAATCAACGTTTTCGGTAACTGTCTTGGCTGCTGCGTTATGTCTCGTGTTGAAGGCTCCTTCCGTGGTCTTGAATGGAGAGAGGAAGAGATCGATAGACGTCGTATTGTACTCTTGGAAGAAGAACGTAAGCAACGTACTAGCGATGGTGTATCTGAAGAGATGTCTTTCACTGATGGTGAAAAGCAAGTTGAGCACCAGGAGTTGGATAATGTTGTTATTCATCATGATGTTGAGTCTGTCAATAGCTTAAACATTGCTCCTGCTCACTCTCAAAAACATTAAGTTTTTAATCCTTACCCCCTCACTCTCACCTGTGTAAATATTACACCTTGTATTTTTATAAATAATTTTCTCTCTCTCCCCCCCCTTCTTACATATTATACATATTACCTTCAATAAATTTTTTAATATTCTTTTATCTAAACTCAATGTTTATCCAAAATATATGATGTTATGGTTCCACGAATTTGATGTTTACCGATTTTGCCAAGGAATTATGGGCTTGTCATACCACAAATATGTTTTATGGCGACACCAGGGTTTGCGCTACGTGGGGGGTTCGTGAATTTATAGATGCTGCATGGTGTTTTTTTTAAGCAGGTTGTAGATAAAATAACAATAGGGTTGACGTGTGCAAAAGAAGTCGTTTGATTCGGTTGGGTTACTCTATTAGGGAAGTACACCGTGACGATGGGGGGGGGGGTTACGAGTTTATTTGTTATTTTATTAATTTGCATAAATATACAGTAAAGAAAAAAAAAAAAAGAATGCATATGTACAAGTATAAGTAATAATATGAGATTAATATGATGGTATGCAAAATATGAATATATAATAATAAAAAAAAAATAGATTGAAGGTTTAAGGTAGCGGTGGGGGAGAAGGTTCTGGTGGTCGCTCATCCTTTTTAACGATAGCTACAATCACACTAATATCATCTGCTTTTCCTCCCTATAAACATGATATTAGACAAAAGAGGATGATTTTTTGAACTATACATTTTACCTGATAGTAAAGACCTTCGTGCATAGCTCTTACCTGAAAAGGAGAACTGGGGTTATCTGGATCCTCACTCACAATTTTTGCTCGGAGTGCAAGAGCATCTGATATGCTTTGGGGTGGAACTTCGTTTATTTTTTCTGGATCAATCTGCTGATCTATACAGTTCTGTACCTCTTCTAAAATCTCATCGTCATATAAATTATCAAACAGTCCATCCGAGCCCAAAATCACAATATCCCCCTCCTCTATTTTAACTGTGAATAGCTACACATAAGAAATCATGTTAGTGTACTTCTATGAATAACTTTTTTCTTATGGCAACGTACTTGTGCATCCGCCGGTGAGTCGAAAGAAGCTGTGCCTAATTGGTAAGGAAAGTTGAAAGAATGTTGCTGTTCTTCAGATCGAAATATGTAGTCGTTCCGTCGAATAACGGATACACCGCAATCTCCTAGATTTGCTATTCGAAGTTCATCTTGACATAATATAACGATACATGCAGTTGTTGACCCCACAATACCCTAAATGTGTATACTTTTTTGTTAAGTACCCGCTATTCCTTGTTTCTCTCTCTCTCTCTTATACCTCGTTTTGCGCATCTAAAGTCGTCATATGATATGCGCTTTCCAAAACTTGTATAGGATCTGGTTTTACCTGTAGTTGCTGAGGCCTTACATTTGTTTTAATCCGATCTAATTCTAATTGAGCGTAATGCATCAATTTACGTGAATACAAAGCAGGGTTGGCACCTATAAAAGGGAGAAGGGATTAAAATAAAATAAAATAAAAAAAAAAAAGTAAAAATAATCAACAAATAAATAGTAAATAAATAAGTCTTTTTTTTTTTGTTGTTGTTGTTGTTACCTTTATGAGTACGCCAGCCACCTACACCGTCAGCTACGCCCAAGGCGTCTTGTCGTTTAAAGTAAGCGTCGTCGCCCACTTGAGTACTAGAGTATATGACATCGTCTTGTTGTTGTGTTTCTGAAGGCACTTTGCCGCTTTTGGGGTGACCTGACACTCCAAGATTAAGTGTGTAGTGAAATAAGGTAGAGGATAACGACGGATGAAAGAAATCAATCACGTTTAGATTAGTACGAGGTCGTTCCTGTTGATGTGCCGCTACTGCTGATCTTGACGAACTGAACGTTTGGAAACAGCACCTGCTGATTAAGGGACGAAGCAGTTTACGTGAATGAGTTTTATGTGAAATGAAGGCATGGTATAGCATGAAGAGGATTTATTGCAAGGAAAAAAAAGAGAGAAGACAAATATAAAAATTGTTTTAATAAAGAAAGGGGCCAAAAAGAAACCCGCGAAATTCTGTAGTGGGCCCATTTTATGCCAGTAAACAAAAAAAAAAAAAAAAAAAAAAAAAGTCTAAAATCCGATGGACTGCTAAATCAAGTTACCATCTCTACAGAGTATTTCTCACATGACTCTTTCTAATTGATCAAACCAGCTTTCATTACTCTTCTTGGTTTATTCATACTACAAAGAAAAAAGAGCGTTACATGCACTGTTTACTGTTTACGCACGATTCGCACAACGAAGAAAAATTAATGTAAAAATGCAATCGACACCCCCTTTTTTTTTATTTTTACTTCACAATTCTTTAAAATAAGTGTATCACATCGCAGGTAGTGGGGATTTGGACTCTGCAAAAACATGTGCGCTTGAAAAAAAAGGGGGGTACTTAAAAGCATAAAACATCAAGAAGGATTAGGTATACACTGTAACTTTTCTTGATAAAATGTTACTTAGAACCGTGCTAATAAAACATTCGCTCTTTTTTTTAAGGAGTCAATCGGCTGCATACAATACGACTTTTACATTTGCTGTCATATCAACCAAGTTTGGTAAAGCAGTCATACCATCATGACAAAAATTGAATTTTGATATTCCATTGTTGCTAGAGGACCTTTCAACCCCTTTCATGACAGTAACATGCTCCTTAGCAAACTTTCGCCGCCTTACTTTTTTTATGAGTGAAACATTGTACACATGGTTCTTTAGGACAGTTGCTTTCATTAGATCCTTTTACTTTTGATAGCATTAAAATGTTTATTTTTATACCAATGTTGGCGTATGACATATGCCAGAACAAAAAAAAAAGCTGTCAGTCAATTTGATATGGGCTACATTAATCTAGTTCCACATTAAACTGGTTTTTGAAATCATGATGATATCACCTAGATTGGATGCTACGTCTCCCATAATCCTTTCATATGTAACCAATGCCTGCAACATGTGTCTGAATATGTTACATTTTGATTAAGGAAAGCAAACCTATGGCTTGTCAGTACTTGGAACATAAAAAAAATCAAACATCAGACTGCATTATATACTCAATTTGTCGGAGCTTTACTTCAACTTGCGACAGCACAGATAATACGACTAATTGTTCACAAATCCATGTAGCATTACCATATGATGCGCTGCAATCTGGCATACAGTAGGACTTAAAACTGTGATACTTTATTTGCATAAGCTTGTTTGTTTACGTTCTTGTCAGTCTACCATCATGGTTGCATAATTTTCAAAATATTTTGAGACTTATTAACAATAATGAACTTTAAAAAAGAAATCATGTATGCACGTTTCCTAGATAGTTACTATAGCTCAATGGGGTATCTTCCTTTTATGTTTTTTTTGGTACTTGATTATAGTAAATGACTGATGTATACACGGAAGACCTTAAATCAGAACTCATTGTTTGTTGTGGAAAATTTAATTCACTCGCTATAAGTAGATATGCCGTGAATATATGAGTTCATAAATCATGTCACAAGTGGAGAGTCTGATTTTTGTCCACAAAGTATAGCATATAACTAAAAAAAAAAAAAAAAAATCGAAGGCTATTCTTTGTTTGTCGACATGGCCGATCCCCACAAACACTTACACACAAAAATCAGCGGATGTATAAACACGCTTGATATACTTGGCCAATTCTTTGTTTGTGCTTTTTTTTTTTTCGGGACAATTAAGTTCAAAAGGTTCGCGAAGTGTCTGGTGAAAGATTGCGCAATACATAATACTTTATACGATATAAATATGTATATATATAAGAGAGGGGATATTATGTTTAATCAAGAGTTTTGATTTTTTTTTTTTTATCTGTGCAGTATAGAAAAAAAAAACCAAGGCGTTCGTTGGTTTAGTGTACTAACACTAGTTCATAATTATCTCAAAAAGATATATGACATGCTTGAGCCATAGTAGTTCTTTTTTTTTTTGTGGGTTTTTTTAATTATTTTATTAATTTTTTTGAGGTAAAATACGGTAAAGGTCGGCTACTAGATAAAGTGAGCCACATAATACGACAATATCTTCATTTCCGCAAGCTGAAGCTGCTTTTTCCAGTGCTTCTTCTAAACCCAAGCATGCTACAGTTTTTGATTTGTTTGCTTTTGCGATTTCTGATGGTTCTGTGCTTTGAATCCATGGCATGCCTGCAGGCTGGGTAAAATTTACCGCAAACACAATGTCATTGGGTTCGATCAATCCATCCATCATGTCATGAATGTCTTTCCCGGCAGTGGCTGCAATAATCCAAATCACTTTTTCTTTTTTCAGGCTATCGATATATTTGCGTAGAGCCATGGTTGCGGGTGCATTGTGTGCTCCATCCACTAAAATCTTATCCAAACCATATTTTTCCATAATCAATGGATTCTCTTTACTGGTGATCCATTCTAGCCTTCCAGGCCATCGTGTGTCTTTCATGCCCGCTGCCAATTGTTCTGGCGTCATCTGAATCAACCCTAATCGACATAACCAATCCAATGCTGTAACTGCTGTGGCCGAATTCATTCTTTGGTAATCCCCACAAAGCCTAATTCCGTACGTGTACTTTAATTGATCGAATTCCAGCTTACATAACACCGGTGTAATAAACTGAGCTGGTTGAACAAGCTGGTAGGGCGAATCGGTGGTTTTGGCATGCTCAACTAAGGTTTTCAAGACAGTTTCGGAATCTTGCGGTGCAATGACGACAGGACAGCCCGACTTCATGATGCCTGCCTTGGCTGTAGCTATTTCTTCAATGGTGTGACCAAGAATATGAGCATGATCCATGCCGATGGCTGTAATGACCGTCATGACAGGGTGTCGAATGGCGTTTGTGGCGTCCAACAAACCACCTAAACCAACTTCCAGAACAACAAAGTCTAATCTTGCCTTGTCAAATACATAAAAGGCTGCACCTACAAGACATTCGAATGAGGAGGCACCAATAGCGCCTGTCTTGTTCAAGAGTGCAACATAACTAAAAGCTTCGTCGTACATTTGTTGAGAAATGGCTTGGCCATTGACATTGATACTGTCGCGAGGTTCTAGTAAGTGAGGCGAGTTGAAACGTCCAACCGTGTATCCACAAGTGCGAAGAACGGAAGAAATATAAGCACAGACCGATCCCTTTCCATTCGTTCCTGCTACATGAACAATTTGAGTTCGTTCATCTGGTCTACCAAGGGCTTCCAATAAATTTTGAATGCGTTCAAGTCCAAAATTCATTTTTTTATGTACAGTTTCTTTTTTTTTTTTTTAGTTGAGAGCAAAGGAGCAAAAAAAGAAAAAGAAAAGAAAAGATATTTAAACGGAGCGAATCTTAATAAAAATCCTAAGAATGGGTCCTTCCGGATATGCCTCAGCAAACCGTCCGGATAAGGGAATAAAGCTTAGTTTGCCACTCGGTGGTTCTGGAGGAAAAAAGCCGGAATGTGCCAAATCCAGGTCAAAGTCTTCAGTGTACAAGTCTGTTGCTGGGATAAACTATCTACTCTGTTCAACAATTGCTTTGCGAGATGTTGGTTGCACAGTGTCATTCTAATATACTTTTTGGCTGAAAGCTGTTCCACAACAGTTAATTATCCTGCGCTTCAGATTTAGAGTTTTATAAAAGAAGACTCGGAAGCTTTAAGAACAATTGTAAAAGCTTCTGAATTGTTCCATCACAAAACGGCTTTTCTAGTATATATAAAGCTAATGATTGAGTTTTTATGAGTACTCTGGTTCTGTGCCTAGTCCATCTCTATTTTAGGATCGAAAAAAAAAAATGAGAGATGAAAAAATGTCAAATTTTGGACATTTTACCTACCAACATTTAAATTTCATGTTATTGCGTGTACCGGAATATTCTAATTCGAGTTTATTGCACAGCCTCATAGGCAATTAAAAAACCAAAAAACCATAGAAGTTAAGTCATTACGTGAATGTTTCACCTACAAAAAATGCTTTAAAACTCACTACCCAAAACAGTATTTTTCCTTGTGATCCGTGATAATATATAGGAACAACATTTTTTTTTTTTTTTCGCATTAAAAAGTAAATATTCGTGGTGTCCGTTACCATATGCACAGCCACTGGGAGATTTATGTCAGCCTCTTTCATCCCGATTTTCGTTCTAAATCCAAATTGGCTTGGGGATAACACAATACCAGCCATTTAGGAATTGTTTACCATCTCACCGAGATTAAGTCAGCCCTCACACATGTACAGACAGAAATTTTAATCGCAAGAGTTTCACAAATTAGGCCTTGGCATGTATGCCCAGAACAAAGGTTTTTTTTTTTTTTTTAAAAAAAAAAAATCTAATATGCTTCGAAATAAACTTTTCTACTTGTGTTCATTATTATAAAACGCTTCCCTCATCATATAAAAGGGCTTTTTTATACGAGATAATGTCTATTCCGATTCACCTACCCCCACCATTCGTAGTAAAAGATTACACCAAACCTTCTTCCTTGATCTACCACATGTTTTTTAACAGTCTTAGGTCTTAGAAAAGAGGTTCCAGCATAAAATATTAGGTCAATAATCACAAGTATCATGTCAGGTTGGATATAGGTCTTGACGTAAAAGTCACACAAATATTTTCTATCTACCAAAAAAGTCTATCCAGTAAACACGAATAAAACTATGATTTCCTCACTAACGCATGATATACCTAGAAGCCCACACACCAAGATACAAAATTACTGCCATTCCTGAATGCCCACAGCAATACTAGCGCGAGTCATGAGTAAGCATAGTAAACGACAAGGGCAAGAACAAATTGTACATCAGTGCCCTATTTGTGCTTTTTCTTTAAATAATTCTACAGTTCCAATGAAAGAGCGGCCTACGTAAATTATCTTCTTAACGGCGAAGAAGATTATAAGGCTTTAAAAACCAATTAATTCTAGAGAAAAACATACGAGTCAACACTTTAAGCAATATTCAGCTTTCATGGTTACCCTATACTATCCCCAAATTAGAAGGTCCTTGTCAACAATATTACTGTTCAAGACATATAGGCTATTGCAGTGAATTGTCATTACCACACAGACGTAGATGCCAGTATTTCTAAATCTCTTTTTAGTGATTAGAATATTACAGTCATTAATCACAGAGTGATTAGTGCATTTTACCTGTGATGGAAGCCTTTTCTTTGTAACGCACGATATATAAGCTTACATTCCAGAGTAACCCTTCCGTGTTTATAGGTACCCTGAATTGCTTGCAAATTGGAAGACCCTTTTCGATTTCGTATTGATAGCGCAGGTCATAGCTTATGATGTGAAGTAAAGAAAAAAACTTTATTTTGAGATTAGGCAATCTTGTATTTGTTTATTATTTTTGTTTATGTAAGACCCCTAATTCCTTAGCTTTTATTGATGTTGCTTTCAAAAACGGTTGTTTGAAATAATAAGCAACTGCGATCAGATAGACTAGGATGATTGGACGTAGTACATGTATCTGAGGTCTCAAAGTCAAAATAATCATATTATTGATAGTGCCAGGATATGATTGTTAATAGAATGGTTGCATGGAAATGAGCCCCAGAGGAAGTAGTCAACTGAAGAAATCTTATGATTTTAAGAGAGAGCTAACAGAATATAGATATGGTTATTCCGAACAAATCTTACTGAAAGTTTGATAATAAGATTATATGAAAAATATAAACTTAAGATAAGAAAGTTGAGGGAAACACAGAGGAGTCAATTACAAATTATTAAGAACTAGATTTTTAGTAAATGTCACACTCTACGTAATTCTTAACTAGCCGTAATAAATTTGGCTGCAACAGCACCTTCATCTTTAGTTGACCCAGTTAAGCTTCATCTTCTCTTTGGGGACGCGATACTTTTTTTTCCAATATTCGAGGGCGAAGAGAGTTGAAGCGATAGAAACAGGTTTAAACAAGTCAAGCTCTCTTTTAACTTCTGACATCTATCATCATCTTTCATTTTGAAGCCACCAATTACTTAGTATAAATATCACATCATTTTATTCCTTGTGTCAGGCAGACAGTGTTTTTTTTTTTCAAATGAACATTTATAAAACTCAATTTCGCTACATAGACCGCGTAATAGAATGTCTACACACCTTTGGGTTTATCTTTTAAATAAAAGACGTAGGTATATAGACATTCGCTCTCAGTAAAACCCAATTTAGTTATTAACCGCGAACAATTTTTGGAATAACGAGTATCAAAACTTGGTTGTTGTCAGTTTGCCTCAAGTCTGATATAAACTAGCAAATTACTATTACTCTCGTCTTTAGTTATTGTTGCTCATTTTCGTATCTGTGCTTTTAAGGTCCTTCAGCTTGCTACGGGCGGCTGTAAATCTGTCCTATGTGAGCAGCTTGCATCAGTGTTGAATAGCAGTTTTATAACTGTCTATTGTTGAATCAGAGACGTCTGAGACTTTCAAGTAGGAGGAAAAGGTGACGTAGCATGGCAACCCTCACTCTTGATGGGAAGGTTTTTTAACTTCTACGGGGGTTATAGGTTTGTCTACGGGCAGCTTCGAATATGGTCGAATACTGAAAGTTTGTCATTTTATGACGACATGTTTGGCCCATATTGCTAGTTAACATGAAGTTTCGTAAGGAACAGGAAGGTAGATGCTTAAAATACGATGATGAGAGGGTGGTATTTTGCTGGTTATGTCCCAAGCTAGCCGTTCCTTCGAATCAAGTTCTGGTTTGCAAGGTTTGAGCAGATAATTGTGTACAATATGAAGAATATTATACTCAATGATGACCTTGATAATCCTTTTAGACACTGTGATTTGTATAGCCTATTGTATTACAAGCAGCAATCCTTGTGTATAAATGTATTCTATAATGATACTCTGAAGGACGTTAACTGTGGTGATTCAAAATAAACGCAAAGTTAAGATTACTTTGATGATACTCGTTTCTTCCAGTAACTAATTAACCAGATTGACTATGCGATGTAATTCAGGATAATGAAGTTGTATTTATTAAAACTTGTCTACGATCGAAAGATACTGAAAGTTTATAAATGGTCCCAGTTAACATGCATAATAATCAGTTACTCTTTATATTTAAAATCTAATAAATTAAGTTGTGTATTTCCACAAAAGACTTCAGTTGTTTTATTAGGGGTTTCTTTATTTATGTGTATGTTTAATGATTTACACAATGACTCTTATACTCGGGCTTTATTATTGTACGAAATGAAATGTTTTCGTTAATTCAAGACTAGTTGACTAAGAATGATAATTCGAATGGTAGGACAATACAATCCAGTCTAGCTGTCACACCTGAAGACTGCAAAGAGTCTATAAGACACTCCGAGAGCTCTTGGAAAAGATGCATTGGCAAAGAATTAGAATTTAGGGCTTTATTGTAAATACAAAATAGTGAGATTGTCTACAATAAAATTTAATTTTTATGAAACTGAAGTTTTGAATAAATGGGATTAGTTAAACACAGAGTGTAAACTTACTCTTTGAGGGACATTAAAGAACTCCATTGATATGGTAATGTCGACCATACCATACCAGGCTTTTATTTGAAACGGGGTTTTTTGAAAACGAATCGTATTGATGATGTAAATGAATTTATTAAAAATAATACAAAGTTTAGGTATAAGGGGGGTGAGAGGATAATTATAGCGGGTTACAGATATTTGATAAAATTAAGCTGTTTCTAATTTTTTACTCTCGTCTATTTCAGTTTCGGTTTTAACCATATTATCCTTCATGGGCGTGTCAATGACAATCACTTCTGCTGTTGCATCGTCTTCAGGGATTTCATCCTTGTTTTGCTTTGGTTTACGAACAGAATGATGCTTGACGAAGCAAGAAGAAATTGTACCGAGACCGGCCATGGGAATAAATACATACCAAATTAACTGAAGTCCTTCGACGTATACCCGTAAAGTGGAAGCTAAATATTCTGCAGGGAGACCATGGTTGACAAATTCAGAAGATTGAATTACAGCATTAGCAAGCTCCACAGGTAAGACGTTTGGAAGATTCTCTGTTAAATGTGAGTTCAGAACCGTAGAACTGATAGCTATAAATAGTTTAACTTATTAGTACTGTCTGCAGTTCCCTTGATTTTGTTCAGATTCTACTTTACCAACGCCTAATGCACCTCCGAGAATACGGGAGAAATTTCCAAGTCCGGTAACAACGGCTTTTTTGGGAACAAAGAAAGGTCAGTTTTTTTTGTTTTTTTCTTACATCAGAAAATCAAATTAACACTAGTAACTACATACCGATATCTTTTGGTTCTACAGATGCCTGAAGTGCAATGATACAAGATGAGAAGAGACAACCAAGACCTGAAAGTGTGTGCATGTTAGAATATAAAAGTCAATGTGAGTTGTCCCTTTTTTTTTTGTTTACCTGCACCACCAATAACAGTAATACCATAAATTTCTAATTTAAGCAAAAACGTTAATACCTTTTTAAAACAAAGAAGAAAAAGCTTAATTGTAAAAAACTTACGGGAGAACGGTGTATCCTCTTTGAATAAACTAATTAAGCCAATCCATAAGGTTACCATGACCATACCAAACATAATTCTAAGCATTGAAATTTAGCTGTTTGTAATGCAAAAAAAAAAAAAAAAAGTCTGATGATGACTTACAAAGGTTTGTAGACACCTATTTTAGATATAAAGATTCCAGCGAAAGTTGAGAGGACACACATGACCATTTGCATAGGAATTAATCTAATTCCAGACCACATGGCAGAGTCGTTTCGTACGACTTGAAAGTATACGGGTAGGTAATAAACTGCGGAGAAAAATGTCATGCCAAAGAACCAATTCGTCAACAAGACACTGACGACGGAACGGTTCTTAAAAAGTCTAGGGGGCATCAGGGGTTCCTTAGCAAAATGCTTCTCAACATAGACCAACAGGATTACCAAAAGAAAAGAAAGAATAAGAGGTACAATCACAGCAGCTGATTTCCAAGGGAAAGTCTGTCCACCAAAATTAAGTGCCAATAGAAAGAGCGTAGCAAAGGCCAAAACAATAACGGTACCTGCATAATCAACTCGCTTTAATTTTTCTGTGAGTTTACCTTGAGGAGTAGGCAACCTTAAAAAGAGCACCAACATAACCAAAGCTATAGCACCGATGGGTAAACTATCATGTTTAAATTTTTAATAACTTGTGTATTTTTTTAAGAGAACTTATGCGTAGTAACTTACTTGATGTAAAAGTTCCATCTCCATGTCACATAATCAGTGAATAAGCCCTAAATTAAATCAAAATAAGATTTGGGTAACTCTTTTGTTTGTTGTGCACTTACACCAATCAATGGACCAAACACACTCGATAGAGCAAATACAGCATTGACGACACTAAATATTAAAACGGTCAGATCGAAAATAACCCATTTGTTTCAGTTTGGAGAAAAAGTTTACCCTTGGTAACTGCCTCGTTGTTCAAGTGGTACTAAATCGGAGAAAATAATAAAAACCTGTGTAAAAAAAAAAAAAAAAAAAAAAATTGTGAGAAAATAGCAATATGACGGAATATGACATGGAAAACTTACCATCGAAAAGATACCGGCAGCCCCAATACCTGCAATGGCTCTTGAAATGATCAACATAATCATATTCTAGCATATAAACAAAAATCAGCAACTATTTTGGTATTTCTTTGTTACAGTTTTTTTTTTTTTTTTTTTTACCTTGGCAGCACCGCACAAAACAGATCCGAATAAAAATAGCCCAATACCGACCATCAAGATTATTTTACGTCCGAAAATATCTGAGAACTTGGAGAATAAAGGTTCTAAGGAGATATGTAAGCTTTAGAATGCACACCAGAATAAAAAAAGATAGTCTTACGGAAGGCATCAAAAGTAAGGATGTAAGCTGTAGCCACCCAAGAAACAATTGACATTTGATTGAAATCTGATCCGATACTAGGCAATGCTGTAGAGACAATAGTACTATTAAACATGATTAAAACGTTTGATCCGCATCAAAAAGGTTGACATTTCGTTCTAGCTTTTTTTTTTTTTTTTTTTACCCATCTAAAGCAGCCAAGAAAAGTGCAATTTGAAGGCCTACAAAAGTCAGAATACGAGCAGTTTTTTCTTTCTTCTTTCTTTTGATTTCATCTTCAGGTGATTCATCATCTTCCACAATAATGGTTTTTAGGTTGTCCGGCTTCTCGGACCAAGGGGTTGATGGGTCAATTGATGATGCGTTTTGTTGGTCAATTGTTGAAGTCGTCGATCCAGACTGCTCTTGCGTTTCATTTATCGAAACCTCTACCTTGTCCATTTTTTTATAAGAAGAAAAAAGAAACTGGAAAAAGCTTATAACAAAAAAAGAAAAGATCCAATAAAATTGAAAAGTTTAATATGATTTTATAACACAACAAAAATAGTCTACTATGTTTGATTGGATAGTCATAATTCTTATTGTTGAACAGACAAAAAAAAAACATTTGTGGCAACATAGTTACACATGAGCGGGGTAAAAATGGCCCGAAACAAACATTTCGTCCAGACCCGCCATCGTAAATCGTCGTATCGAAGATTTATAGGAGTTTTTACTTGAAAAAATCATTCCTAAATTCCTCCATGTCTGATATTGTCAGATGTCTGTACCGTAACATGGCGTTTCTCAGATCTAGATGAAGTGGCCGACCATAACAAGGGCATGCAATTCATGGAGGGCCAAATTTTAAAGGTACAGGGAGACCCTTTGTGTTTTTTTTTTTGCAAGTGACATAGAATTATTATAACAGCGTAATTTAGACCTTAGATACTTGTTTTTTGCGCTGCTTACAAGCAAGGAATATCAAAGACCAATGTTAAATGTCTGGAATTAAGTTTTTGAAAGACAAGAGTTACTAAGCAACTTCCTAATTGCCAGAAATTCAATTTGTTCAAAAAAAGGCTACGGCCCGAGCCGATACTCTTATTTGTGCTAGCCTGAGCGTAATCGACTTTTTATAAGTCTAGATTTATTGTGCCGTTGGCTTATCTCGCCATCAAGAGTGCTCTAGATATGACTAGCTATTAATAAACATAAGATCGTTGCTTTTAGTTACTTATGGCATAGACGAGGAATGATTTGATGTACTCAACCTATGTATTTAGAACAATGAAATGAACAGAACAATGTCTGAATGCTTTTCTGTTTTACAAATATAGCTATTTTATTTATTATGAGCATACGCTTTAAACAGTAATTTGTGAACAATACGCCAAATAAAAATTAAATTTCATGGTGTGGGACACTGTTAAAGAATTTAGACTTCGAATTTATCGCCGTCGCCCGAACGAATGCACATCCGTTGCGTTATCTGAAGATCATTAAACTTATGATCGATTTATTGCTGTAGATAGTCAGTGATGTACAATATAAAATGCATATTTAATGCTTTATTGATCGTTGTAATTATTTAAATAAAGAAGGATTGCAAGGATATTATTGTTATTATGTATAAGTAATCCACGCCTTTTTTAAACAATGATACCAATTTTAAAAAATAAGTGTTACGCCTTCATAGGTGCTTCTGCTGCAACTGGCAAACCAAATTCATCCAACTTTACATCCTGGTGCTATAATTGAAGGGTTAGTCAATAAAAAATATTTATTAAACAAAGAAAGTGATCTACATACCAATTTGGGATCTGTGTCAGCGGCCTTTGGAAGATCTACAACATCTTCCTGTAAATAAGAAGGAATATCCTCCTCTTCAAACTCTAACTCATCTCCAAGGGCATCCAATTCTACATCTCGTCAATATATGTCTTGTCACGATAAACAACAAAAAAAGAAGAGCTTACCAGCTTCAAGGTCGTCTTCATCAATATCGTCGGGTAAGTTGTATGATCGACCTAAAGTTTCTTGGACCTCATTAGCTTGCTCCATCAAGTCCTCCATCTCATCTTGTAAAGACTATACAACAGACAACTGTTAGCTTTGTCAGCTTGATAATAATATTTAGTTGTAGCTCACATCAATTTTATCCAAATTGACATTCTTGTATTGTTTCTTCATTTCTTTGTTTGCTGTTTGCATAGCGTCAACAGTAGCCATGACATTACGTAAATTCTCGGTCGTCATTTGAGCTTGTTCCATATTAAACGACTGCTGTTGTAAATTGTCTCGTTGAGCTTCATATCTAGAGTCAAACGAATGAGTCTTCTAACATATTTTTTTTTTTCCTGAATGGGTCTACTTACAGTTTCCTTTGCTTCAATACTCGCAAGGCCTTTTGTTGAACAGTTTTCTACGTGGATGAGGGGAGGGGGTTAATAGACTGTTACGGGGGGGGGGTTGAGCTTTTCTCAAAGGGGATTTTTTACCTTTGCAGGGCCATCTCTCATTTTCTTGAGTTGATCTCGATATCTTGTAAGCTCGGCATCTAACTTTCTTACTTTGACTTCAACAGCATCCACTCTCACGTCCGTCTACCAATAAAAGTTAGTGAATGGGCTCTTTCTTTTTCTCGTCCATCTTTTTTTTTTTTCTTTGAATATTTACATTAGAAATGGCATCGTTAAGTGTTGGCTTGGGAATCTTTTTACCGGAACCGAACAATCTGTTCATTGTATGTTGTAAGAAATTTGTAGTAAAACAAATAGGGAGCGAATTGCCAAGAGAAACTCAAAATGTGGAGGCAGTACGGAAACAGTCACGTTTCTGAAGCATGAATTTCATCCAGAAACATTTGACCTTTTTTCGTGTGTGTGCGTTCAAAAACATATTTGTTTTCTATAACTAAAATTTATAAACAGGGCAGTTTGTTTAGGGAGTTATTACCATTTACCTTCCCGAAAACTCATGGGGGTAGATACTATGCTAGATACAAAAACACCACAAAAAAAAACACGAAACGTACGTTAACAACCTATATTTTATTATATGCTAATAATCCAATATGATATTTTAGACGGGTCTCTTAGGGACAGTCAGGGCGCGCGTAGTCGTAATGTTGGGATTTTGATACTTTAATAGACGTCAAGAGGTCAATAGAACTTAACAACTTGAAATTTATATACACATTTATCACAACCAACATAATTTAAACCAGTATATGTATTTTAAAGCTAACTTTCAGCTTCTCGTTTGGACTTTACCTTAATATTTGTGCGTAAGATTAGGATCAAACGAGTTCAAAGGCGAAAGAGTAATGATAGAATTGTCAAAATAAGTATAAATCGTTTGATATACATTTATTTGTAATTTTTTGCATTGTTTTTGATTGTATATCCTTGTTCCCAGGTCTACAGAACATCCCAAACCACAGATCTTACGTTGCGACTACATGCACTTTGGCTGTCCCTAAGGAAAAATTGGCTGTCCCTAAGAAAAGCGTATTTTAGATAGTTCTAAGCATTTTTTTTTTTTCGCTTAAGATGACGTCCCTTCAACACTTTTTTAAAAGATTTATGTAAAATTGAATATTCTTTCATATGGTATAAAGTAAAGTCGCTGGATATCAAACTTTTACCAAGGTAACTCTATACCACTACGTAGAAAAAAAAAAAATACCTTGTTAAAACCGTTGCGCTTAAAATATGCTCTTTAAAGCGTTGTTTCAATATCCTGGGTTTCACCGTTTACTTTTTAATGCAAAACCGTATCATGTAGAAGACTTGAGACAACGGGGCAGTCTTTTTGAAGTTAAGCTTCTAAAAGAGGTCTTTGACAATAATTTTGTCAATAATCATTGCTGCTTACTTTTGACATTTAAAACTAATTTCTGGGCATTTTGCCATGTTTTGGGTTTGAAAATTTTCAGGCTGGCTTTTGAACAAGTAGTACAAAGTAGGTAAGTCAAACTGGACTTTGTCTCAAGAGCATTATAATAATAAGCATGCTGTTTGAGCATTTCAAAATTGTCAGCCCTTTTTTTTTGGCAGCATCTGGTGTAAGGAATATTTGGTGGAAGTATCATCCAATGACTGCCCAGGATCTATATTACGCCATTTGATGACGTCAAAATGTTTTTTTATAAAGTTGTTTATTTTCCCACCCAACGCCCTTTTTCTTTTCTTTTCCTTATGCACAGTTTCGAGTAAAGGCTGCTGTTAGGTGAGTCTGGCATGTACGTCTCGCTCGTGGGTGTACCTGCTCTACCTCTACCTACCGTCTAGGCTCTAGGCAGGCGTGGCTATCTTCTGGTTTTTTACACGGTAATGCTTTTAAAAACTGTTGTTGTGTTAATCAACAGGCTAATTTTTTCTTTCTTTTTTTTTTCATGTAGCTTGTACGAGGTAGTTTGTGTAGGTTTATGGAGTCGAATATTTGGCATGCTCTTGTACCGCGACAGAGATGCAGACGGTGTTTTCAACAAACATTCGCGTAAATACTAGACATTACAGAGCTGACATGGCGAGTGAGAGATCGAAAGGACACCGTGAAACCGCTAGTACGGACCTTCTTGTGAATCCTAGTTTATCCTCTCATAGTTGGGCGACCTTATCTACGAAAAGGTGTGACATACTTTTTTTGACCACTTTCCAACGATTGTGTTCGTTTTATAATTGTCAACTAAAGCATAAAAAACGGGTGAGTGCAGACAGAGACTGACTTCCACGCAGTTGCACTTGGGCAATTTTCTTTTTACTGGAAATTGGCGAACAGGTCTCTAAACTTTTATCTTTTCTAAAATAAAGCTTTCTTTTTTTTTTTTTTTGTCTTCAAAAAACTTGCCACGCCTTTATAAGACTACATTGTATTATTGTTGAATCTTTTTGTAAAATAGAGATTTGGTTACGAAAGTATATGTGTGAGCAAATCGTTGTTTCGTCATCTACCACATCTTTGAAAGTCACTGATAATCACAAAGAGCCGCCCTTGAGAACTTGTAGTAGCCCATCATCTCCATTATTAAGATCAGACTTGCCTCTTGATATCAAGCAGGAGTTTTTGGATCGCATTCGTGATGCAACTATTTCTGCATTTCTTGTCGTCTGCATGCGATTTATTATTTTGACGTATAAGATTTATCATTCGCAAGTACAGCCAAGCAGCATTTCCGCTACAAGGCCTATCTCACAAGTAAAGGTTTTCAAGCACGAGGCTTAATTAGTACGCGTCTGGTACAATTCAAGACACAGTAGGATCGTTTATTAGATCTGTCGAAAACTAGAGGTCAGAGACTGGAGAGATCAAAGATATACGATGCTTGTTCAAGAGCCACAAATGTATACTGGTATTTAAGAAGGCTACTTTTGTGATCGACAGAAATAACAATACTTCACTCGAAATCAAAAAAGGTCCTTTGGCTTCTGATATATTGATAAAAGTATATCATGTAGAATGTTCAGAAATCTGTCTTCCTCCTCCGTTAGATCATAGTTTATTTTCAAGCACGTCCAGCTCTCGTCAGCTCCTGCAACTTTTCAATTTCGAAACAGAAAATAGGATAAATAATCGTAGCAGGCATGGCGGATGCACCTTAGTTTTTCTTTTAATTTTCTTTGGAATAAGATAGATCTTAATTTTAACTCGCTGTTTTTTCTTTTTATCATTTTATTCCATTTTCCAAATCCCTATAGCATATATCACTCAGTAATGATAATAAAAAAAAAAACTTGATTTGGCGTTCTATCATGTGCTTTTGTTTACTTTTCGTTTAAGAAAAAGTATCAATCTTCACGTCTTGTCAAGTCACAGAAAGTCACTTCATTTTACTCCTATTTCTCTTTTTTTCCCCCAATTCTCTTATGCTTAGCATATGATGCGGTAATCGCTAACTACTTCGGTGGGGTTATCGTATAATTTTTGGAACTGGGCTGAAAGTTCTAATCCACTTCCTGCTTTCGGGCGTGTTGAAACAGGCGGGCGGCTTCCCATTGGATCAGCAAATACGAATACCAGTGGATCAGCAAATATGAAACGAATGCATCAGCAAATATGAAACGAATGCATCAGCAAGTACGAAACGAGCGCATCAGCAAGAACGAAACGAGCGCATCAGCAAGAACGAAACGAGCGCATCAGCATTTACGATTACGAGTAGATCAGCAATTTTCAACTAATGGGCAGTTTCTCCAGTGTGACAGCATCGGGAAGTGTTGAATGATTAGACTTTTGGCCCTATTTAATTTTTAAATTTAATGAAAATGAAAAGCAAATAATACTGTGACCTTTCTTTATATATATATATATATATACTCATGCATGAGTTGTCTGCAAAAAAAAAAACAATTATTTTCTTGTTTTCTAACTGTAAATGTCTTTCTGATGGGACTGACTCATTTGATAAAAAGCTTTTTATGAAAAGACAAAAAGTCTCACTTGTGCCCCTTGCATTTGGCTTATTTTCTGACATGGACTGCACAAGAATTCCTTCAATTACATTAAGCAACTATGTAACGCTATCAACTACCCTCACAAGAAACGGTTGAGAATAAAGCGATTTGCTTAAAGAAAGTCTTGAGAAAACTAACTACAAACACATTTGTACTTTGACCACTTTCATTTTTGTGGTGTATATAAGAGAGAGAAAAAGTTACCGGTAACTTTTTTTTTCAATTGTAAACATTTCTTTATATACAGTTGTTCCGATGCCAAAGGGCGAGTAACTTTTTTTTATGGTTACTGGTAACTTTTTTTTATGGTTACCGGTAACTTTTCTTTCTTGTAGCATAAATTTATTGTATCGTCACTGATAAGCGACTTAATTTTTTATAGCACAAGGATGCTTAATTCGTATAAATTTAGACTATGATACCATTAAGTCTTTCATCATACTCATTAATAAATCCCAGAATGCAAGTGCAAAGTTAATAAATTTAATAAGACACTGTCCTAGAAACCATTCTTTTTTTTTTAGAGGTGACCTGGCTGGTAAAGCGAATGAAGATTAAAGAGAGTACCAGGAAGGCGTTACTATTCAAAATCTGAGCAAACATCTTTCAATCATACGGCACAATACGTCCACAAATATATATATGAAAGGGGCCTATTTTTTCATTGATGTTGAGGTTATATAGTTTAAACGAGAGCCATGCTGCAAGGTAGCAAGCCGAGAAATTTATAAATTATAAGTAAAACTTAGAAGAACACATTAAGTTTATTTATGATGCATTGCTTAATTTCCTTCAGACAGCCAAATATGGGAATCTGAAAGTGTTCTGTATCATATCGAGTGAAACAGTTATGATAACAGTATGCGCTACAGCCATGTCAGTATGACTGGAGCTTCCTAAAATTGTAGAGAATTGAATAAGTTAGAACACCGGACAAAAATCAAGATGTTGAGATGTATGTTGTTACTTATCTTTGGTAGTAGTAACAGTAGTATACTAGTACCGGGAAAGACCTAAATGAATTGAGTCAGTAACGAAATGGAATTTAGAATAACTTGTGCCAATATAAATACTTTCCAATATATAAAAGAGAGGAGGATAGCCCAAAGGATCACAACATCCAGCATTGAACACCGCAGGCAAGTAGTCGCTACTGTCAAAGCCCCTTCCTTCCTGAATGGGAAGCGTATCTAGCCAAGAGTAATCACAAAGTGTATCTACCACAAACCACTACGGTAGGCAACTACTATGAAAAGAGATTGGCAGATAATGCATAGCATCCACGATGCCCGCCAGGAACCCACCTCGACCTGTACCTCCTAACAAAGAGTGCAATCCTCAACATGTTGATGATCCCGTCATATCACCCTTGCTCACCCTCACGACCCAGCAAGATAGAATGAATAACCCTGGCGAGTCTTGTCGACCTGTCTTTTTTTTATATTTTGGACCGAGATGACACTTGTGCAAGCAGCTTCGGGGTATATGTCTGAACACGACTGTACAAAAGGAGGCGAACTGGTGGTGGCTTACTACAGCTGTTTATGGCGAGGCCTAAAGAAGCAACCAGCCAAAGTAGGGATTTTATTCTGTGGCAACCTCTATTGTCATTAAGATGCCCTTTTTTCATCCTGTAGATAACCCTCTTCTTTCCAACCGTCATAGAATATTAGATGGATTGGGTGGTAAAGAAGAGAATTAGCTACAAGATAAAAAAAGGGGAATATAACACCAATAGACGATACCACAGAACAAAACCCGTTCGTCTGTGACCAGCCGCTCCCAGTCGGCCTCGCCATAAACAGATGTAGTAAGCAACCACCAGTTCGCCTCTTTTTGTACAGAACGTGTTCATGTATGGGGGTCAGCCGCCTGCTTACGCGTCATCCCAGTCCTTTTTTTTTTCAGAGGGAAGACGTTGTTTGACCCACCGTTTCGGGTTTATAAACTTACCGGGAAGTGGGGGTACAGAGAGAGACAAGAGCGACAGAGGACCTATAAAAAATTAAATATGAGTTTCAATGTTTTTTTTTCTTTTTAAATGAGATTACTTACAGGACTACAACATGTCTTGGAAAGCACCCAATGCAGTCGATACAAGCCCAGGAGGGTTGACGACAGGTATACGTGCACGCCATACATTACCTACTCCCTTTCCATAGGACCATTTAATAGCAGTAAGGGATCACCACCGATCGACATTACAACCCAGTAGACACACGGCATTTGTGCAAAAGAGTACCCCTTAGTGAGCTTTCATCGCGGCAATGCTATTACTGAACATCATGTTAATAATAAAAAAAGAAAAGAGGAGAAAGAGTGAGAAAAAATCAGTAGTGCGTAGCTACCAGACTTTGACTGCTGACAGGCTCACGCGCAACAAGATAAGATTACCGTGAGAGCTTTGATTACATGATCAAATTCAGACATTTGTACTACTTTGATTTTTAAGCAAAAAAAAAAAAAAAAAAAAAAAAAAAAAGAGTAGAAATCTTACAATGAACACTTCACATGCCACTGTATACAACATAACTTACACTAAAAATACTGCAAGTATGAAATTCTGGGAGTTACAGAAACTATGCTGATCGTGTTAATTATCTCTGTAAAATTTTTATTTTCGCCAAACTAGAATATTGTGGAAAGTTCCACCAGCTGAAAGTGACATCAATTACACAAGCTGTCACTAAAAAGTCTCAATTACATTTACGTGGCCTACAAAAATGATCTTGAGAGGGTTTTATGTTGGTGAGTGTAATAAAACCTTGACAACTAAGAACTGGAATGTAGTAATCATGATTCTTATTTTTTGTAACATTGAGTTCATTCCTACTTGTTCTCCGTATGCCTTTTTTTTTTTGTTTTGTTTTTCTTGCTCACTACACTTGCCAATTAAGCATGGTTTTCAAACACACCTTCTCGAGTTGGGTAGTTTTTTTTTTAGGATCTTAGTTTGATTCTCTGTTTATTTTATTTTTTTGTTAATTATGCATCTCTTCAGTGTTACAAATGCAGTGATTGGCGAAAAAAAAACTTGTTCAAGATACGAGTCTTACCTGACAATTAGAAACAACGATGTAGATTTTTTGAAAAAAAAATATCATCCCTACGAATTTGTGTGGATATGCAATTAGTGACTCAATCACGGCCTTACTTCAAGCTGATCAGGCTCTTCTGTCAATAATGTTGACTTTCACGTAATGAATTATAGGTGATGGTGTACACTGAGTGGTAGTCACATAAAGAACAAGCACACAAGATGAGAAGTTTTAGCTTACGTGCTACATATACTCTTGTCCATTCTTTCGCCTTACAGTAACGGTGCCTAGACTTTTGGCTTCTTTTTTAATATCTTTTTTTTTTTATGCATATATTTTTTTTCTTTTGAAATTCCGCCAGTCAGTGTAAACCAGCATACTTGGGTAAAGAAAAAAAAAAAGGATGATATGGCACGTCAGTGGATGTATACTTTAAAGTCTGGTTCTCAATTTAAAAACATGATTTAAACATTCCCACAGAAAATACTTACACACTTGAAACAGTTCATCCTATCAATCGCCATCTATCTTTTTTGTTAAGCGAGTTTTTGTTTTGCATGGAGAACAAAATTACAAATAAACCAAAAGTGATACTGTTAGAACTTGGATACCACTTTATTATGGACGAAAAAATATAATTAAAAAACGTATAAGAAAAATCTATTGATGGTCTTAGAAGAACTGGGATAGTTCTAAGGAGAATATTAAGCGCCTTATTGGATCATGATGTAATAATCTGGTGATAGTAAATAATCAACATGTCTTTAAATTTAGCCCTTCCATACTGAGTATATAAGTATTATTTAGAGGGATCAACAATTATAACATCAAATGACAAGAGTAATATGTGTGCTCAGGATCTAATAATATTCTATAGTCCAGGCCCATTCGATTGTATTGCTTTTGCAGAATAAATATTTACTCGCCACAGGGTTGTACCCTGTGTACAGACTTCAACGGTAGGATGAGAACAAGCGGGGTAATGTGTGATTCATGATTAACTTTATTATTATATCTATGATATCCTCAACAGGGAGGACTACGCTATCGACTCTGTTCAAAACATACAGCTCCTTATCAACCAAACCGAAGGACCAAAGTCTTAAGCGAGTCTGTGCAGCATGAATGAAAAAGACTTGAGCTTTTTTAAAGACTTCGATGTCAGCATGAATGCACTTATAGGCAATTGTATGGAGCATTGCTAACAATCCGTAAGTCGCTTTCACCTGATCATTGGTCTCTCGCGGGACATCAACTAAACCAAACGGGCAGGTTGTTTCCCGTAGACATAATTCTAATTTTGAGCTGTTGTCAAAAATAACTCCATCGGCGTAGTATGACACTCGTCAAGCGACACGGCCTTTTTTAAAGAATTTAAGTAAATTGATCTAAAAAATGAAATCTTAAGATAACCTACCAAAGATTCAAACGATGATGGATAAAATGAAACTTTTGAATCACATCATCAATGGGTGTTTGTATCAATTCATTTGTCTTTAGTTGAAGCTCTTTCGGATAAAACTTTCTGCTTTGCTTATTTCCAACATGATGACCTAGAATTATGATACCCAAATACTCCAAACTAGTAAAGGTACATCAGTCTCCTTCAAAAGATGTAAAAATACTTTATCATACCTGTATTCATGTACATCTTCATCGTTGTTATCTTCCGTCAGCATGGTGTGTAAAGTATCACTCCAGATGGACCAGACATTTTCACTTGTAGGCTCTGTTTCTGCGAAGGATGCGGGCGAAGAAGGCGTATTTGTGGAGATAGCAGATTGATCGGGGCGTTGTAGACTCTAGTATCAGCAAAAATATTTTAGATTTATATTTTATTTAAAATGTTCTCGTGTATACTTTACAGACAATGTATTATCCATCGAATCTGAAGAAACTGTATGATACAGCTGTAGCTGTTTGTGTGAAATGAGAATGGTAGCACACATACTATCCTTTTCCATCCAATACAATTCAGCGCTGGAGTCTTTTAAGCATTTTAGTCCATCATGCAACAAACGTGAGACAAACACCTTGACCTCATCTTTTAAATTTTTAACGTCGAGAATATCTTTCAGCTGTTTTTCAGCTTCTACTTTGGCCGTTTCAGGTGTTACAATTCAACAGAAGAAGTAAATCCTTACTGTTGAAGGTTTGGTATGAATGATGTTGCTTTAGATACCCCAGAACCGATGGACTTGAATCTTTTTGTAATCTTTTGCTACTTGATGGCTCCGAATCGTCTGCAGGAATAAAAAAACCAAAAAGACGTGCGTACTCTTTTAACGGAAATGTTAGACCTCCTTATTTTTTTCAAACGTATTTCTTTTTATACCTTACAGCAATTCTTGCTAAGACCAGAAGGCCAGTATGATCACAACTATTTACAGCGCAATCACAGCCATTCACGGTTCTTGAGTTCCAAAAACTCAAGAACCCTGCCAAGGAGGTCGCCCTCCTATAGCAAAGACTAGCCGCAGCCGCAATATCACAATATATCTTTTTTCAATTTAGCTTCTTTTTAAAGAAACAAGAGTCATTACTAACTTACCTTTTTACGTGATTGGTTACTTTCATACATTAAAAGAAGTATGTTAAGGGAAAAGAAAAGAAGAAGAATAAAGTGTGTGAACCAGCTTTATTTATAGATAAACAAGCTTATGTCAGGATGATTTCATTTGTCTATTTTATCATCCATAATGTTTGAGCCTTTACTTAAAATAGAAACACTTGCAAAAACCTCCCAAGCAAGTCAGAGCTTGGTAATTGTCTATCTGCGTTCCAGTAGTAGCTTTTAATGACAGTGAAGCAGATTTTATGGAAAACAGAAATCGATCATCCCATGAAGTTTAGATGATATGGCATGTAAATCGACGTGTAGACCATCGCGTGATTTTAAAAAATACGTTTATTTGAAAAAAAAAAAAAATACGTTTGACAAAAATACGGAGTTCTAGACATTCTTAGACATTCTCTTATACAGCCCAGAAAAGACAGGTCACGTGATGCAAAAAATATTACATTTGAAAAAAGTACGGAAGTCCATATCTCCCAACTTCTTTGTAAGTCAAAATGAACAAATTACCAGCAGAAGTCCTCATACCTATCTTTTCCTACTTAAACAAGCCAGATCATCTGGAATGTGTACACGTCTGCAAGCAATGGTACGAAATTATCAGCAACAGCTTCTTGTACCAGAAAGTAAAATTCGGAACTGCGGACAACCTTCACAAGGCCATCGACCTGTTCGATAGAAAACGTAAGTTTGGTGAGCTTGTAGAAGACTTGACCATTAGGAATTGTAGGCTTGACGTCTATTCTATCTTGTCTATGCCCAGACAAATACCTAATGTCAAGTTCTTGAACTGGAGTGAGCCCGGAAGACCATCCTCCCAACGCAGAAGGTTAGACGACGCGACAGATATACCTTCCAAGCTAGTATACAATCGCGAACTCGGTAAATGGAAGAATATTGAAAAAATAACAGCAAGGGTGGAGAGACTTCCTTTTGTATCCATGTTGCTTGAATCTACTCCACTTATTCACTTGACTGAACTGGACCTTTCATTTGATTCGTTGGCCGTGTGTGGTGTCTTTGATGAGGATTCTTTGGATAGGATTCACGCCTATGTCAAACTGCTTATGAAAAATATTAAAAGTGCTCCTGAACTTAGGGAAATCAAGCTGATACACCCGGTCTTAGATTTGGACGAAATGGAGTTATTACATGCTGGTACACCTAAACTCAAAAAAATCGAATTCGAAGGAGTTGTCCTTGGTAGTGGTGCTCAAAGTGATATGGTAGTCATTGGTGATACAATGAGATACCGAGAAGGACGCAGCATTGCACAAGAGCCAGCAGATTCTATCACACAGCTTCTCATTAGTTTTGTGGTGAACGCTGATCCCTCAAGTATACACAATGTCGCAGGACCTGCAAAAGAAGTCATGTTTAATTGGCTGTCTTATATCGGTATCAAATACAACAACCTTGAATACTGGATGTTAAAAGGCCAAGGCAAGACCTACTTACCTAGGATCCAAGAATTTGAACAACCCACTGTCAAGATCATCAGCAAGTTGAAAAAAATAAAGACCTACCATGCATTTCTCTACCCAATCACAAAAGCAGTGACGGATGCCTTTGACAGAAACGAAAATGGAACACTAAAAAGTCTCTTGCTATACACTGACAGTTTGGAAGAATTGGAAAGTCAAATCAACTTTGTAAACACATCCAAGCAAGCTAGAACCATAACTACTCTTAGAATCAATGGACAAGGCATGGATATGGTGGATTGTCCTGTCTTCGATACTCTTCTTGCTGGCTTGGCTCAGAATTTTATTGCGTTGAGAAGTTTGATGATAAAAGTCAATATGCACTACTCTGCCATGGTCAAGTTCCTACGAACATTGCCCGAACTGACTGTACTCCATGTATTTAATTTACGGATCAACTTGGGAGAATCGATGCCATTCGCCCCGATTGTTAAATGCAATTTACATCATTTGTCTGTGGATCTCGACTGCGAGAAGAAGTCTACTATGTATCAGCTGAATCAATACTTAGATTTCTTGCTTCAATCATGTCCCCAATTGATAAACTTCAGAATAGGTGGAAAACTGGCGTTCGTTAGAGGTATCGTGAGGCTGTGTTTCTTCGATCACCCTAATTTGGAAAGCATATTTGTCAAGATTCAAGGTGTTCAATACTACACGTTCCCATGGACCGACGGAAAGCAAGGAATAGAGTGGGAAAACTATCATAAGGAGGCTGTTGTAAAGGATATGACCGGAACAAAACTGCATGTTGAAATTTCATTTAGAGGTGATCAAGTAAAGCTTGATTTGGCTAAAGCCCCTGTAACTTTGATTTAAATTCGGTCTTTTTCGAATAAAATATTTTTTTTTATCAGTGTATATCATGTAAAGTATACTATAACTTTAAAATAACTTAGGGTTTTTTTCTGTTGCAAAAAAGGCGTATTAAGAGCAAGCAAACAATAGTACTCTTTACCATTGAAGATTATTTAAACCTTTTGTGTTTCGAAATATACAATTCTGTTTGACCCATCTATTGTCTGGAATGTGATTAGTCGTAGCTTGCCTGTATGATACTCAAACCACAGAAGTATTGTCTTAGGCAATAGGCTATAGCGTGTACATGTGTATATAGGTGTGATAAAACAAGCAATACAACAACTACAAGTTCAGTTGCGTTCTAACTAGGTCTTATTTATCTCTGCAAGCGGGGCTCTAATGATTTTAGAATACATCAACTTTTGTGTAGGTTTGGAAAAGGAATCTGCTAGAAGATGAAATACATTATAATACTCTAGTTCGTTACTTCCGCACGCCTTCCAGTAGCTAAGATGAGTTTAGGTATATTATCGCTTTTAATCGTAGAATTTGAGCTAGTGATGAATGAAGAATATCTAACCAAAATAGTTGGTTAATTGAACTGTAGATTTGCTTTGGCTACTCTTTGTGCCGATCCAATTGTATTATAAGATCTAACTGTTAGTTTTTCCACAAGAAAAACCAGTGGGTTTTGAAGCTCAAGTTATTTTGACAGCACATCAAATATTGTGGCTCTTTTGTCCTCGCTTGGGTTACACTAAAAGATGCATTTTTGGGTTCAAATTCGAAAACCGCATGGAAGTTTTTAAAAGTGACTTGGGTATTAAGAACAGTAGTTTCTTTTTAGACTGTAACATCCAATGCCAGCATTATTGAAAGTTGCAAGGAAACCGATACTAATCGTTGTGTTCCTTGTGGCATTCATGTTCATGTACCATATTGCTAGTATTCCCAAAGTGAGCAACAAGATGCAATCAGTTGCTTATTATACCGGTTATGATGAAAGAGCTTGTCTTCCTCAAGAGTTCCTTCAAAAGAATCCACCTTCCAAAAAGGCAAAGGCAGCCATGGTCATTCTTGTTCGAAACAAGTAAGTTTTTTTATAAAAGAGATGGTAGAATCTTAAAAATTCTCATCATGTTGTACACGCCTTTAGAGAACGAGAAGCGATTGCAGAAACACTTGTTAATTTTGAAGATAAATTTAACAAGAATTTCGATTACCCTTATGTATTTTTAAATGAGGAACCTTTCACAGAGGAGTTCAAGACAGCGATGAAGGCAGCAGCACCAAAGGCAACAATGAAGTTTGGTTTGGTTCCCAAGAGCCAATGGAGTTACCCTCCTTGGATTGATCAGTCTTTGGCACAAGAATCTAGAAGAAAGATGGATGAAAGTGGAGTTATGTTTGGAGGTTTAGAATCATATCATCATATGTGCCGATTCCAATCAGGATTCTTTTTTGATCACCCTTTGTTAGATGAGTAAGTTGTTTTATAGTGTAAAATTAGTACAATTTAGCTCAACAAATGAATTTAGATATGAGTGGTACTGGCGTGTGGAACCAGGCGTGAAATTCTTTTGTGATATCACCTACGATCCTTTCCTCCACATGGAGAAATATAACAAGCAATACGGATTCGTTGTTACTTTATTAGAACTCCGAGAGACAATCCCCAGTCTCTGGAAATATGTGGAGGATTATGCAAAGTCAAGACGTATTGATATTTCTAGTGAAAGTAGCCAACTTTTATTCCCTTACTTTAGAGATAAAAGGACGGGAGATTTTAATCTGTGTCATTTCTGGTCTAATTTCGAAATTGCATCATTGAATTTATGGAGAAGTCCTCAATACCGTGATTTCTTCAACTATTTGGATCAAACAGGCAATTTCTTTTATGAACGATGGGGTGATGCACCAGTTCACTCTTTGGCAGCAGGATTATTTTTGACAACAGACCAGATCCATTACTTTGAAGATATCGGATATCAACATGATCTTTATAGACATTGTCCTAGCAAAGCTAGTAATTTAAGCTGTCGCTGTGATTGTCCTGTGGGCACAAATGATAAGAGTATTGACCACGACAAACACTATGATACTTGTCTTCCTCAATGGTTAAAACATGTCAAAAATGTCGAAAAAAAAAAAGTTAGTTGGTGGTTATAGAAATTAATAATAAAAAAAAATAATCAAAAAGGAAGGTATAAAGGGGTTGTGGTTTTTATAATACAATAATAAATTAAAAAAAGAAACAAATACAAATGAGGTGTGCAAGAATTGATTACGAAATCCAGCTCGATCCCTTTTCTGCACAGTTAATGATGATTCTATTTTTTTTTTTTTTTAATCCAAAGAAAGAGTGCGTTCGACGAGATGTCTAGGCATGGAGGATCGTCTATGATTTGAGTTTACTAGAAGAGAGAAAAGGGTAAATGGGATTGTAATTAAACAGATGTTATGCAACTTACAATGAGGTTTTAATCCTTTACCAAAGTTCAAGCAACACTTGATTGCATTAATGATGGTCAATACAACCAAGACTAATGACACACTTGCTATAAAAAGAATGAGACGGGGAGTTTCTAGATTGATTTTTTTTTTTTGTTTGATATTTACCAAAAAAGGTCAAAAATTCTTTGACAAACTTGTATTTAAATGCTTGTGTTGGATCGTAGATACGGTATATCTTGAAGATGAAATATGCCATGCCAGCAAGCATACCAAGAAAGAAGAAGGATATTAGCCACTTGGATTCATGTTTAATCTAATAAGAAGTTAGCAAGACAAGGACAATTAGATGATCAGGAAACAACTTACAGAGTAGACAGCTAGTATCAAAAAAAGACATGTCAATGGAAGGGCTACAATAGTAAGTGGAAATTCATTATCTGCAGGTCTTAATACGAGAACAAGATATTGAATTGAATAGCCCAAAAAGAAGAAGAAATCGATTTTTAAGATGGTGATAATAATCTGGAACCACCTGAACATACCTACATTAAGATATAAATGTCAATAAAAAGATATTCAAAAGATACAATAGATTGCCATACTTCTAATCTCGGGATCCGCACCAATTTTCTTGTAAATTTTCCAACCGAATTCCTGATATAACCTAGCACCGATATAAAAGTAGATTAATTGACACGCACCAGTAATGACAGCGACAGTAATTAATAAACGATTAATTAAGAATTTCAATGATAATGCTAAATCTGCCAAATCAGGATTGTTTGAAGCTAATGCGTCAGCTATTTGTTTGAACTGGAATACTGCATAGACAAAGCAACAAATATTAAATAACAAAAATGCAATCACTTGAATTGTATTCTGTGCACGGACCTAATAAACAGTCAGTTACACTTCTTTACCTATTCAATTTTATTTTCGAACTCACTGCGTCCCAGGCAAGAAACACTTGAAATACTTGTGAAAAGATAAAGATCATCAAATACACTGGGATACCTTGACCAAGATTATTCTTTGAAAATCTTTTTTTGTAGGAGAAAACAAGGGTGATGAAGGTAGTATAATAATAAAAAAAAAAAATCGAGGGGTTGTATGATAAGTACACACAATTTTAAAAGGGTTCCTCTTCAAAACTTACTGTGTATGATAAAACTTTGAGAAAATGGTGGCCTCCAAAGCAATGACAACGATGGCTTCGAAAATAGACAGCAAGACCAAAAATACTGAATTGCGTGAATTGGACCAAAACTATTATAATGGAATGCAGTTGAAGATAAGCTCTGTTTTAATAGTTGCTGTTGTTAATGGCTTACATCAAAGCGAGTTTCGGTTCTTTGTTCCTGGCTGATGTCAAACATTTTTCGTCCTGACTGTTGTTCGCCATCTATACTAGGATCAGTAAAATTTTCTGTCGACATGATTTTTTTTTTTTTTTTTTTAAAAAAAAGTTTAAAATACAAAAAAAAAGAGAAAGCCTATTGTGGGGTCGCCAAGACAATAGAGAAAAAACACGTCATCAATCTTATTGCTTTAAATGGCAAAAGCGAATTAGTTACACGGGGTTCAGAAAATAGAGTGATACAACACAACAACAGTGTTTATACAACAAAAAGTATAGCAGACGGAAGACGGAATGGACATGTGAGCTACACTACTTTATAAATTTTTTTTTTTTTTTTTTTTTTTTTTTTGCTTTTTGCTTTTTGCTTCTTTTTGCTTTTTGCCTTTGCCTTTTTTTTTTTTTTCTTTTTTAATAGAAACATATTTAAATAGAAAAACAACAAAAATAAATATTAATAAAAAATAAAGAAAACAACAAAAATGTCTACCATTAGCATGGTATCACCACAACATGCATCAAAGAAACCGTGCACATCTGCAAGCTGTTGCTCACCTTCTCGTCTTTGGCGAAACCTTCAAGTGATTATCAATGGAGATCAAAGAGAAGAATTCAAGAAATTTGTATCTGATCAAACCAAATTACCTCATATCGTTCGTGTCTTATTGACCGGAAGATTGTCAAACAATCCACTAGTTTACAGTAAACCATCAAGCCTTATTGACCGTAGACTTGTGGATAAATTTGGAAAATTATCAGCCACTGATTTAAACGCGCTAGAAATTGCATTATTACAAAAACATGATCATATTGCTTACTCTATCGTTTTACTTTTGAAACGAAATGCTACCCCTGCTGAATTAAAGGCATACTTGAATCATCAATGGGGAAAAGAAAAGTTAACTGCATTACACTTAGCTTCTTTCTGGGGTATGTCCAAGCTCGTACGACTCATGTTGGACCTAGGCGCCGACCCATTCATTCAAAACTATCGTCAACTCAGACCAATCGATTGTACCACCAATAACGATATCATCACTCTTTTACAACCACCCCCTCCTCCTCCACCTACTCCAGTAGTAGCAAAAAGATCCAGTTTATTATTGAAAAAGGCTGAAATTTCCATGAATCGTAGTATCAGTCCTTCCTCTACCTTACCAGATCATTATTATTTCTCAAAGCAAAGCGATATCACTCCAGTCATGTCTCCACTTTCTTTTTCTTCATCCTCTTCGTCATCCTCCTCTTCGTTTGATTATCATTGGACTCCACCTGCTTCGCCCGATTTAACTCATCTTGTACAACAACTGGATCAAGTCGTCGTTATTGAAGAACAAAGACAAGGCTGTTTCCCTCGTCATACTAGTATCATGAATGATAACAAACAACCACTTGTGTCACAGAAACAAAAGAAAGTTCATTTCGACCCTCAGATCATCTTGATGGATGCCTGTATTCGCGGTGATAAACAAGAAGTTATCGATGTCATGGACGATTCAATTGACCTGAATCAAATAAGAGATCTCCAGGATAGATCCCTTTTGCACCTAGCATTATTGTATGGACAAGAGCATATTTTCATGTTTCTTTATGACAAGATTGATATTAATCTGGCTGATAGTGATGGTAAGCCCCCGCCTTGTTTTTTTTTTCTTTTCTCATTGTTCTCTTATTAATCACTATATTGGATAGGTTGGACATGTCTTCATTATGCTGCAGCTCTGGGTTTGTGGCGATCCCTTGAATTTCTCACGTCACTCGCCCATTGTAATGTCAATGCACGGACCAATCATGGATTAAAAGTAGAAGATTGTCCAAAGTCGTATACTTTAAGAATCCAGTGTAAAAGTAAGTGATACCATTATATCACATGAATGTAATCACTAACCCTCATCCTTTGTAGACATCTTGGATCGTAGCCATGCCACAAAGTAACCAAAAAAATCTCTGTACATATTACATATACCCTTCCCATTTCCTTTTGTTTATATAATTGTTATTATTCTTTCCTTTTTCCAAAAAAGAACCAATCTCCTTACATATTGTACTTTACCTGACCCTTCATTTACACAAAATTTATAAATCACTAACACACACACACACACACACACACACACACACACACACACACACACACACACACTCTCTCTCTCGTTATTCTGTATTGCCGATAATATTGAAGCAATGCCCTTATTTGTATTTTTCTTTTATATACAGCTATTTATCACCATGTACCATTTATATCTTTTTGTACTACAAACACACATAGGATAACAATATGACTCCTTCCTATTTCCCTTATTAAAAAAAATCTTGTTTTATTATGAAACTACCCTGTGATCCATTGTTTGTTATTGACAGTTTATTGAATGTAAAATATTTTTGTTGTATATATGAATAACACGGGAACGAAATGTATCATGTCTTTCTTGAGACCCTTTTAGTGTCTGTGCATATGTGTGTGTATTTAAGTCTGTATTAAAAAAAAAAAAAAAAGGTGATTGATTAAAAAGGGAGAAAATTATACACATTGGAATGAGAGGGTACCAACGATAATACTCATTTCCCCCCTTTTGTTCCTTGACACAAAATGTTTCAAGACTCAAATATTTATTTTTACAAAAAGAAATGAGTGTTTATTCTACTAGAATCATGAACCGCCATTTCGTGAAGTTTAAAATCGTTTAACTCTTCTTTAATATCTTGGGCTAAAGCGGCTGTAAGTTTTGTACACACTGCCTCGGGATCAGAACTACGATCGTATTCTTCCCTTGACCATGTTTCATGTACATTAAGAAACTTATTAAACCTGATACCCTTATTTGTCTCTACCGTTGTAAATAGATCGGTCGACGATTTCTTCTTCTTTAGTATCATTTGCGAGAAGCGTTTCTTATTGGGGCTGACCATCGATAATCTACTAGACCATCGATTGTTCTTTTTGAAATCAATTGCACTGGTGGGTCTTGGGTTATTCACGGGCTGTCGTTTCTTCAAGCAGCTCTTGACGTCTGTTGGCTTACTCGATCGCTTATTCGTAAAGGATGCAGTTGAAAGTCCACATGAATGACGGTTGCTACTTTTGGTCGAGTAATTCGAGGTTGCTGCTGTTGTTGTAGACGAACACAAAGAATCAATCGACGGTGTCCATTTCTCATTGGCTGGAAATACTGGTAGAGATAATGTTTGTTGTTTATCAACTGTGCTAATACGAAATACTCGTTTCATTCTTGATTTGATAGCTGAGTATTTAGATCGCGTTGTGACGACAGGAATTGTGGTGGTAGAAGAAGTATGCGATATACATGTCGGTTCTAAATAAGATTCAATGATAGATCGATGTTTATAGCTGCTATCAAAAGAATGTTCAATTTCGTCAAGCCAGTCATTGTTTAGACGGGCTGGTAATGTTGATTTGCCTTCTTTGGTAGTCGTTACTGTTACCTCGCTAGTGTTATCGATGTAGTAATCATGCCTTTTATGACCGTAATTCTAGACATTAGGAAATCAATTAATAAATAGGAATTTTTTATATATATATATCATATATCTACATGATCGAGTGATAAAAGGCTGATACGATTGGTAATTGCATCGGTTGCAGTAGTATTCATATAGAGCTTAATATTATAGGGATATAAAAAAATAGAATAAAGAAGATAAAAGGTGCTTGAATTATAGTTGAAAAATGATTGAATGAAAATGAGTGTAAGGGGGTTTAGAAAAGATTTTGAGTGGTTTATTATTACCTGTTTATTGTAAAAAGAAAAGAAGAAAAGATGAACAAGATTTTTTTTTTAAAAAATAAAAAACCAAAAGACTTATTACTATTTCGCCCTTTCTCCCTTAAGTTCGGTCTATATAGTGTTTGGAATGATGGGGGATTCTTTTTATGGCAACTTTATGAAATTCATCTATATGTAGACGTCACTAACAATCACCTTCTAAAATGCCGACATTTGGGCGTCTTTGCATTAGAAGCACACAAGGTCTTAATACAATTAATCGATGGAGAGCGTCTCTATATCTTTCTTTCTTTTTCATGATCATGTCATGATCAAACTATGAATTCTCCCCCTGCTTTTCATCTGTGCAACTAAATTAATAATAGTACTTTCCCCCCTCTTTTCTCGCCAGCTCTTTCCGGTTAATTATGATACTAATTTACCTAATACTTGTTTCATCATCTTCACTCATGGGCTATCTATTTTATTAGGAGGATATATACACATCATGGACAATATTCTTTAATTCTTCTCCAAGGCTACATTCCTCGCTTTTTGTTAATTAGTATAATGCGTAATATAAATGCATGTCATTTTATGCTAAAGTCAACCCAAAAAAAGAACAAAAAAATATAGTTTCTTCCGGAAAATAAGGGACAAAAAACAATTAATCAGTGCCCTGAAGTCCCTCATTGGCTAAGTATTAATGCTCGTTGGCTTAAAAAAGATCACCGTAAAACATATGAGTTGACATTATCTTGATAGTATCAGTGATAAATTTTAGCCCGAATTGCTTATATTAACTGTATATATTTACTGCGTCATTATATTATGACAGCATGCGTCTCATTGTTTACTCTGAATGGATCATGACAAAATGATAAAACGGGGATGTAAAACATTTTCACGTGTGCGGGGACAGTATGTAAGCCGGGTAAAGTGATAGTAAGTCAGATGAAAGAGGCACCGAGCCCTGAAGTCATTTGTTTTGGTCATTAAAGAAATAATAGACATCATTTGTATTTTTCCCATACAAGGTGCTGGTGGGTTCCGCGTCTTGTGTGAAACCGATAAAAAAAAAGTGTTGTGACACAGATTATAAATTAAAAAAATAATTTGTCGCAAAAGAGAATAAAGGTCGTTTAAGAGGGACCAAAATGTTGGTATGGATTATGTGCAAAAGCTATTGAAAAAAAAAAGCAGAGTGATTAGAAGTAATACTTCATATTGGTCAAAACGAACAGTATTGAAGGATTTTTTTAAATCGAATTTATTAAAACTCTACTTTTTACAACATTCAATAATTTGACGTTTAGAATAATTATCAAACGCATATAAATCGTTTAGGTGAGTATCTTTACAAGCAGCATTGATTATAAATACCATTGTCTCACCTACTGTGAAGAAAACTCTTTTAATTTTACCCTTAACCAAAGACCAAAACTTCTTACTGGATTGAGTTCGGGACTAAATACGATAAAAGATACATATAGCTATAGCCTATATTTACGATTTCGCGCTGTATATACTTATTCTAATAGATGGAACAGTTGTCCATCGCAAAGAAGTAGCCCTTCAGATTTTCGATTTTAACCATATCATTCAGGACTTCACTGATGGATTTAATATAATGCGCTGAAGTGGTGCGCTTGGGTACTGGCTTACCATCATCGGGCCAATACTACTCAGCATCTTCACCCTCTTATTCTTCTTCAACAACAGCCTCCTTTTTTTGTGACGCTGACTTTGTGAATAAACGGTAGATGAATGTATCGGCTGTAATCGCACTAATACAGTGTAAATAACTGCCCTTGTTACTGGTGTTTTTACCATTGCTGCGTTCCAACAGACGACTCCATGCAAAGTTTCTCCTTATATTAGTATGGAAACTATTCTCGTCCATAAAGACACTCATTTTTGTTAAGTCTAAGTTATCTTTACCGAACAAAAAAATCACAATTATTTATTCAACTTTTAAAGACACAGAATAATAATTTAACAGCATTTATTACAAGGACAACCAATTTTGAACATGATAAACAAGCAGATTGGCTTCTTGAAAAGATTTTTAAGTTTATGAATAATAGCCTTCACCACGGAAATTCTCAGGGGCTTTTAACATGTCCAAAATGCATTAAAAGCCACTGAAACAAAGCAAGACAACCTCTAAAATAAAATCGTGTTACCATAGATAATTCTACACTAATAAAATAAACAGATATACACTATACAGGTCTTCATACATACTAATTAAGACTAATTATACGCGCACCATACTTTTTGATGAAGATAATTAATGTGGTTTTGAGTGTGAGCTCATGCTTTTAGTCTAAATCTTATTTTCTTTTTGGGTTTTGATTATTATGAGATAAAATATATAAGTTTGGAAAACTGTAAGGATTGGGGGAGTAAACTATAAAAGTATTTTATCTACTTCTTTTGAAAACAATTAGACACGTCGTTGACAAAATGTCTCGGTACGCGTCGAATACTTTTTTGGTGGGAAAAGTTCACTGTTGACCATTTTTTGACTTTGGAAGCCTTCTTCGTTTTGTTGTCAAATTGAGGCAAGATCATATAAAAATAACTGTTGACAAACAAAACTTGAATGGGATCATTCAATGTTTCCAAATTCAGACCAAGAAGTGGCACAAAAGTAATTGTATCTTAGTCTACATGACGTTTCTATCATTTTCTCTCCACGTAATATTATACCTATCGACTTTTAAAGTGGTTGCATGTAAAATTACTGGCCTTTTGAACGTATCAGCAACAATCTGGGGGTATCCGTAACAGTCAAACTAAAGACTCAAGTCATCAATACAGGGAGCTTTTGTTGGCTGCAGCTTGCTCATTGTATATACCTCGTTGAACCCATATGTTTTGTAGATTCAAGGTTCTTGACGAAACTCCACATATCAGTGTGGCTGTCCTGACAGAATTGTTGTTGGATGTTCGTTAAATCAGTTACAATCAGGTTGCTTACGCCTCTTGTTTGAGGCATCTAATTACCGGGAAATTAATGTTATTTTAAGATATAAATTGGGGACATATCTAGACTCAAAAAGAATATAGGCAAAATAACTTTTATTATGATTACAGCTTTCCTAAACATTGATTTCTCAAAGGATCTCTCTATCTCATTCTTAAACATTACCTTTAACGTTTCACTGGGAGTTTAACCTCCACACATAAGTGTAATGGCGAACTCTTGGTCATCCGCATTGAGCTTTCGGTTGTTGTAATAAGCCCTTTTATCCTCGCTCAAAGGATGGTTATGTTCTAAACAGCTAGATCGAACAGTCCAAAGCTTACCGGCTAATTTCACATCCTTGCGAATGTAAACGAATGCTGAACAGCCTGTTCTCCCGATAGTCATGTTGGGTCTTTGAACGCTGTTTTCTAACCCTTCATTATTAACGGCATCCTTTTCATCTTGTTTCAAAAATAATGTTAAATATTTTATATCAATAAATATCGCTATAATGTCAAATTTACCTTCTCCCTTTTTTGCAGTACGATATTTACCAAAATGCTTGCAGATCATTTTGATGTAAGACTTATCGCTTTTAAAAGTCTCAAAAGGGATATTGCTAGCGCTCAAAAAAAAAAAAAAAAAAAAAAAAAAAAAAAAACTACGCCATCGTATACAATTATTTGATAACCTATTACTTTACGCCTTAAGTCACTTCCATTGATCATTGATAGACACTTTTAAGCTTCAAAAAAAAAAAAAAAGTAAACTGATATTGATAGAACTTCTATCTAAATGATCGCATGTAACCTCAAACGATAATATTTCAGACATCGGAATGATAAATGGTAACTCCCCGTCCTAGTTTATTTAAATTTATCAACATTTCATCGGTATGACATTGATTTTCATTTCTTTTAATGACTGAATATACATTGATATGGATATATGATCCAATTGTACTTGTCTTACTAATGTTATGCATATTATTAATATAATAGTTATAATAGAGCCAATAATCGAGATATTTAATACAATCTATTCAGTAGTATCTACGTAATGTGGAAGTCTGAACTTGCTTCTTGTGTGACACCAATTTCAAAATTATGAAACTAGTAACATTAGCGCATGAATATAAACGAATATTTCTTCAGATATAGAGAAACAGGTTCGTATGTGATGTGCCTAAATAAATGGACAGAGTGGGATGGGAGTATTTAATGTGATTACATATCGACGTATCCCTATTTCATTTCACAATGCATCTGAAACCCCGGGTAAAGATGTTCTATCGGGTAAAGATTTCAAGAGGGGAAAATCATTTGCCAAGCTGTTTTTTTAGTCAGCCAGACGTATTAATTCGTCATTTACGACAGTGATACCCAGGGAAATGTGTTGCTTTTTTTCATAACATGTTTGTTGAATGAATTCCAATAGTAACCTCTATATATGTCATTCATAAAAAAAGTAAGAAAAAAAATCCGTGTTTGTTATTTCCAACCTTTTGACAAGACTGACATGAAAACCAGAATAAATGTTGTTTGCTGAGTACAGTGTGTGTGGCTCGACCGGGATTTGTTTACTGTGTATGTGATGATTACAAATAATGAGATGATTGGCTAAAAATTTACGATTACCGAGTAATTATGCAAATCTTGTGTAATGATAGAAGTTAATGAGGCGTAATCAGTCTACAACTGCTCTTTCAAAAAATGGAATACATGACAAGATGTTTTTATTTTTGTTTTGATGTAAAATTTAGAAAGAGTGCATGAATAGGCTATACATGTGAATAAACAAGGTACATCAAAAAAAAACAAGCAAACAAAACTAAACGATCGGATGTCAAATGATAATCCAGAACATTTTAAAATTTTTTATAAATAATGGTTAAATCAAACTTTATCTGCTTTAGGCTTCCTCTTTTTTTCGTCATCTTCTTATATTATTTCAGAAGCAAATGAAGACTTTTCTCATTACTTCTTTTGTCAGTTTATTTCTGGCCTCTCAAATTGTTGCGGCAGAGGCTCAAAGTATTGATGATGTAACTTGTATCCTTGACGGCTCAGACGACTCTAATTCCGCTGATGCCAAAGATAATCAACTTAAAAAGTTTACAATTGTTGATGAAGGATCTCAGGAGACTTCGCAGTTTGGTGCAAAAATCAATAACTCTGATAGTTTAAAAGCTGGTCTTGACGGACCTACTCTCATGGAAGATTTCATGATGCGCGAAAAGATAATGCATTTCGGTAAGCACTACTATGTACTTTCTTTTTTATAAACTACATACTAATTCATTTTTCACAAAGATCACGAAAGAATTCCTGAGCGTGTCGTTCATGCTAGAGGTGTCGGCGTTCATGGTTACTTTGAATCCTACGGTGATTACTCTAATATTACTGCCGCCAAATTCTTAAGAGAAAAGGGCAAGAAAACGCCCATGTTTGTCCGTTTCTCCACTGTTTTGGGTTCTCGAGGATCTCCAGACACTGTACGTGATGTCCGTGGGTTTGCTCTTCGTATGTACACCGAGGAAGGTCTCTTTGATCTCGTTGGTAATGACATCCCTCCATTCTTTGTCCATGATGCCATTAAATTTCCTGATCTTGTCCATGCTTCCAAACCTCAACCTGACACTGAAACCCCTCAAGCTGGAACAGCTCACGAAACCGCCTATGACTTTTTTGCAGAGTTCCCCGAGACCCTTCATACCGTCTTTTGGGCTCTTTCAGGTCGTGGTATTCCCAGATCCTTCCGCCAAGTAGAAGGCTTCGGTGTGCATACCTTCCGTCTGATTAACGAAAAAGGTGAATCCAACTATTGTAAATTTATGTGGAAGCCCAAGGCTGGTCTCTCCAATCTCCTTTGGGACGAAGCTCAAAAGATTGCCGGTAAAAACATCGATTTCCATCGCGATGATTTATATACAGCCATCAACAATGGTGATTACCCTGAATGGGAATGGGGTGTACAGTTAATCCCTGAGGCTGATGTGAACAAATATGATTTCTCTTTACTCGATCCAACCAAGCTTATTCCCGAATCTATCATTCCTTTCCAACCTTTGGGAAAAATAGTTTTGAACCGTAATCCCGATAACTACTTTGCTGAGACTGAACAAATTACTTTCCATCCTGGTCATGTCGTCCGTGGTATTGGATTTACAAATGATCCATTGCTTCAAGGTCGTCTTTTCTCTTATTTGGATACACAAATTAATCGTATGAGTGGTGCTAACTATATGCAATTACCTATCAATCGCCCTATTAATTCTGTACACAACAATCAGCGTGATGGTTACATGCAATCGCAAATCCATAAAGGAAAAGTTGCTTACTTCCCCAACGGACTTCAAGGAAATACACCTTCTATGGTAGACAAAGAAGACGGTGGCTACATCGAATATCCTGAAAAGATCAATAACGTAACCAAGATCCGTGGACGCTCATCCAAATTCTTTGATTTCTATTCTCAACCCCAACTTTATTACAACTCTTTAACTGTGGCCGAGAAACAGCAACTTGTAGATGGTGCACGTTTCGAAATTGGTAAATCTAAATCCTTAGATGTACGCAAGAGAATGATTCGACAAATTAATTTTGTGGATAACGAACTTGCTCGTCGAATTGCTTATGGTGTCGGTGTCGATCTCCCCAAAAAGGTGACTGAGAACAAGAACCATACTTCTCCCGGTCTTTCCATTGAAAAGTATCCTAAGGCCGACAACATTAAGACCCGCACGGTAGCTATTCTTACTGCTCCTGGAACAAATACAGCTGAGGCTCGTGCCATGTTTGATTTCCTTAAATCGAAAGGTGCCTACCCTACTTATGTCGGTCTTCACTTGGGTTCTCAGGATGGGCTCGACATCACTGATACTTATATGACCACAGCCTCTGTTCTTTTCGATGCCGTTTATGTTCCTGGTGGTCAAAAAGCCATTGGTGCCATGACCGCTCGTAGTTCTTTCTTCCCATATGAAGAGCCCAAGATGTTTATTCTCGATTCTTTCCGTCATGGTAAGCCCATTGCAGCTTCTGCTGAAGGAATTTCTCTCCTCAAGTACGCTGGTATCGATATCCCTGTTGGCAAAGCGAAAGAAGCCAAGGGTGTCATCACTGACGAAAAAGAAGCAGGCGTACAAACTGCCTTTGAAAAGGCCTTGATCCAACAAAGATTCTGGTCTCGTTTACCTGTAGACAAGCCCATTTAAATGTAGATATTCTTGTTTTTTTTTTCATACTTATTACCATTAAAACATTTGTTAATTTATTAAAAAAAAAGTGATAGAGATAAATGTGTGAGTGAGTGAGGGATTATATGTATAAATTAGTAATGTAGTAAATATTCTAACGGCTTCGCGTATACATGCGATAAAATAATGAGAAGGGTTATTAGTTAAACAAAGGGGGCAAACAAAAAACAAAAAAAAAATCTTGGGTGTGAAGGGTTGGGAATATAATAATAATTTTTTTCTCTTCGGGGGATCTAGATTTATGCTACAACGGTGGACATGAATTGGAATAACATGGGAACGATATAAGCAGCGACCATACCAATACCAGCATAAACGATTAATTTTGTTACAATATCTACATCATATCGAAGGGGAGCATCCTCGATAATCAAAAGGGAGGTGGGATCATAGGCTTCTTTTTCAGAGGCACTTGCGTTTGTGGATATAGGAATATCTTCTTTAGGACCACCACGGTAGGATAATTGGCTTTCACGAAGCTCTCTCAAATCAATAGCTGATTGAATACCAACATGATCATGATCTTGCATATTTCCACTCATCGATTGGAAATCTAATACGGATGGCACAGGATGAATACTCTCTCTTCGCAAACTCTTGTATGTTCTTGCTCCGATTTCAAATTTACGATGAGGAAGGTTGAATACTCGATAAATAGGTGGCAGAATGTAGTAACATACTTTTTTACACACGATACGCCAAATAAATAAACATGCTACGCCTACTTACAGTGTTAATAAATTCTCCCACTCTTTATAATACAAGTCCTACCAGCAAGTAATTTGACCAACAAAAAGAGAGCACCAAAAATCCCAATTTGGGTAGAGAGAACAGATGATGACAATCCGGAAACGCAATAATCCGTTCTGTTGCACACCCAACTACCGGGCATCAATCCCATTAAGACACCCATAAAGCACACGCTGTAAAATCATTAAGTATTTGCCCTTTTTTTTTTTCATCCTATCTATTCTTTTTCCTTACCTGTCTTCAAAGCATGGGCATCTTTCCATTGGATCAGGGCTACAGTGGAAGATGAGAATTTCTTTCTAATGCGACACAAACAAAATTAACTTACTGGAGAGACACAAGCATTAGGCAGATTGGTATAGCCATAAACACTAGAAAAGATACAAGTTAAAAATCAAGTGTCGGATTTCGGCCTAAAGTTTCTTTTTTCTTTTTACCCCAATAGGAATCACTTGTGAATAGTGCATTGAATTGTTCTTTAAAGGTCCATTGTGCAATGTATACCAAATATGCCACAATCGTTCCACCGACACAGTCTAGTAAATAAATGACGATTGAGCCAAAAGATAATATAAAAAAAAAGTCATAGGGGTGATTGTATTACCTGTAACTGTATGCATACCACAATAGACTCTACCAAATACAACACTGACTGCATAGAAAGTACAGCCGATTGTTGTGATCATTCTCGCAGGTGACTCAGGGGCCAACTTTTCACATGCCATAGAAATAAGAAAAAGAGCTACTGAGATTGAATTGGTGGAGTGTGTTGAAGGAAATCCATATTCCAAGGCAACGGAAGGTGACATGGTTAATCTATGCACGGGTGGTGAAAGTGGTCTAGGCAGACATAGAAAATCCTACAGCGTTTATTTAGCTTCCCATGTGCTCTTTCCTTTCCACCTATCTATTTATTACCTTGAGAAATCCTGACCAAAATACACCCGATGCTGTCAGAAAAGCAACACTATAGCCACATTAGTACTTTTTTTTAAAAAAAAAAAATTAAACTGCCAAATCCTTTCAAACCCGACTTACTTTCTCCCAAGTTCTGCATTGCCAAACCAAATGAGAATGGGTAAAAACACCATAAAAAACGTGTGTGTACCCAAGTTGGCAGTCCAAACAAAATAACTATCAAGTGCGGGTGTACGAATACGTTTCTATGATATCATACTTTAGCTCGCTACCCTAATGTGTCCTCTTTTTTAAAGCGCCTTGTTACCTGGAATGCTGCCAAGATGGGTGTCTCATGACGTACCAAAGGTAACAATCGGTTTCTCAAAGCTGCTCTGAAGCCTATAAACGCTTTATTGTAAAGTCTGTCATCGTGAGTTCCTGCATCCACGTCTGCTTCGATAGTTTTAAACGTCTTTCTCGCCATGCTTTTTTAATTTTCGTCTATTTAGAGAGAAAGAAAAAAAAAAGTGTACGAAACCAAAAGAAACACAAATCAATAGACAAAAAAAAAAAAATTGGGATTTAAAAAGCACAAATAAACACGGGGAGACTGTTCTACCGTAAATACTTTCAGTCACAGGAAATGAAACTACTGGGACAAGCGGGAGTCTTCTTTTATTCAAGAAATATTCCTTTAGATACGATACAATAGTCGAGCCTTAGCTAAAACATACAATGTTCTTGACTATTTAATAATCTGACATATTTTTAAATATGCTTTGAAAAGATCTATAGTCATGCATTCACATATTGTTCGTATATCCCCGAAAGGTCATTTATTTATCAAAAAAAAAAAAAAAAGCGGACGGTGGTCTATATATAATCGTTGTCTTGTTTGGGACTGGTTTGACCTTCTTATAAGATCAATTCATGCATTATGTCTGCCCACGAAATGTTGCATACAAAACCTACAAAGCAAGCATCAATTGTAGTCATACTATGCTAATAAATAACTTTATTAGGCCAGATTGCATCTCTCTGTTTTTTTTGTCGAACAGTGATAAATTGATGTATGTTACACCTCTCTTTCTCTCGCTGTGTAATCAACTGTTCCGACCATACTTCTAGTCCGGCCCGTTGTGTACAATGATGATTACAAATGCCCTTCTTATCTTTTCTTGTCAGCATGCTGCTCTCTGATAAAAAAAAATTCAAGATGATCATAAATCGTAGCCAATACTACCCAATGAATGATTTTTTTTTCAATGTGTGTGTGTGTGTCCAACATGGATGTAACATTTGTACGCGTGACATGTACTGCTAAGCCTAAACAGCGTCTTCTCTTTATTCTTTCCTAATCGTCGTTGTTTATAAACTATCTACACGGACATCATGATCAATATAGAATGTAGTCTTTTCAAAATATAATTTATCCTCCTGGCGTCTTTCTCTCCCGCTGATAAAACGATAAAGGGAATTGCCAAGACATGATGTCTGTGACAGGACGTTCTCGTGGCACAAAAACCGTTTTTTTGAATCATATGAGTAAACTACATCAAAAGATGACATTGCTGTTACACTTATTGATACATGTAAATAACGTGTGTCTCGGTGAATCTTTATATTTACAATGGACAAGTATTTAGATTAGAGTAAATACTTTTTTAAAGAAAGGATCGTTAAATAACGTGCGTTACTTTAAACATGGTCTTCATTTTAGACTGGAAATGACTGTACACAAACAAAAATATATCCAAGAAAAGACAAAAGTTTGTTGGACTTGCTATGATCTTGGCGTCTAAAATTGTGTGTAGATACTTCATAGACATAAGTGGGTATCTCCATTGTATGCGTGTAACTTAAACCAACCACAAGCATTTAGACAATGGACTCAAAATGTTTACTGCCTTAATATGAAAAATTCTGATTCCACACACACACAGACACATGTGAACTACGTGTTACAAGAGGGAGGAAAAATCGCTTTTATGATGTTAAATGGGGTATGTTTAGTGGATTTCCACTCTATGGTTTGATAATTAATTAATACTCGTTCCCCCCCCCCCACAAAAATGATCTGCAAAATAATTGTCTGTGCGTTAAAACGTTTTGGGGATCCGGCAAGGTAGATCGAATAGCCAAGTGGCAAAAACCCTAATTCTACGTGTCAGTGCAGTGACAGCCTCCTATTCGTGTAAGATTCTGACTATTCCCCTTCGTTGTACCTGACCTGGAATCATGTCAGGTACTGTTATTAGGACATGATTCATATTTTTTGCCTAAAAGCATTAGGACTCTGAAGCATCAATATGAATAAATAAATAAAAAAAAAACAAAAGACAATAATTTTTTTTTTTCTGCTATATGGTTTGTTTGTTTTTTTATTAAGAAATGCAGTATTGTGACAAAATAATTTAAAGCTTATCGTAGTACTTATCGAGACCGGGGATATCTTCAACGAGACCCTTTCTCTTACGGACGGTACGGATGATATCGTAAACCTTGTTACCGGCTTCGGTAGGGTTTCCGGGCATGATTTGCCAATGATCGAAGACAGCTTGAGGGAAAGCTTGACCACCGGTAGCGGCACGAAGATCGGCAGTGAAACCGAAAGATTCGTTGACGGGCAAGTAAGCCTTGACGGCCATCATGGGAGTACCGACCTTTTGTTCTTCAGAGAAGACTTGACCACGACGTCTGTTAAGACAAGAGTAGATACCACCGATAGCGGAATCGGGACATTGGATTTCGACGAGGTAGACGGGTTCTTGGATACCGGGGGTAGCGGTCAAGACAGAGGCGTACATGACACGACGACAAGTGGGGATAATTTGTCCACCACCACGATGGATAGCATCAGCATGAAGAGTGACATCGAGGATGTTGAAACGACAACCTCTCAAACTTTCTTCGGCAACAGGTCCTTCCTTGGTAGCCCATTGGAAAGCGGCAACACAAGAATCCTTGATTTCACCGAGGTATTGGACTTGCTTGGTGATATCAACAAGGACGTTAGGACCAGTACCATCGGGACCGAAACACCAGATCTTACGAGCTTCAGTGACATCCCATTCGTACTTATCGGCTAAGACACGAGCACGGAGCTTGAAATCATCCTTGGAAGAGATCTTACCAGCTTCGATTTCATCAGCGAGTTCATCGTTAAGAGGACAAGCACGCATGTAGATACGGTTATGCTTGTTAGGGGACTTGGAGAGACAGTCAATGGTGGATTCAGCAGTGACGGTTTCACGGTATTGGACAACGGGGTCACCAGTCTTGAGGGGAACTTGAGCGTGATCCTCCTCGAGATCCTTCAAACAAATTTCAAGATGGAGTTCACCAGCACCGGCAACAATATGTTCACCAGATTCGTTAGTGAAACACAAGACACAAGGATCGGACTTGGCAAGACGCTTAAGACCTTCAACGAGCTTGGGGAGATCGTTAGCGTTCTTGACCTCAACGGCAACTTGGACAACAGGGGAGACAGAGAACTTCATGACCTTCATGTTGTGAGCAACTTCAGAGGTGGTGATGGTACCAGACTTGACCAAGAATTGATCAACACCGACAAGACCGATAATGTTACCAGCGGGACAATCCTCAATGGCTTCGACGTTACGTCCCATCATGAGAACAGTACGTTGGATAGACTTGACAGCAAGATCAGTCTTGGAACCAGGAACGTAGTTAGGACCTTGGATTCTGACCTTCATACCAGCACGAACGGTACCGGAGAAGACACGACCGAAAGCGTAGAAACGACCCTTATCGGAGGTGGGAACCATCTTGGAGACATACAACATAAGAGGACCGTTAGGATCACAAGCACGGATACCGATGGCACACTCATCATCAGTGGGACCTTCGTACAATTGAGAACAACGGTAGGCTTGAGAGGTAACGGGAGAAGGAAGATGGATACAGATCATCTCCAAAAGAGCATCACCAGCAGGCAAGAACTTACGCATAACGACCTTAAGAAGGGCCTTACCTTCCAAATCCTTTTCGTCACCAGCAAGGTTGACCTCCAACTTTTCGAGGAGAACCTTGGTTTGGTCCTTCTTGAAGTTCATGATGGAATCAAAGACACGGTAGATAGGATCCAAGATGAACATGTTGAAAGCACGCTCGAGGTTCTTACCCTCAGCATCAGTAGACTTGGTGGTCCACTTCTTGGTCTTGGGGTTGAAGTAGTTCTCACCCCAAAGCTTACCCATCATCTTCTCCTTATCAACACCAAACTTCTTGGCATAACGGATAGCGAATTGACGAAGAGTGAAACCCCAACCGTGAAGACCGGAAGCGAAAGCAACGGTACCCTTTTCGGGGTAGACTTGACAATCACCGAGAGCTTCATCAACATAGGTGGAGATGATGACGTTAACGGATTCGATGGTACGAGCGAAAGACTAAGGATAAAAAAAAAAAAGGGAATAATAAGGTTAAATTAGGGGGTTAACTACATTCGATTGTTAGTATATTATATTTACGTTGTAAAGTTCTTCCTTGTCCAATTGGAGTTCGAGAAGAGCACGATCCATCTTGTTAAGACAGATAACGGGCTTAATACGTTCGTTCAAGGCTTGACGCAAGACAGTCTCGGTTTGGACACAGACACCATCAATACAATCGACAACGACGAGGGCACCATCGGTGACACGAAGGGCAGCGGTAACTTCAGAAGAGAAATCCACATGGCCTGGGGAATCGATCAAGTTAATCAAGAAAGCGGAACCATTGGTCTTTTGACCCTTGATTTCGTTAATGTCGTCAGGGTTGGCCATTTGGAAATACATGGAAATGGCAGTAGACTTGATGGTAATACCACGTTCTTGTTCATCCTTACGGGTATCCATGAAACGGGCCTCACCAGCACGACCGGAAGAAATAATACCGGCCTTGGAGACAAGAGAATCGGTCAAGGTAGACTTACCGTGATCGACGTGAGCAATAACAGACATGTTACGCACATTGGTAACCTTGTCCATTAAACCACGGATTTCTTCAATAGTGAAATTCTATAGTAATGAGTTATTAGCATGTTGTTTCTCTCTTTCTTTTTTTTTTTTTTTGGGATTTTTTTTTTTTTTTTCTTTATAAAGAAAGCGTAGTTTGGATTTCTCGGTATACTTACAACTAAATGATTGATAGGGTTGTATTGAAAGGTGATAGGAAATGTTGCATGTTAGTAAACAGGGTTCATACAGTTTATATCCTATGCCATCCATCCATACGTGTCTTGGATGGATGGATGCTACACTTTATTTTGTTTGGCCCTTATACATTACCCATATTAGATGTGTTAGTGAAGGGAAAGATTCAATGGGTTGATGCGAAAATCCATTTGCTTTACGGAGAAAAAAAAAAAAAAAACGCGGGCATTTAATTCACGCGCGAGCCCAAAAAAAAAAAAAAAGAGTCAGTTGATGATTTCTTCTCACACACCATGTACACACACAACTTACCAATCATTGGGTCATTGCGCAGTTCATTTTTTATAAAGGGGGTGTTTCTATAGTGTATTGTTTATTATATAAAGAAAAAAAGAAGGAGGGGGGGGGGAGAGAGATCTACTGTGAATTGTTTATTAATAAAGGGATACGGGGTGAGATTATTTGTTGTGGAGAGGTTTAACTAGCAGCACCATACAAGAAAGTGGCAGCAATGACAATGGCAGTTCCTGTTAGAAACAACCAAGAAGGTTGAAAATCCAACAAACAAAAGCTAATGATACCGGATAAAATAATGGAGATACTGGTAGCAAACCCTTTAAGAATGTTGTCTGCATATTTTACTACCATGGCTACCAAGAGTCCGCCCAATGCTTGATTTGTCACGACAAACCAGGTTAATGCATTATAACCTGTGAATATCCCATGACTCTTTATCTGCCCGAAATCCGATAGCATCATGCCTAAAAATGAAAAGGTCGCACCACAGATTCCCAATTGGATATTTCGGATCCACATGGAGGTCGTGGAGGTCTTGAGGATCTTTTCAAAGTAACAGCCTGCAAACCCAGACGAGATACAACTGGTCAGCACAGCCAGTAGGCCAATCATGGGCTTCTGTCCATTATCCACGGTTTCTACCGTTGTCACACTCTCAGTTTGCACCAATGTCACACCAACCATCAATAACACCAAAGCCAGCCATTTCTCGCGGTTCAAAGATCGTCCCAGTAACGAGATGGAAAAGGCAGCAGTGGAAAGGATCTTGAGTTGGTATGTGACTTGAAAGGTGGCAGCTTCCAAGTTACTGAGGGCGATATAGAGTAGATTATTTTGTAAAGCGTAGAGGCCACTGGGGATCAACATCTTTCCTACTTCGTAAGGCTTTTGGACAATCTCGGAATAGATCAAGTGGATGCATTTCTTGTAGGATTTCTCTTGATGATGCAGCATGAAGAGACAAGTGATGATCTTTATGAGTTCGGCCATAAAGACTGCGGTGGAGGCGATATAGATGGGTTGATCGGGTGATGTAGAAGTACGTGAATAACGCATGAGTAAAACGAGCATGCTATTTTGAACCACGAGTATCATGAGCGATAGCTGTTTGAGATTAAAGCCATATATTAGTCGCTCTAATGTATTTTTTTTGTTGTTTTTTGTTTGACATGTTCTTGAATAAGGGAGGGGAAAGCGATGATGATGAACAGGATCTTACCTTTTATTTTATCATTGTCTTTATTCGAGATGGGTAGTTCATGTCGTTTCTGGAACGTCCGCTTATAATAAACTGTCATTTGTGGTGTGATATGTATATTAAGGGTTATTTTGGCATGGCAACGGGAGAGAAAAAGGAAAAAAAAAAAAAAAAAAAAAAAAAAAAAGCTTATCTTGGTAATTTTTATATATATGCGGGATATCAATGACACAAAAAAAAAAGTTCTTTATTCTCCATTTACACGACAATAACGTTTCATTGTATCTCAGGGGGTTGTGATCATGTAAAACCCCTACTAGAAAACAAAGAGGATTGGGCAAGAAGTAAGAGAAAAAAAAAAAAAAAAAAAAAAAAAAAAAAGGTTTTATGTTTACTGTTGTTGATCGTTTCTTTTTAGCATATCAGCATAACTGAATGGGTTATTTTTGAATTCATCGCTTTGAATACAAAGACTAGGGAAAGCCTCAACTGTCTCTTCTTTTTTCTCCTCCTTTTTTGTGGTTGCTGTGGGTTGGGATTTGACAATATCTGCTATGGATCTTTTGGCGGGTTCGTTTGTGACAAAGGCTGTCTTGGTGGGTGATTCATTATTATTGGTAGTTGGCAACGGAGGAAAGTGAGTAGGCTTTAACTCCTCATCTAAACAACCGCACTTTTAGTTTCTCTCTCTCTCTTTCTCTATTTATCCTATCCTAATATTACCTTTGTCTGTGTTGTTATTCGTTTTTCCCTTTCTCTTTCTGTTAATGGTGCGATTGGCGGTAGTATCGATAGCGTCGTGTTTGATGATGATATTATTATTATTAGTGGTGGTGTTATTACTTTTCTTCTTGTTATGCTCATAATTATCCTGCCTTCGTGGTGCTTGTGCTGTAGCTGATAACTCTGTTCTTTCTTCCCTTTGTTCCGCTTCCACCTTTGTCTCTTGTCCGTGATAGTTTCTCTTCCCTCCTTTGTTGTATTGATTTGTACCTCGATGATTCTTATTACCTGGGTAATATTTATTGTTGTAGTATCGCTTCTTATTATTGTCACCATCAACTATAGTCATTCGAGATAGTTCGTTCTCTAATTCGTTTGGATTGACTAGTGATGGATCAGCTGATTTATTGTTAGCCACGTATTTTGGTCTATGCCCACTGCCGCTGCCACTACCGACATGAACGCCACCATTATAATTGTTATTATTACTATTGCTTCCGCCAACACGTGGTGAGGATCGACCACCTACTTGAGTCTTCTGATTGTCGTATTTTGGTGATGTAGGATTATTTGGATGATGATGATAGTGCTGATTATAATAATTCACATGATTGTTATAAGGTCGATAATTGTTATTTCGTCGGCCATACATGGTGATGTTGGTGGGAGGAGGTTGATATTGCTGATATCCATAGCCTGTGTATGGATACATGGCCGGAACAGTTTCCTCTGTACTAACTGAAGAAGAAGAAGCAGTCGCAGCAGCAACAGCGGCAGCAGCAGAAGCAGCGGCAACAGAAGCAGCGGCAGCAGCAGCAGCAGCAGCAGAAGCAACGGAAGCCGCAGCAGCAGAAGCAACAACCATAGTAGGAGAAGCAGCGGTTGTACGTTGATTTCTGCATAAAAATAGTTAGTAAAGATAGAGAGATAATAAGATGTGTATATATATAAATTTACACGCGAAGTACGGGCTCTGATTTCATTCTTGCAGCGATTAATTGGTCCTTGAAGGATCTTCCTCTTACGGATGTTAGGAGTTTCAAGGCATCATCCTCTGACTCGAATGTAAAATACCACATGTTTCCAATGTCTTGTTTGATGGATTGAACGGGAGGTGCGTCCAGTTCTTTCAAGAGATCATCGATTTCCTGTTTGAGAGGGGTAAATCAGTATGATGATAGACACAAGATGTGTATGTATATATTTTACCTGTCGAGTACAGTCAGGCACATCTCTCAGGATGACGGTCTTTCGTTGAACGGAAATATTGGGTTTAACTCGAGTGCCTGATTCATTGACGGTAACTGTGTGTGAACTTCGCAAGGTATTTACAATCATGTTGATATCCGTTGTCCATTCACGCACACGTCTAAAGTTTGCTATGATTGAGATTGGAACGTATAGATCAGGATCCATCTGAGACACTAATTATATAAGAAAGTGTGAGTGGGTTTGTATATATATATATACGTACTCAATGATGCTATATTTTTACCCAGGTAGGTATCATTGACCAAGTTCTGTCTATAAAATGTGAAATAAATAAAAAAAAATGAGCACTCTTGAAAAAAAGACGGTAACGGATAAATTATAAACCTTGAGAAATAATACTCTAATTGCTCCTTTAAATCCGCAGTTTTACCTATAACAAAAAAAAATAGGGTTTTAGAATAGAGACAACAATAAATTTTTTTTTTTAAATATAAAAAAAGAGAAAACTTACTTTGATCGGACCTTCTAGTCAAGTCTGCGGAACTTGTATTCTCTTCATGCATAATGATTTCGAGATCATCATCATCGCGCGTGGTAGTAGGATAGTAGACGGGTGCTGGATAATAAATATATGGCATTGAATAAGCTTGTTGTTGTTGTTGATGTTGCTGTTGTTGTTGATGTTGTTGATGTTGATGTTGATGTTGCTGTCCATATCTAGGACCCCCTCCTCCTCCTCCTCCTCTTCTGTATTTGTTATTATAGCTCATCCTCTTCTTTTCTCCTCCTCCTATAGTAGTAGTACTGCCTGTGGTAGTGGTGATGATAACCTCACTTGTCTCTGGAATGGAAACAGTCATCTGTAACAGACTCATCTAATTAGACCCATGCTTACTATTCCATTGAACTTTTTTACCTTTTTTTTTTTTTTCTTTTTAAAGGGGTGAAAAAAAAAGAGAAAGAGAGAGAGAGAGAGAGGGAAATAAACAAAAAGGGCCAAAAACCGTCCTTATTTTGAGTAACAAATACGTGATAAATTATCTTTTTTACATTCATAAAAACATGCAGGAGTTACTCTCACTCACTCACTCACACACACACACACACACACTCTCTCTCTCTCTATTTTTACTGGATCCGATTCATTTGATTGGGTGCTTTTTTTTTTTTTTTTTTGCCGTCAATCCCAAAACTTTTTTCTATTTTTCTAACCCCCTTCTTTTTCTACCCCCTTCCTTTTTTTTTAAAAAACGAAAATGACAGTGATAACCGATAAACAGACAAAAGCTGAAGAAATTAAAAATGAAGCCAATGTTCTTTTTAAGGGTAAAAGAAAAATAATTTGATTTTTGGGGGGTGGAGAGAGGATATTTAACTAAAACTCGAAAGCACAGAAAAAAAATATCCTGCCGCTGTTGAAAAGTACACTGAAGCCATAAAGGAAAACCCTAATGTCGCTTCTTATTACACAAACCGTGCCTTTTGCCACCTCAAATTAGAATCTTATGGATACGCTATTGCGTACGTATACCCCTTCTTTCTTTTTTTTACTTGACTCATCCCATTCATGTAGTGATTCCGATTCAGCTCTTGCCATTGATCCCAACTTTACAAAGGTAAAATAAAACCGTTTTCTTTCTTTCAATTCTTTCTTTGAAATATCCCCTCCTTCTCACCTTCTTCTCTCTAATTACATTCAGGCTAACTACCGTCGTGCCTCTGCCAACATGGCCCTTGGCAAATTCAAGGAAGCTCTCAAGGATTTGAGAATCGTGTCCAAGCGTGCTCCCTCTGACAAGGACGCAAAGGCAAAGTTTGACGAATGTGCAAAGATTGTGAGACGAATTGAATTTGAAAAAGCCATCGAGGTAATTGTCTTTTCTATCCGTTGTTTGTATACTTTTTCTTTTTTTGTCTGACACTGTCCCCCTTTTTTAGCACAACGAAAAGAAGCGTAGTGTAGCAGACAGTCTCGACATTGACTCCATCAGTAAGTTTTTTTTTTCTTTTTAAAAATAATCGATCGTTTTTTTAAAAGAGAGATCTAATGAATTGAAAAAAATACAGCGGTGGAAGCGTCTTATGATGGACCTCGAATCAATGAAGAGACAAAAAAGATCGATCTCCCCTTTGTGCAAGCCTTGATTCAACGTTTTAAAGATCAGAAAAAGATTCACAAAAAGTATGCCTTCATGATTGTGTTGGCCATTCGTGAATACATGATGGAGGCACCTTCTCTTATTGAGGTGTCTGTGCCGAAGGATGGACAGCTGACGGTATGTGGTGATGTACATGGTCAATTCTACGATTTCATCAATATTTTCCAAACCAATGGTTTCCCTTCCGAATCCCATGCCTACTTGTTCAATGGCGATTTCGTTGATCGTGGTTCGTTCTCGGTCGAGGTGATCTTGACCTTGTTCTCTTATAAATGGCTCTACCCTCAACGCTTGTATTTGGCACGTGGTAACCATGAGACGGACAACATGAACAAGGTGTATGGATTCGAAGGTGAAGTCAAGGCTAAATTCAGTGAAATGATGTTCAATTTGTTCTCAGAGACCTTCAATGCTTTACCTTTATCCCATGTGATTGAACACAAGATCTTTGTCACACACGGTGGTCTCTTCTCCAGAGATGGTGTCACACTGGACGAGATCAAGAAGATTGACCGTATCGGTCAAGGACAACCCGGCAGCGATGGTTTGATGTGTGAGTTATTATGGAGCGATCCTCAACCTGAAATGGGTCGATCAGCTAGTAAGCGTGGTGTGGGTATTCAATTTGGCCCTGATGTCACCAAGGACTTCTTGGATACCAATGGTTTGGACATGATCATTCGTAGTCATGAAGTGAAGGAGGATGGTTATGTTATTGAACATGCCGGTAAATGTGTCACTGTCTTCTCCGCTCCCAATTACTGTGATACCGTAGGCAATAAGGGCGCCTTGATCAATATCTCGCCTGACATGAAGTTGGATTATGTCACCTTTGATGCTGTGCCACATCCATCTGTCAAACCTATGCAATATGCTAGTCAATTCAGCGGCTTATTGGGCATGTAAATCACCTTTTTTTTTTCTATCTTTTCTTTTTATCTACCTACACATTTATATATATAAAAAGAAGAAGCCTATCATTTAGAGTTTTTATGGTTTTACTCATATGTCTTTTCTCATACAAAAAGCTGATCTATGTCATACATTTGTGTCTATTCATAACATCACACTCCCCACACCCCAAAAAAAAAAAAAATTACGTGTTCATACCATCATTGTTCATTTACACCCTCTCTCTCTCTCCCGAAAATAAAAACTTTAAAAAAGGTCCGTTGGTATAACCTCATACATGTCTTTTACACCAGTCTAAAAAAATAACCTGTCCTACGGATGATATGATCATCTGGCGTTTTAAAGCTACGCCTACTATAGTTCATGCAATCCTCTCTTATGTATATATCATTTCCCGATTTTTTTTAATTGTTTTTTTGGAAGTATTGTGTGTGTGTGTGTGTATTTAAATAAAAGAAGGCGTATGGTTGTTGTGATGTCTATTTGGGTACATTTTTTTAAGGTGTTGTATTTACTGAGATTCGACTACGACTGCGTTCTTTACTAATTGTTGTTCGTATTCTCTTTGTCTTTCATGTAATACAAATTTGATTCTAGCCATTGATTTTTGACACTTTATATTGTGGTTAATAAATGAGATAGAATACATCTAGATGGGATGTAGTACGCTTACCTTTTTCAAACGACCTTGGTTTGTCCAGAGTTGCTTTGGTAACTTTAATCGACTGGCTTCTTCTCTTTGGGTTGCAAGGACATTACGTTCCTTTAACAAGACGTACCATAATTTATGGAGATCGTCAAAGGACTTTTGACGAAGCTCTTGAGCCTTCCATGCACGACCTACAAACAAAGACAAAAAAATTTGATTAGAGACACATGCGCATGGTACGTGTGTTGCTTGTTGCTTGTTGTTACCAGTCCAGTTTTGTTTCGGTAAAGACTCATTATTTTCAAAGAATTGATATAAACCAGTTGCTTTGACGGGTGCAACGGGTGTGGTGGTGGTTTCGGCAAGTGCAATTCTAGAGGTACTAAAGGTACGGTTTGTTAAGCCCCAATTAACGGAACGAGAAATTCTTTGCAACATGGACATGTTTTTTAAAGAAATAAAAAAAAAAAAGGGCAGGGGTGCGGTGATAAAATTGGGTGCAGAGAGAAAAAAGAAAAAAAAAATGTGTGACTTTGTGTAGCGGACCTTTTAAAAAAGGTACGACATACAAGCAAAGGGTTTTCAGCCAAAAAAAAAAAAAAAAATATACATTAAGTTTATAAATAATAATAGTGTAATAGTAATAGTAAATAAGCAAAAAGGTTTATAAAAGACCAACATCACGCAAATTATTTTGGATAATAATATCATTGACAGCAGACATGACAAATTTGATCTGTTGTGTATCTGTTGCGCAGGTAAAATGAGTGTAGATTTGTTTAGAATCAGACTGATTCAGTGACACAAATCGGTTCAATATATAATTGCTAGCAGCAACATAAGTTTCTGGCTCTACGTAAGTTAAAAAGAAGAAGTTAGTGATTGAATGACAGAATCGAAAGAAAGATATATAAAAAAAGGATGGAAACGGTTACCATGGAAATCGCTAAAACTGTCCTTTAATGGATGCTTCGGCAGTTTTTCCTTGAATATATCAATCTTGTTAAGAAACAGGATGATGGAAGTCTTGATAAACCAACGCGAGTTGCAAATTGAATCAAACAGGGTCAAGGCCTCTTGCATACGATTCTAAAAATATAAGACATATTAAGTTTACAGTCGATCTTCCAATGATCAGGCTACGTACCACTGTTTCATCTTCAATAAGAACTTGGTCGTATTCGGAGATAGCAACCAAGAAAATAATGGCTGTCACATTCTCGAAACAATGGATCCATTTCTTACGCTCGGATCTTTGACCTCCCACATCAAACATGCGGTAGGTCAGATCGGCAATCACAAAGGTGGTTTCTGTGATACCTGTTGTCTTTACTCGAGAACGCAAAACGTCTTGATCTGTAGGCACATAATTGACGTCGCCAATACGATCGATTGAATCAAAATAGCTTTTTTTTTTTTGGAGTAAATGTTGAGCATGATTACATGGTAAAAATAAAAATAAAATAAAAGAGAAAGGGTACATACTATTTTGCAGAATCGTTCAATTGGTACTCTCTGCTTCGATCAAATACACTTAATAAATGCTCATCTTTCCATAGAGATTTCAAGGCAAGAGTGACTTCTGCAGGAAGCGATTCACGTTCTATTTGAGAAGGCAGATCGAGAACGACAGTTGAATGATGTCTATTTTGTGGTTGTGCATAAGCGACACCCATATTTTCCATGGCTTCCAGGATGACTCTCATAGATTGTACGGTATTGGAAAAGATAATTTCTTTAAAGGCTTCCCGTTCATCTCGAGAATAGCCACCGTCATGAATCAATTTCATTTGCTTTAGAATCGTGGATTTTCCAGACTCACCAGCACCTAAAAACCCACTCCTTATTATTAGTCTCTCGGTTGTACGTTCCCACACCCCCCCCTCCTCCTTCCAATGACTCTCTCCTTTCTTATTCCCTTACCTAGCAACAACATCTTGACTTCGTTTCTCATGTTTAGTTTATCTCGTTTGATTTGATCATCGATTTCTTGTGTACGAGCTTTTCCGTCGTGCACTTCATTGGATTGACAGCAACCCATATTTGTTTATATAATAGAAGAGGGTTTTTCTTTTTTTTTTTTTTTTGGTATACTACAAGAATTTATATATATTTTTTTCTTTCAAAAAAAAAAAAGAAAAAACAAAGAGAAAGAAGAAACAAAAATCAAGAGAGAAAGAGAGAAAGAGAGAGCAGGCATTTCTAGAGGGGAGAGGCAACAACAACAACAACAAAAAAAGAGGGAGAAGGGGGGCTATTAGAATAAAACGAGTAATTATGCTGATACTCCTGACAATAACTCCTCTCTTTTTTTTTTCTCCGCCCCTTTTGTGTGTGTGTGTCTATGTTTTAGATAGACACACATATACGTTTAAAAAGAAGGTAAGACAAACAGGTAATAAGATTTCTGACATGTTTTTCTTGAACACTAAATATAGCTGTCGCGGTAAGGAGCGAAAAAAAAAACTCATTTAGGGGAAGACCATCTATTGGATGATACTAAATAAATAGGAGAGAACACTAAAAAACCAAGTTTATTATCTTTCTTATACCCCCCGTAGTGGTGCGATAATGACGACTCGTAACAAGGTTTCTGTTAAGAGAACGGGGTCATATATATAGAAAAAAGAATTACTCACTGTTTGTTTTGCATTAGAGTTACACGGTCTGTCTCCCCCCCCCCCTTTTTTTTTTTAATTGTCAGTAAAAAAGACAACTGTCAAGTATAAGAAGGGGAGAGATATTTGCCTCCCAATCTGATATATCAAAAAAAAAAAAAAGAATCTCGGTGTAAGAATAACCCGTTCGTACCTGATCATCGGCGTATGTCTATTAGGGTTTCGGGTAGGAGTATCAACATGACTGACACACATTTGTCACATTGGGAGGCGACTCTTTTTTTTTTTTGAGTACCCGAGATACTCGTGCTTTTAATTCTAAATTTTTTTACGCGTAAACATAACTATTTAAAAAAGAAGGTGCTGATCGATTCCCAAGCTATTCTATCGTATTATTTAAAACTTGTTTCACAAAATAAAAAAACAAAGGTAGTTCGAGAATCTTCTTTTAAAATGATGAGAGATAATAGAGATTTCAACTGCTAAAAAAAAAAAAATTGCATATTGTAGATTTGGTTGAGAATGAAAAAGAGGAGATGTACAATGACACATTTTGATAAATTTTTTTTTTTGATTGTCTACTGTTTAAATCAGTGTTTATATTAACCTTCATTTAATTCCCCAACAACAAGGGATTTTCATTTGAAAGAATTTTTTTTTTTTTTTGTTTAAATTAAAAAAGGTTAAACGGTGATACATTTCTATTAGAGACTATAAAAAAAAAAGAAAGAGATATATTTGGTTTACATCATGATCATATGCAGTGTCTTCTTTTTATTCCCGCATGATGAGGGAACATCATTGTATGTTTTTTTACAACTGATGCATCATCTCCGTAATTATGTATGATGACATTGTACAAATACCGTTTACCTTTATTATCTTCTTTTTTTTTGCAGAAGGCAGAAATAACCTATAAGTAGCCTTTTTTTTCCCCGGGACATTTATATGTCCGTACAACCGATACCATAGCGACGAAAAAATGAATTGAAAAACGTGTTGAATCATGGATATCTATGTGACATCATGTGAACAAACAAGAGATGGTTTCGATATTTCTACCGATAATCATCCCCAAATAAAATAGGCTTGTTTTACATTTTTTTTTATTTTAGTCCTGTATAACTTGGCTCGGGGTCAATTTTCCCTTTGAGAAGCAGAACTTGTCAAGTTAGGCAAGTTTTTTTTTTTTTTTTTTTTTTAAATGAACGATTCTTTTTGCATGGGGGTTTATTTACTAAAAGGCTTTGCCAAAGGAAGCTTGGAATGTTTTATCTTGGTGAGGAGATCAGCAACAAATAATACATGATACCAAACAGGGTTACAACTAGTTTCCCCAACATTGAATAGTGCTAGTCTGTGAATTTTTATTTTTTATTTTTTTTCGTCTGAGGTAATTAAAACTGTACATGATTACGAATGCTTATTCAATCTAGCTTAGCCTTGGCTGCATCAAATACAGATTTGGATGAGTGAAAGGGAAAAAGGAGAGGGCAGACCAAAGGCGGTGTAAAGGCAATTTCTTTCAATTATGGAGATTTATACTAAATAATCAAAACAGAGCTACTTTAATTGTTTGCGATTTTGCCTTTATTTAGCTTAGACCAATTTTTAATCTGTTTTTTTTTTTTGTAACCTAAAAGAATAAAGTGGATTCTGCATTTGGAATTCTATGTGTATGTTTCCCGTCTTTTTGAAAAGGTTCCAAGGGTTTTATTATAGACCAGCCTCTCCCAAATCGAGTTAAATAATAAATCATGGGCATTATTATTATTATTATTATTTTAGGTAATTTGCATACTGAAATTCCTATAAATGATATGATGTCATGTTCAGTGGAGAGACAAAAACTATAAAAAACTCGCAATTTATTTTTTTCTAGGCTGATTTTTCTTTTTTTGTTACTTTACATCTCTTTTTCTTTTTTTTTTATTATAATTCTCAATATGGCATTTGTACACTCTAAACCTCTTTCCGACCTTCATAGCAACAGCAGTAGAAATACAATCACATCTACCATGACGAGAGAAGACTTGATGGCTCTTGCTCAAAATGAGTACGCACGACAATTATGCAAATTTACGGAGGCACAGCTAAAGAGAAATGTACCTTGTTACACCGAACAGCAGAAATTGGGCATGGCTACGCTTTCCTCTGTTAAAGCTGCTCAACATTAAAACATATATACATATATATCTGTCACTCTATAGATATATAAACAAACACTCTGTAAATAGTCCTTTTTTTCTTTATCAAACCTGTATCAAAAAAAAAATTATCTAAATTCTCGAACTATGATATTTTTGATCTAATATTACCCTCTTGTTGCACACACGCACACGCACACGCACACACACACACTCACACATTTTCACATTTTCACGTTCACATTACTAAATAAACCCTGTGTACTGCTCACGCTTACACATAACTTTTTTCTTTCCTTTTCTTTTCCTTTTATACAAAAAAAAAAAAGAATGTCTGTTGTTGATGCTCCCATTACTATTTCCCCTTCCCAAAAAAACCAAATTAAAGCATGGTGGAAAAAAGTAAAACTAAATAATCCTAATTTCCAAGATTTAAAGATGTCAGCAGTTGGTAATATAATATGTTTTTATTGTTATTTTATTGTCCCATTGACAACAAAAGATGTTGAAGCAAATTATTCTTAGACGGTAGAGGCGTGTTTGGCATTTCACTATTAGAATCTGTAGGGTATGCACATTCCCGCATTTCCTACATTGATGACAAGACAGGTAACCAATGTAACGGTTACATTCCCATAATCATTGCGAAATGTGGGGCGTATTTGAAAGACGGAGGTATTATTTTTATTTTCTATTAATTGTTTATATGGAAGGGTTACACATGTTAAAATGATCCTCAAAATTTTTGCAGCATTATCCACAGAAGGCATTTTTCGATTATCAGGTAATGCAAAGCGAATATCAATGCTGCAGACTATTTTTGATTCACCTCATGATGGATATGGTTTACAACTTGATTGGAGCGGTTATACCGTTCATGATGCATCCAATGTGATGCGTCGATTTCTTAATTATTTACCTGAACCCGTGATTACTCTTCAATACCAAGCTGCCTTTACAAAAGCTCTACGTACGTATAACTTATGGTACCCCCTTCCCAACAAAAACTTCCAATATTAAAAATTAACTATTTTAGATGCGGATACAAATGTGGAAGAAAAAGTAAAAGCCTTTCAGGCCTTGATTGAACAACTGCCGATTTTGCATCAATACCTCTTGCTTTACCTGCTGGATCTTTTGTGTCTATTTTCTTTATATTCCGAAAATACAAGAATGGACCTGTCGTCATTAGCAACTGCATTTGCTCCAGTAAGAACTAAAAAAAACAAAACAAAAAAAAACGTTTTGATCATCATCTACCCCCTTAGTGTTAAACTTATTTTACTTAGGCTATACTATCAGACCCAAATGATGCAATGAACCCTTCAAGATACAAAGAAGCACAGAAAGTTCTGGAGTTTCTGATCGAACATCAAACTAAATTTTCAATGCCGAGAACCCTAAAGTCGAATGACGATCCATCATGTAAAAGAATAGTAGTTTACTGTTATTTATATGCTTACTAATTTGGCCCTTTTTTATTTAGCTCATCACTCTAGATCACAACAAGAACTACGACGTCACAATAGCATGGATATTGAGCTAAGCAAAAGGCATCCCTATTCCCAAGCATCATCGCATTCGGTATCTGACCTGTCTGCTACGGCCAGACCTGCATCATCCAATACCGTCATTTCTCTACCAATGATGCAGCCTACCTTGAAGCGATCCAAAACCGTACCTAGCAAAAGAGAAAAGAATCCGGTATATGATGAGCCTCAGCAAATGGTTATTTTAAATAACAGTAGCAATGCATCAAGTAAGTTGGGGGGGAGGGATAGATGAATCTTATACTTTTTTTAGCTGATATGTACCCTTATTGCAGTAAATAGTCAATCCCGGAATATCGGTCGATGGAAATCAATTAAAAGAATTGTAAAAGAAGATCATCCACAAGCAGCAAACTTACCAGAATAAAAAGAAGGGGACAAATCCCTTCACACACACACACACTGTATTCTTTTTGTAACCTTTCTTTTCTGTCCTTTTTCCCTGTTTCTCCCTCCCTTTGTATCCCCTCTAACTATCCCATATATATATATATATGCAATAATAAAAATAAAAAATCTGTTTAGTGATCTAGTCACTTTTTTTTTTCCTTTGAGAAAAAAAAAAGGATGGTAATACAAAAGACAGCAGGGTCCATACCAATAGATTACTAAGGTCTTTATTCCTTTTTCAAAAAAAAAAAACTGCGGATTCTTTGTATACAGTTGTTCATGTGCCACAACAATAGACTTTCTCTCTTTTTTAACATCACATTTGGGAGTATAAGGTCAATTCTCTAACTCACATGAGGTTTTTACGACCCTGTTAACAATGACTCTTACCGAATATTCCCATATTTTCTCATGTATACATTCCAAAAGCACCCGTTTAAAAAAAAAAAATTACCGTGTAAGAGAGGATCAGGTTTTTTATTTTGTTGGTTATGGTGAATAACTGGGTGATTTAATAATTGTTAAAAAGCCTTGATTTAAATCTATTTTTTATTTTTTACAAACAAAAGAAATCATTCGAGTAAAATCATTTACATTGCTACAAAAAAGAAGAAATGCAGTTATTGTAACCTAGATACCAGAATATAAGTAGTATGTCACTGTGACACAAGAACGATTTGTTTTCTCTTGGAGGAAATTCCGATTTGACGGATAAAAACGAAAACATCAAAGTGCTCGTGTGCGTGTTTATTTATTTGAGAGGCCAATGCGCCTGGATCTTTTTTTCTTGTTTAGCTTACTTTCGTAGGCGTGCATGCTATTTTAACAATCACGGATTTCGGTTTAAAACCACGCTTGCATGTCTAGCATTCGGAGGAAAACAAGTCAAACTCGTGGAATTTTACCATTCAATGTCCCTTACATTCATATTTTATTTCACTGAGCAGATTTACACTTGTGATGAGGAGAATGAGAGAAAGAGATAATTTTCATTAATTTAAAATTGAGAATGAGAACTAGGAGGGTAACACATATTTATGTCACATATATGGATTTGAGGGGGGGGGGATACAATGAAGATGTTTGTTAAAACAGCAAAGATTTAGAGAGAGAGAGAGAGAGAGCAACCTTGCCAATGCTCTCTAATAATTTCTATTGACTTTTATTGAGATCGTCGATAGTTGTTGACATCTTTCAGGTCCTATTTGCTTATGATCCGATGCATTATATGATTTCAATAACCAATATAATCAGTTAACTACAATAAACAGAGATCTTTTTCATAGCTAAACTAACAATTCCATTATTGACTATTACTCAAACAAAAAGTCAAATCAGATAAAATAGACATTTATACTCTGCTGATGCTAAAAAAAAAAATTAATCGGAGATCGAGCTTTTCATTTAATAAATAGACAGACTGGAAGTACTTTTTATCTTGTAACTGTCTGAAAGTGCCATACAAGAAATCAGTTATTCAAAGGCTCTCTCTCTTTTTTTTTACAAAGCACTAAAGAGGCGACATTTTATTATTCCTTTAGGCAGCAAGATCTGGTCTTTGATTGGACCAGATAATATTGGATCCATTGTACACACACATTTAAACAAGAAAAGGAAATGTTTAAATTCGTTCTTGTACCACCTGATTTTACAGTTACATACCGCTTTTTCATTCCAGGTTACAAGCGTTTCTTTTTTGTAGTCTGTTTAAATATTTACTCGCATGATTTCAATCACTTTATTTTTAGGGTCCAAAAATCCTGAATATTTTTTTTTCCTGGTAAATACAAGAAACTCTATATATCTGATCTGTAGCAAACAAAGCAACCCAATGAATCAGAAAAGTAATTTAAAGGAGACAATGGAAAATGACTTTGTTCACGTCTCTTATAAAAATGGACACACACATATTTTTCGGGTCCCTCTAAAATGTGCATGAGAAAATATGGGAATATTCGGTACTAATAAAAAAAGTGAATTGTTAACAGGGTCGTAAAAGCTCATGTGAGTTGGAGAAAAAATGAGTTGATCTTGAGCCCAGAGAGAAATGTGATTTAAAAGGAGAGGTCCATCGTGTTACATGAGAAGTCTTTTTGTGCACAAGGAAGCCGCGGTTTCAGAAGAAAGACCTTAGTAATCTATTGCTATGGACCCTGCTGTCTTTTTTTTTTTTTTTTTTTTGTCTTACCAAATCTTTTTTCTTATTCTTCTTCTTGTTTAAAGAGAGAGAGAGTATACAACAAATGATGGCTTGCAACACAAGGGAAAAAAAGAAACCCGTTCAATTCAAGGGACGGAATAAAATATATTCAATAGAAAAGTAGGAAAGACCTATTTCCAGTCTATGACAAAAGGAAAAGAGGGCTGGTAAAATTCACACATGAAATTTTTTTTTGACGTATACCGCACCCCCCGCGTGTTTCTCGTTCTTACCAGTAAAGAAATAACAGTAGCCTCTAAAAGCGGGGTAAAACTTTCCAGGCGCACCACACGCGCACACGCACACACACATACAAAAAAAAAAGAATAAGAGGTATTCTATTGACCTTTATGTTTCTTTGATTGGTAGTGGGATAATGCGGGTTACACTATCAAAATAAGTTTCTCCAGCTTTTTTTTTTCTCTTTCCTTTGTACCTCTTGAGTCCAGCTGGTGATTTCTCCATTTCTGGGTATCACAATAATATGCACAAAGTATATATAAGAAGCGTAATAAAAGCTCTATTTTTTCTTTTTTTTTATTCCTTCAATTAATTCATTTACTACTTTATCTTAATATAGAAAATAATATAAATGGCTTATACAAAGCAGCTTTACATTATCTGTAGTTTCGTAGCTATTGGTGGTTTTTGTTTCGGTTATGACACTGGTGTCATTTCTGGTGTATTAACCATGGAACCCTTCATTCGACAAATGACCAATGGTGGCACTTTCCTTACTCCTATGCAAACCTCTGTTATTACCGGTTTATTATTAGCCGGTTGTTTCGTTGGTTCTCTTCTTGCTGGTAAGTTAATACCACAACAACATTTTGAACGAACGAATATCCTCATCCTTACCCTTTTTTTTTTAATAGCTCCTCTCTGTGAAAGAATCTCTCGTAAATATACCATTATTGTTGCTTCTCTTGTCTTCAACGTTGGTGCCGCCATTCAAGTTGGTGCCACTGGTTATGACATGATGATTGCTGGTCGTTTCGTTGCTGGTCTTGGTGTTGGTTCTCTTTCTATGGCTGTCCCTCTTTACTTGTCCGAACTTGCACCCAAGGAAATTCGTGGTCGTCTTATCTCTCTTCAACAATTGATGATTACCATTGGTATCATGGTTGCTTTCTGGGTCGGTGCTGGTACTCAATATCTCACCTCTGATGCCTCTTGGAGAATCCCACTTGCCATTCAAATTGCCCCCGCTGCTGTTCTCATGTTCGGTGTCATCTTCCTTCCTTTCTCTCCTCGTTGGTTAGTCAACAAGGGTCGTAACGAAGAAGCTTTAGCTGTTCTTGCTCGTGTCCATGCCAACGGTGATAAGTCTGATGCCGGTGTTGTTGCTGAATACGAAGAAATTCTTGCCCAAGTCGAACACGAACGTACCGTCTCTGTCTCCAGCTATGTCGAACTCCTCAAGGGTACTGTCCGCAGAAGACTTATTTTGGGTATTCTTATTCAAATTTTCCAACAATTCACTGGTATCAACTCCATCATGTACTATGCTCCCGTCATTTTCCAACAAGCCGGTATTCAAGAGAAATCTGCTACTTTGATTGCCTCCGGTGTCAATGGTTGTCTTAACGTTCTCTCTACCATCATTCCCATCATCTATCTTGATCGTCTTGGTCGTCGTGTTGTCCTTATCTCCGGTGCTTTAGTTATGGGTAGTGCAATGTTGCTTTGTGGTATTGTTATGGGTGCCACTGCCAAGGTCACTTATGATCCTATCAAGGATGTCAAGGAAGTTGACATGTCTGGTAACACTGCTGCCTCTTACTTCTGTATTGTCATGGTCTACGTCTTTGTTGCTGGTTTTGCTTACTCTTGGGGTCCTTGTGGTTGGGTCTACCCCGCCGAAATCTACCCTCTTTCCATTCGTGCCAAGGGTACCTCTATCACCACCGCTGCTAATTGGCTCATGAACTTTATCATTTCCCTCTTTGTCCCTGTCATGTTGACTAGTATTACTTGGGGTACTTATATCTTCTTTGGTTGTTGTTGTGCTGTCATGGCTACCTGTGTCTTCCTCTTCTACCCTGAAACCAAGGGTCGTTCTCTTGAAGAGATGGATGTTGTCTTTGCTGGTCGTGCTCTTGCCTATAAGGATGTTAAGAACGCCGAAGCCAAGTTTGCTCAAGGTTATGCCAACCATAAGGAAGGTTCTTTCCAAGATACCAAGGAACAACAAGTTTAGATAATGAGAAGAAGAACTGGCTTTCTTTGACTACAATCTAAACAAATCAAACTTAAACACAAACAAATCAAACAAAAAAACTCTTTAATATGAATGTCGAATATTAATAACTATTTTACCCTTCACCTCCACTTTTTTCTAACCTATTACCCTTTATTTTGCATCATATTAACTCTTATCTATTTGAAATACTTTTTTCATTAAATTCTCTTTTTTAATAATAATAAAATTCACTAAATTTTTTTTTTTTTTTTTACTCATCTAAACCATTGACCCTTATTTTGATTCTTGATGTTACATCTTTTTATTTCACGTGTGTAAATTAAAAAAAGAGTTTTACCACTTGTGAAATAACGAGAGAGCGGGAATCATGTTTGTATTACTATCCTTTCTGGAAGCATTTTCGTGCTACTAAAATCAAGCAAAAATTTAATTTGTACAATTAATCCATTTTTAAAATTCATTTATACAAAGGTGTTTCTTTTTTTTTTCTTTTTAGAAATAATACATGATGTTGTAACAGCACAATTTATTCTGATCTCATACTAACTACAAATTGATACTGATCTCGAAACATTCACATGATAATAGATCTAATGACATTACCCTTCCTTGTTCAAAAAAAAAAAAGCTTTCTCTCACTCACAAAAAAGAGGGTGCAGTAGTGAGATGTTATTATTGGCGTACCCGAAATAATGTAACCCAAGTGCTACAATAAACAGAACGGCACCCGCTCTCTCCCCACTCCCCCCCCCCCTTTTTTTTTAAGTACAAGCTGTCCATTCTTTAAAGTGATCCAGATGACCTTTTTACCCATATTGTCACATAACAAAAAAAGCACGAACCGTGGATGATCCCAAATATGTCCATCATGGGACTTTTAAGAGTTTAAACCTCAATTTTTGATGAATTCAGTATATTATAAGAAAATGAAAGGGAGGTATTCTGATTTAATTTGGATGGCATATTGGATCAAAATACTTGTTTCAGCCAAGCATAAACTATTCTGTAAGCACTCAGATCTTTACGCTAAAGTTTGTATATTAAAATAGTTACTGCAAACATTTCTACATAATTGGACACCCTTAATAAAAAAAATTCAAATCTTGATTTCTACAAATTGAAACATTGTCTATTATACTCGGTTGTCTTAGAAACATGGATGGGGGGGGGTTGCTTCTCTCTCTCTCTCTCATTATACATCATTTCCGAAATTCTGTTTGGGTTCAGACGGCCCCGCCCCACCCAGAATTCTGTTTTTTAATCACTGAATCCTAGACTATTTTTCAAGTACTCAATACATCACGGATTATTCATAAACAAAAAGCATTCGTATTATGACGCAAAAACTTGTTAATCAGCATAAATGTGCATATAACTTTCTATTTATATACCCATACAGCACTACCCCCATTACTTCTAATATCTTTTTTTTTGTTTGTGCATCCCTTCTTAATTTTAAATCAAGTTTATGAGCAAGTTTAGTAGGTTATACAAATGATTCTGAGATAAAGCACCTTAAATAGAATAATAAATTATACAATGTACTGCTCTAGGAAAAAGGCACAAAAATCCAGGTAACTGAGTGTATCACATCTGGTTAAAATAGTGATCATAGCATTTTATAAAGATGGCATTAATTGAAAAGCTAGGGCCATATATAAAAAATCTGCCAGGTGGATCATTAATTCAGAGATGTCCTTAAAGAGAATTGGTTCCTGCTTGAGCTAAATATCAATAACCTGATTTTGTATACTATAGTTTGGTTGCACGGACTTAAATGAATCCATTTCTTTTAACACAAATCAGTTATACTACCGCAGCAAAATAAGCGTTTTTTATGACTACAGCCTGCTCTTTTAAGTACACAGGTTATGCTTAATTGAAGAATGTAATGGTTCATGTCAAAAGCAACCATACTATTTGAAAGTCAGTGAGTACGAAAAACTTTGACTTTAAAAACTAGGATCGGGAACGAAACTTGTCAGGTTTTTGACGCTTTTGCTTTCATGGTGAATGCTATACCAGATTTCGCTTCGCTATGCTTCTCTTGCTCTCTCATGACTATTACATAGATTTGATGTCATAGTGGCTTTGAAAGCAGTCAAAAAATTTTTTTAGTAAACAAAGCCCTTTTTTTTTTATCCCTTCTTCTTTTTTTTCTCTTTTCTCATTAACTTCTTTGGCTTCCTACCCTATGTATGCTTTCTAGGTGATCAGACTGGGGGATAGTCTGTAGCTACGACCTAATTGTATGGGTAACCTAACTCAAACGCGGCCTACGGGTTCAGGAACTCGTCGAAACTCTAGCGCACTTTTCTGAATAAGCAGCTGATTCATCGTATAGTCGGGGACGGGGCCTTTGCCGCACCTCTGGTAACACTCAGTCACTTCTTACTTTGAGACGAGTTTAGTTTGGGTGATTTACGCCGTTTCCCGTTGATTACTTCCCTTTGCTAGGGGGTCGTGGTTAACTTTGGGTAACAAAAGAGTAAAGTACATTTTGGGTGTCTGAACTACCATCTATCAGGTCTGTGATCACACGTAGTATGTGACTAAAAGAACGGTGCGGTCTCTTTAAGTCAAACCACTTTCCTAACTGCTGTTGCATTCTTTTTGAAGAAGAACAGTATAGTGGGCATACTCATCTCCTCAAAGAGGTTAATCAGTATTACCAACGTAATACTCAAGAAAGATTAATCCCACATTATCAAGCATGTGTTCCTAATAAAATGGTTCCGCATTACCAACGTAGTGCACCGCAAGTCATAACTGGTCTGCATTACCAACGTAGTGTACAAGATAGACTAGTTCCCACGTCGTCCTTAACGTGGTAGCTCTCATAACAAATTTATCAACCCTCCCTCATCCAAGATAAATTTGTCCCACTTTACCTACTTTAACAAAATATACTGGTCCACACTACCAACGTAGTGTTTGCAAGATTCATTGGCCTACATTACCAACGTAGTGTACAAGAGAGGCCCATTTTCCATTACCAATGTAATGAAGGCAAGAAAAACCGGCTTCCCCACATTACCAACGTAGTGTCTAGGAACTGGTTAATGGGTATTGATCCAGGGCCACAAATTGGTAAAACATCAATACCGAAGGGGAGAGTCCTTGCGGATGGCATCATGTGTCACAAGTTAGGCCTGGCACTTGATGTCTGAAGCACGTTTGTCTAGGAAGTATATGGTGGGAATGTCATTGAAGTGACGAATAGAGTTTTTTTATTTAAAGAGTATATATGGTTTAAATGTTATTGAAAAAAAAAAAGTTAAAATTTTTATGTTTATCAGTTTTTGGGACCTGTTGTGTTTCCACCTTCTCGTGGTAGTTGTCCTGTAAGTACCAAAGTCTCATTTATAGACTTTGGGAAACTAAGAGAAACACTTTTATATATATATCTTGTTACATAAATAAAATATCATACTTGCTTTACACGCTTTTTAAAAAATCGATAGTTTTAAAAGTATAAATGTTTGTCTATCATTATCATTGAGTGGTATCTGATGAGAAGGGATATTTATTTGTATTTTGATAACTCCATTTAAACATAATTTGCTGTTGTTACACTGTATTTTACCATGTAACACAACATACTAACAAAAATATGTCAGCATAAATGACAACTGTCCTAATATTCCATTCATTTTGGGATGCTCGTAAATATCGAGCATTTTTATACTATAAATAAAACCAACAGATGTAAGACTCTTTGAAAAAAGGTTATATAGAATTAGTTGGCAATAGCTTTCACTGTTTACAAGTCTGTCTTGACCATGTGCTGAGAGTCCACACGTCTAGATGATTTAGCCCTTTTTGACACTTGTCTGAATATCTGAGGAACCTTATTGATTATGCACGGCAATATACACACCAGAGTATAAGTAACAAATATAATATGTTGTTACTATTTTTAGCGTCATATGATCAAGGTATTACCGGGTAGATATGCGCATAATAAGGCTTATAATGCCTTTTTTCATCCAACAACAAAAAGAGGATGATCCGCGTCACCCACGTCGTACATGTGACATATCCATTATTTGATCAGGGCTTATATGATCAGCGCTAATATTAAATCAAAGCCTCATCCCCCGAACTTGGTTCTAGAATCCTCTCTAAAGAAAATGTCAACTTTAACTACAAGGTTCTCTATTTTTTTGTCAATAAAGTTAAATATGGGGCTGAGATGCATGTCTATTTTGCATTTTGAGTCATTTATACTATAATTCAAATAACTGAGGGGGAAAATGTTATTAAAACAGAAAATAGATCCATACATGGTAATAACTATCCACACAATAAAAAAAAATGTACGAATAACGCAACACAAACAAAAAGCTACGAAAAAAAAAATGCCAAGACGCTCTCCTCGCCTGCTTCTTTTTTTTTTTTTTTTTAATTGTTACCTGGGTTCTCGAAGCTAATCCTACGGAGAGTAAATAAATTGAAAGATTTAATACCATATATAGTTAAAAGGTTTTCCGTCGATCTCCTATCGTCTTACCAGATTCAATAGATGATAAAAAGATACACCTGTTGTTGATATTAATAAGAGAAAAAAAGATGAAGCTAATATACTTTTGAGGATTTAAAAAAATCCAAACAGGAAAATAACAACAAATAGAAACAAAATGGAGTGGAAAAATGTCTATTTTTATACTGATTAACCCAGCCTCAGATCCCATTCTACATAATTGGATGTTTATATGTCACGAATTAATTAACATGACGAGGTTCAGCTTATTTTACATTGGTGCAGCCTTTTACCGAGTATTTTGACAATTAAAAAAAAACTGTGCCTATCACTTATTTGTCGGGACTAAAAAAAAAAAAAAAAAAAGGAGGAAAAGGGTTTAAAAAGGTGTTCTTCTAAAGTTTTTCCTCCTCTTTCTCTTTATTTTCATATTCACAAACAATGAGTTCACCCAAAAGCATATCATCCCACGTATCTATGAGACGAGGACCAACGCTCCGAGGAGGCAGACATCGAGCTGGTCCCGGAAAAAGTATCCGTGTACAACCCTCCCCCGACAACAGCCATATGGATGAAGAGGAAAGAATGGGCCTTACAGCTGAATCCTCTACAGAGTTTGTAGACGAAAACGAAAAGACACAATACGATATCGAGAGTTTCAATCCAGATCACGCCAGTCGAAGGATCAGTGAAAAACTTGAAACAGATGAAAATGGAAAGCCACTTTATCACCACGGAGAGGAAACGTTTGGTGACATTTTAACACATCCTGTTCAAGAGTTACATGCTCATCAACAGCGTAAAGAAGAATTTAAAACAAAGTTTGGTAGCTGGTCTCTGCCAGGAAGAAATAAAGGAGTCTCCACGTAAAGTCTAGTAAAAAAAAAGATAATTAATTTCGACCCCTTATTAACCTAATATAGTTCTGCGCAAGAAGCACCTCATAAAAACTATCTGATTGGTAATAAGAAATATCTGAACGAAACATAAAAAAAAAAAAACGTGGACACTAAATTTCTTGCTATTTCAGTTTTACATTTTCGTCAACTGCGGGGTAACCAAAGTTTCGTTTTAAGTCATGATGCAGCCATCGAATTTGGGAGATTGGTAAAAAGATTATTTTTGGGTCATGTAGTACAAATGAATTCTAAAAAAAAAAAATTCATTTCAAATAGCTTAATTTCACTCCAAATGAAAAGCTTCGATTTAATGGAGTCCACGATACCGACGGACTAACTGAATTCCTTTACAAAATTAAGCGCGATTTCTCAATCAAGATCCATCATAAATCTGAATATTCTCGTGGTAGCAGTACATTACAAGGAAGCGAACATATTGAACCACCTATCCCACACCACAATCCGGAACATCATACTATCGAGTTTAATGACAATTTATATATAGAGTTTAAGCCTAAGCATGATTCACACATGATTGAGTTACAAGCCGAGGCAACACGTCGTCCCTTTTTCCGGCATCCCGAACCTGATCTCAGTTCGGATATTGGAGAAGAAACGGCAGCTAGTTGGCTGGAACTTTTCTATGATTTGTTCTTTGTCGCTACTTTGACACAATTTACTCACAGTCATCATATTGCTGATTGGGATTCATTGGCTCTATACACTCAATGGTTTATCATAACCTGGTGGGCGTGGTGTGCAAGTTCCTTGTAAGTAAATCCGGTTGAAATTTACACCACTTGTTCCTAACCCCTCCCTTTTCTACTTCTTTATTCTGCATAGATATACTGCAAGATTTGATACGTAAGTTTATACTTTTTTTTATTTAATTAGTCGCTCTTTCTTTTTTTCTTGTATTGATCCAACGGTTTTATGCATGCAGGGACGATGTGGTGCATCATATCTATAAATTTATCGAGATGTGCGCTTTAAGTAAGTTTATCATTTGACAAACATACAAAGTAGTTTCTAATACATAAAAAAAGTTGGGATGGCTGGTTCATCGGAATACTTTTTGAATTCTTCAGGTTATGTATATGGATATATCGCACTTAAATCAGTTTTAGCCTTCGAATACTTTGTTGGTAAGATGAATCTTTTTTTTTTTCTTTAGTTCCTTTGAGTATGGATAGAGCTTGTACTAAAATTTATGCTCTGTAGTGTTTATCGTGGCGATCTTGGCTAAATCTAAATCTCGCATTGCCTTGGCATTCTATATTGGAGCCAATTTATTATCTGTAGCACTTTGGGCTGCCTCTATATCCATACTTGAAAAAGGCACGCATCGTATTCTTTGGTACCTCGGTGTGCTTTGCGAAGTGTTGGTGAATGTCATTGTGCGTGGTGATAAAACTCTTTCTTGGGCTGCTAGTCATTTAGCAGAGCGTTTAGGTTTGCTTTCATTGATTGTTTTAGGCGAGAATTTAATGGGTTTGGTCACCTTGGTATCTACAGCCGGAAACGAGCTAATTATTGTGTATGCGTCTACTATCTCCAAAAAACTGTATGAATGTTTACTGACTTTTAATATTTTCTCAGTATACCTAATTTTATGGCCGTGTTCTGTATCTTTGGTTTCTTTTTCATGTATTTTGAAGATTTTAACAAGGAGGTAATTTGCATCATGATCATTGTGCCGAAAAGCATGTTTAACGTTTTCATCTTTGAACAGATTTTTCTTCACAACAAGTATCATCAAGTTTGGGTCTACTTACATTTCCCACTTCATTTATGTCAAGTTGCTTTTGGTATCTCTTTAATTGATATGTACGTACCTGATTTGTTTCATTTTGAATACTTTAACTAACATTTGTTGCTTATGATATAGTCTCAATATTTACAAGGCTCAACTCATCCGCGACCATAAACTTGCTGAAGACACAACCACTACCGCGCATGGAGCATCTTCCGGTGGAAGTACTGAGCACGGTGAAACATCATCTAGTGGAAGTACTGAGCACGGTGAAACATCATCGAGTGGAAGTACTGAGCACGGTGAAGCATCATCGAGTGGAAGTACTGAGCACGGTGCAGCATCTTCTGATGGTAGTGCTGAGCACGGTACAGCAACTTCTGATGGTAGTGCTGAGCACGGTACAGCAACTTCTGCATCTCACGACACAGCTACCTCTACAGCTCACGGTGAAACAGCAACAGCAGCGCATGGTGATCCTGCAGCAGCTACCCCCCATGGAGAGTCTACCGCTGCTGAAGTTTTGGCAGAATTACCGGAAACGTCAGCTCATCAAAACGCAAAAAGAGCTATTATGATGGTGAGTGATGAATATGCTATACAACAAGAGCATGATTATAACCCAATGGAGATGGCCCAACTCATGCAAGAGAAAAACACGAGTCAGCAAGAAAAAGCAGATCCACCCGTCCATTGGACGGTATGGTGCAAGTATTTGGCCATGGGCGTGATTTCTACAACCATGCAAGCTATTTCGTCGAACGGAGAAGATACCCATCACTTGATGCGTCGTTCTGAGCCAGAAGCTGCAGGAGGGGAATTTTCAGAAATATTAACATTGTCTCAAAATGTATTTGTGTACAAGATTTTCCTTATCTTTGCTGGGCTGATTCTTATTATCAATTCCATGATCAAGGCCTTGAATACAAAGATAGCCGGTAAATATTTGTTTGTATTGGTGATAAATATTATCGATTTACTTATATTTTTCTTTTTGGTCTTTATCAGACACTTATGGAAAGATTATTATTTGCTCAAGATTACTAAATGCCATTATTCTGTGGTGTATGTGTGCACTTCCATTTGCAAAGTTAGATGCAATCGTACTCTTATCCACGATGGTCGCATCATTACTTTTCCAAGGTAATAATTTTTTAAATTTTATTTTTTATTGACTTGGCATACTAATTATCTACTTTATGTAGCGTTGGTGGATTTATTGGATTAATCATGTATTCATAAGGGAACATGGGAGGAGGCGTTGCTATTTAATTCTGTAATATAGTTGATTTATATCCATTACCCCTTCTATTAATAAACTAATATCTATTCCTACAATAAAAAAATAAAAAAAAAGTCTCAGCTGGATTTTGTTAATATAACCTGTTACCGAAAGGTCTGGCATAATTACACTTGCCAATTATGTAAAGATCAAGTGCTAAAAACAATGTCTTAAGAAAACCCTTGTATGAACACTTGCATTATGACAACCGTGTTCCATTTTCAAGTATCGGCATTAGGATTGGTTAAATTGAAAAAAACAAGTTTGTAAGAGCAAAAATAGACTTATTTTTAAGATTACAAGCAAATTACGAGCCAATTCATTCTGTCTTGAAGGATATGGGAAGTACGAACAGCGGTTTTATCAAGAGAAGTAAAAAGATAACGAAATGATCAGACCAAATTTCATATCAATTTTGCTAAAAGAACCAAACCTCTTCATCGCCTGTGTGCCTTGCAGCTTTTTTCTTTTGATCTCCAGGGTAAAAAGCATACCGAAACATACAAGGCCTAATTATACCCCTTCCTTTCAATAAATATGCCCGGAGTGCAAAAAAAAAAAAAAAAAAAATTGCATAAAAAAAAACCTTAAATCGAGGATGTTGTGTGTAACGTCATGGTTGACTTTATCAAAAATAGGGGATAGTCGGTTTTTGGATCATGTTTGAGGGGGTTTACGCCAACGATTCATGAAAAAACAAGGAGAGTAACGAGAAAAAGTAGCTTTTAATGTTTAAAAAAAAAAGAGAGAGATATCTCCCACATGTAATTTATCCTCCACCAGAAAATTTCTTACCAAACATGATTAATTGAAGTTGATCATAACCTGACAAGACACCAGCACCAGCAATAGCACGAAGAATATTTGCACCCGCACCCTTGAAGAGAGATTTGGTACCTTCTTTAGCTACGATTTCACGGAATGCATGAAGAGAGGAATCGTACTTTACAGCAGCACCAGAAGTCATCATCATACGACGACGAATTGTATCAATAGGATAAGAAGCTATGAAAGATAATTAAAGTAAGCTCATTTTATCTTCTTACGCAATGCATATAAACTACATACCGAGACCTGCACCAGTGGTAACAGCCCAACCAAGCAAGAAAGTGGCCAAGAAAGAGGATTGGAGATGTTCGGGCATAACAGGCTTAATGGAATCATACATACCAAAGTAAAGACCACGATAGACAATGATACCGATACATGAGATATTGAAGCCACGATAAAGACCAGCAATACCATCCGTCTTTAAGGTTTGTTTGTAAACATCTACCAGGCCCTTGAACTGACGTTCGCCTCCCTTTTTAGCCGACTTGTTATCGTTGGCAAGACGAGTACGAGCATAATCCAACGAATAAACAAACAAAAGTGAGGACGCACCGGCCAAACCACCAGAGGCTAAATTACCAGCAAACCAAGCCCAATAACCGTCTTTTTTGTTTCGGTTGAACATGCGCTTGAATTTATCCTTGAAGGCAAAGTTCAACGCTTGTGTGGGGAAATAACGAATCACGTTGGCGGTGTTGCCTCGCCACATCGCAACCATACCTTCGTCCTTGACCGTACGTGTAAAACAATCACCAATACCCTTGTAAGGAGACGCAAGACGACCTTGTTTAATCATCTCGTCTTGGTTCTGAATCAAGAGCTTGATACGCTCGATAGGAGCAGCAGCAGTCTTGGAGACCGCGGCGGAGACACCACCCATAAGAAAGTCCTTTTCATAAGTTTATTGGATTAATATACTATACGTTTTTTTTGTTATCCTTATATTTACAATGACAAACTTGTTCTTTTCAGATGCTAAAGCCATTATTTAAGATAAAGAAACAAAAGGCGAAAAGAAAGGAGGACGATTATTTGTTTTCGCTTTTTATTCACCAAAAATAAAAATAAAGAGGGTTACACGGCGCCTTTTACCAATGGTACGGTCGCGCTTTTTTAAAAAAAAGCGTCGTATGTTTTTTAGGCAACACTGTTTTATTTAGACATAAGAGACTCTAAACAAATACTTTAATCTCTCACTGTCCTTGTGACAAGAATTCTACCAGGTTTAAATAGTTCATATCAAGAAAATTTGGTAGCGGTTCCGGTCGACGTTGGCAAGTCTTTTTCTCTTTCTCATTACGGTTTTCACGAACACAGATAAAGGGGCGTGTTTGTTATCAACAAGTGCTTTGGACCCACAGAATCCATCTTCGTTTGATAGATAATCTGAGCCTCAAGAACTGTCTGAGACACCCACCGGTGTAAATACACATGGTATGACCCGCTTTCTAGCATAAACATTTGAGTGTATTTAAAACATGTAAACGAACACTCCTATCTGGTATTCATTTGCATATTTTCAACACCTTCAGCAGGGCCCCTTTACGTTCATTTATTTACATTTGCATCTTTATATTCAGACGCGTTACGTATATTTACAGGGGGGGGGGGAGTCTTCGAGAGAGACAACGTCGTGATGACTCTTGTAATTTTGGAACAAGTTGGGTAATAAACAAATGATTAAAGTCACACGCATCCCCACTTGATGCAAAACTTTCAAGGCGATTTATAGCTCACTCATGGATTGTATGGGTTATTCATACCAATCTATTACACAAAACTTCATATTACACGCTGCCTGTTCATATTAGTATTGCTCTCCTCTTTATATGGCTTGTAATACAGCCGATTTCATTTTTCACAGACCAGATGTAGCTGCATCATGGCTCTAAGGTTAATTATTTAGACATTGAGGTTGAAAACGCAGAAAAACAAAGATGTATGTGTGTATAATACTTTTATAGTTTATTTTGGAGAGAAGGGGTAAAAAAGGGTGATTTAAATCTCAGTAAATTTTATCCAAATCAATGTCATATGAAATATTACAACCACAACTGTGTTTGGCATTTGGGTTATCCACCACTTGAAATGTGGATCCGATTAATTCCTGAACGTAATCAACCATGGATCCCCGAAGAAATTGAAGCGAGACAGCGTCAATCACTACCTTGACGCCTTCCTTTTCGAATATTCTACAACACATGTCAATATCTTTTTCTTAAAAAACATCAACATCATCAAACTTACGTATCGTCTTCGTCCACTGTGTTTGTCAATTCCATTTTATTTTGGTATCCATGACATCCTCCAGAATCCACCAATACTCTTAATAATTGATCCTCGTCCTTGTCTCTTTTTTGGATATATTTTAATTGCTGTTATTTGGATTATTAATACAAAAAAAAAAAAAAATTGATATGTGTACCAACCTTGATTGCTCGCTCGGATATGTCAATGCCATTTTCGGTCGATGCTTGTTTAACCACAGCAGAACTAGGTATCGTAGCAAAGGTTCTTACACCGTAGCTTGTGAAATTGTTTTGACACTGCTGCAATGAGCGTAACACTGGTGTACGTAATGGTCTCGGCTGAACTGCATGACAAGCGGATTTATTTAATTGAAGCAAAAGTGCTTTACTGAATGCTTTGCGAAACATTTTTCTATAAGGTGGGAGTAGGGGGGTAGGGATCTATAATGAAAGAAAAAAGAAGAAATTGTTTTCTTTTATTATTTTAGTTTACAGCTACTACCGCCAGGTGCCTTGCACGTGATGCCGGGGAACGAATAATTCATATGTAATGTAGGGACAGTAAAAGATGAAGTGATGGGGGGGGGATATTCAGTGTATTTGTGTGCTTTTATTTATAATGTTATACAATGCGTCTAATCGCTATCTTCCTCCATATCCTCTTCATCGTCCTCCTCAGGCTCTTCTTGTAATGGCTCATCATCATCCATATCATCATCCTCTTCGGCATCATCAGGGATCGTCACGGGCTTCTTTTCCTCGGTATGAGCAACACCTAAAAGTGATTGATGGCGGAATGCTTGACGAACACCTGCATTAGAAGCCATATCCCAGACATGCATCTTACCATTGGAACCAGCAATGGCCAATTGGAAAGGAGAATCAGGACAAAATTGGGTAGAGAAGATACGACCGAGTTCGAAATTACGACTGGTGACCATACTGGGTTTGTTATCATTGGTGTTCCAGATCTTGATACTTTTATCTCCACTACCGGTAGCAATACAACCAGGCACAAGAGGGTTGACATCAAGCGCACTGACAGCATCATCATGTGCTTGCAAAGTGAAAAGAGGCTTACCACCCTTACCATTTTGAGCAACACGAACATCGTAATATTGAATGAAACCGTTTTCAAGAGCAACGTAAAAGTTGGAAGGTTGATGAGGATCCCAACGGATGGATTCAACATCAGCGGGTAATTGCCAACGTGTCACTCCTTCAGGAGATCTAGCATCAAGCACACACACGGTTTTATCGTAAGAACCAGAGATAAAGACAGTAGGTTCAGTAGGATGCCATGCAACAGATTGTACCTTATCAGTGTGATGGTTATAAGATTGAACACACTTGGAGGTGGTCAAATCCCATAATTTGACTGTACCATCGGCAGAAGAAGACAACAAAAAGTTTCTGTGATTCTTGTTCCAAGCTAAATCCATAATAGCATCCACATGGTAATTGGCGTTGACCTTTTTAGATCTCTTCTTTGTCTTATCGGTATGACCCAAAATGGTTTCGGGGAACATGATATCAATCGTATCGAGATCCCAAATCTCGATATCGGGTTCAAAAGTACCAATGGCAGTATAGTTACCAGAGGTTTCGGTGTTGACCTTACCGGCACCTGTGTGGAAATCTAACCATTCAAGACAGAGAGGGAAAGAAGGCAACATAATATCATGATGCACGTAGAGATTATCTTGTGCTTCCTCATACACATACACTTCTAATTGAGAAATATCGTCTTCGGTCTTGGCTGCCAATAACATGTTATCGGTAGGCAAGATTTCTAATTCTTTCTTTTCCTCTTCTTCATCCACGTTATGCTTTAACGTGATATAAGGATCCTCTGTGTCGTTCTCGTAGAATGCTAAATCCTTGATGTTACTGAAAATACCCACCTCTACAAAAAAAAATTTCATGTTAGTCATTTCTCCTTCTCTCTCTTTTTTGTTTCTCTTCCTTACTCTTGTTGGAGGCTTCTACTTCAGCGTCATAACTTTCCAAGTTGTATTGGTCCATTTCATCGACATCCTTGTTATCCTTCTTGACAGCAGAAGAGCTAAATCAAAAGAAAAAAAAATTAGACTGCTGGTTATTTTTTAAAAGTAACGGCTAAGCTTACTCAACAGCCATGGCTTCAGCAGCCTTCAAGTCTTCTTTGGCATCTTCTAATTGATCAGCAGCTAATTTACTGATTCTGGAATATTCTTCGTCATTGAGATCATATTTTTTAGGTTGCTGAGCAGCAGCACCTTTACGAATCCATTGAATGGCCGAGATCATGTTTTAATATTGAGAGTAAAGTTTTTTTTATGATTAATTGATCTAGTTTTTCTTGTCAGAAAAAAAAAAAAAAAAAGCAGTACAACAGCGTGACTTGTTAATTGGAATGGGGGGAGTAGACAAATAAAGATCTCTGCACCCCCAAAAAGATGTTCCTCCCAACCCTTAATCAAGAAGGTTTCGCGACAAATTAAAACAAAGGAGTATCAAATCTAAAAAAAAAGGGGGGGGGGGAGTGAAATAGAGTTCATTCACGATGCACACAAAATGAAGGGAATTTGTGTGGTGATTTCTGCGGGGGAGAGATGACTGGACTATAGTCAGAGAAAGAGAATCATTTCTGTTTGTCTGTTTCTCTGTCTCTCCTTTGATTTCAGATGAAATTTCTTGGTACCCTATTAAGAAGGATTTTTTTTTTATTTATTTTTTTTAATCTTCTTTTCTTCTATTTCTTTTAGTCATAATAATAAAATAATAAAAAAAATGAGTCAATGGGATACCACCATGCTGGAATATGAAGATGGGTATTATGACCAAGGCGAAGACGACGATGGCAATGAGTCTGATTACTCTCTCGACTATGAATTTCCCGGTCCTCGTTATCCGAAATACAGAACAACCATCAACGATAATGATACTGCTTCTCAACTCTCCGACGCTTCTGAACCAGACGACGACTCTCCGAGATTCGACATGTGGGACGACGACCCTTACAACGACTTTACTTGGGAATCAAACGACATGCAGCTCACCAAATTTATGAAGCTCAAACAAAAGAAACTATCACCTTGTCCTAGTTTCTGGAAAAAAGACAAGGGCTTTCCGAAGCAGTTGCCTCAGTCGGGCTCTTCCACAAACCATGATCAGTCTGCCAACGCTATCTGTCTAGTTCAGTCGGATTATGGTCTCTCTGAACAACTATATGCTGTTTACAGAGACAGAATCATTCAATGTGGTCGTACAACCACCTCCACAAAATCAAAACCGCAGCGACAAAAGCGTGACACAACATGGTTAGAAACTACTACAGCTGAAGATCCTCCCTTGGTTGTTTTAAATCACAAGTTTGCCGATACACATCAATCTGTTCCCGTCTCTAAATTGAACAAGAACCAACTACCCCAACAAACAAGAGACGATGATGATCATTTTGAACCTTTTACGAAATATATCAAACGTAGTGAATATCCAGCATTATTACCCGAAGATTCTTATTTAGCACTTGGGTTTGATCCACAATGTTTAGCTCACAAGTATGGATACATGGCTATTGGAGGTGTGGAAGGCGAGTTTGAGCTGTACTGTTGTATGGATCTGGATCCAATAAAGATATGGGGTACCAAGTTCAAAGGTAAAGACAATGTCATGCTCATGACAAATTCAATTCAACTGGTGCGGTGGAAAAACAAGCAAAATGATGACTATCAACATATGCTGATCGGTTGTATGAATGAAGCTGGACTTTTATTTTACAATTTACCATCTCATGTCGAATGCAAAGGGGAAAAGGCGAGAGACAGAGTGAAATTACATAGTCATATAAGAGCATTTAATGGTGTGCCCATTAATGATGCTAAACTTAGCCCCGATGGTAGCCAGTTGGTGTGTGTAGGAGATGAAAATATCATATTTATGATTGATATATTTCAAAATGAAGACACAAATGAGATTAGCTTTGGTGTGCCTAGCGAGATCATTATTCCACCCGAAATATTTCAACAAAAGACCATGTCCAGCACACCTTATTCTTCTCAGTACATATCTTGGAGTGCCAGCTCTGCTTATTTTGCACATACATCCGACTCACATAATCTAGTTCTGATATGGAGAACATCCACTAAAGAGATTTTATATACAATTGATGCTGCAGGGTATACTTATGCCATCTCTTTTCATCCCAAATTCGATCATATTCTTGTATTTACCAACCGCTATGGCTATTTCCATACAGTCAACCTCTCAAAAATTCTTTCCTTTGACCAACAAACGGAGTCTGTACGTGGACATCAATGTGTAGATACTTGCCAACAAATCCATCATGCAGTGTTTCACACCCACCATTTGAATATACAGCATGAGATCACCATGGTTTCGTTTCGCGGTGAGATTGATACCAAGTTACGTATCCTGGCTAAAATCAATGGTATTGAATGGTCCAAAGATGGACACTACCTTTATTTGGCTACCAAGAAACGAGTGCTAGTGTATGAATTCCTTTCCACCCAAAACATCATACCTTCCTTGCTCGAGATCACGGGTGTTCATGTACGGAAATTATTAGAACAGTCTTGTCCTAAAAGAAAAAAACTCAACAGGACCTTGGATGATTGGTCAAGAATACCTAATCACATTCAGTCAAGAATTCTTGGTAATACACATCACTTGGCCCAGCATTAGACAATTTTTTTTTTTGTCTGTTTCACCTTCTCTGCTTTTTCTTTTTTTTTTTTTCTTTTTTTTTTTTTACTACACTCTAATAAAATGATGGCGAATCAAGACGACGGTGCAGGTTGTAAATTACTAGACTCATTTGCCATTTTCGTGCAGCTTGTGCTGGCCACACTTGCTTTCTCTACACTTTATATTAAACGACAGCGTGAATCACCGCAACGACCTCTATTCATTTGGTAAAAAAAAAAAAAAAAAAAAAAAGAAGGGCAATTCTTCATTGTAAGACCAAGACTTATTCACTTTTTATAAAATGAAGGTCGTTCGACGTCAGTAAACAGCTTTTAGGCGGAGGTGTGATTCATACACTTAATCTAGTCGCTTCCCATTTTTTCGGAAAGAGTCTAGACGGAGAACCGGAATCGAATCCTTGTGTTTGGTAAGTCCGTACTCGTGTGCTGAGCAAACATAAAAATTTACACAATCTCACACATGCAAGAACAGGTATTTCTTGAATATTCTGATAGATACGACGTTCGGTGTGTTAATTATATGGGCAGTCTTATCTAGTGTCAAACATGTAACAAGGTTTTATAAATGGGATGGATTTCAGAGTGGAGTGTATGGCGATCCTCCCTTACGGAATCAGATTAAAATGTGGGCAAAGCAACTCGGTGTCTATATTTTGGCTCTAGTCACCATGAAGGTAGTAGTCCTGTTCCTGTTTGGTATTTGCCCTTGGCTAGAAGGCTTTGGTGAATGGGTCTTGAGCTGGACTGCAGGAAATTACAGACTTCAAGTCTTGTTTGTTATGCTAGTGTAAGTCTGTGATCTATCCTAACATAATGCATACTAAATAATTCTATAACTAACTAGTTTTCCTTTGGTGATGAATATTGTGCAGTTTTGGATCGTCGATACCATTGTAAAACACAAGGACATTTTGCCTATTCGATTAGATGGCGATGAAGAACTCGCCCAGGATATGTTAATATCGGACGGAGAGTATACACAAGATGATGCGTTCTTTGATGAAGATGATGTGGAAGATGCTACCTCCATCACCTCGTTCAAAATACAGCGCACCTCCATTTCCGACGAAAGTCTCTATGAATTACGCACCAGCGGACCAAAGAAATAATTACACATCTATATTACTCCCTCAAAAAAATAATCTATAAAAGAACTTTTTTTAATACATCATATCCATGACAACCATTTTATTTTTTCACCCACATGTAATTTGGTGTGACTGTAGCCGATATGCGTGCGTAAATTTTAAAAAAAAATAGTGGGGTACCTGGGGCAGGCAATTTGTCTTTTTTTTTTCTTCTCTTCTTGTTCATATAACATGCATCGTCTCGCTCGAATCAGACCGAGATTAATCACCATCCCACAAAGACGCACTGTGTTTGGCGATCGTCCTTTCCCTCCACCCCAACCAACAAGACCGATCGAAGATTACAGCGCCAAAGACGACGGACTTTCGCCGACACTCGACGCTGTGACAGAAGATCCCAGTCTTCAAAGAAATAACAATGACCCCTTTGCATTTCGACAAAGTCATCATTTTGATACCTATGAGATCCTCACTCATCTCGAATCCCAAGGATTCACAAGAAAACAAGCCGAAGTCATCATGAAGGGGATTAAATTCAGACTTCGTGAATGGTAAGTAAAACGAATACCCCTTTTCAAGACCTTGTTCTAATAGTTTTCCTGTAGTACTGCTTCCGTAAGACAGCAATTACTATTGAAATCAGATTTAGAAAATGTAGGTAATAGCACTCTTTCCTTTTTTTTTTACTTTACCCGGGAAAAAAAACCAGAGCCACTGATCTTTTAATATTGTGTAGGAATCGTATTTATTTAAAGCAGCCTTGTCGGAATTAAGAACCGAAGTACAAGTGATGCGAAGAAACGACATGCAAATGCTTCAAACAGAAATGTCCTTGATTACCCGTGAAGTGGATTCCCTGGAGCAAAGGCTGAGTGAAGGTGTGGCTGACATGAAGAACGAGATTCAAATGGACATGAATAACCGAAAGAACGAAACTCGTCAGGACCAAAAGAAGATGGATATGCAGATCCAGGAAATTAATAACAAATTTACCATCAGTCTAGGCGATATTCGGACAGAGATTGAAGCAGTGCGCTGGGAGACAATCTGGAAGGGCATGAGTACGGCTTTTTATCTTAATCTATGTATATGTACAATCTAATTCTTTTTATATATATATAGCTGGTGTTGCATTGGCTGGACTGACAATTGCTAGTCTAGGTTACTTATTAACGAGATATTCTGTGAGAAAAGCAACATTGGCAAGGATCGAGGATGATAAAAAGAGAAAGCAAATGCAAGAAGATGCAAGTCGTGCTGGAACTGCGGATATGGAAGTGATATTTTAAAACAATTTATAATAAAAGTCTATGCCCATATATATATATATATAATGATGAATATTGGATTTATTTACGAAAAAAATAGCAATGGAGGGGAAAGATTATAGATGCTAATTATACTTTTTATATATATATGTATTATTTTTACTTCTTGGAAGCTCTCTTCTTCAACTTGGGAGAGGTCTTCTTGGGACTCTTCAAGTTAAGATGATGTTCAGGGATCCAAGATTCATCCAAAACCATCTCACCCTTTTCATCACGATGAGTAGGACGTTCAGTCACTTCTTCAACCTTCTTGGACTTCTTGGTCTTCTTGGCATCAGCAAAGAAAGCAGCACGGACAATATAAGCAACACCAGCGGCACCAGCAACGAGAACAGCATAAAGAACGAGGCTATATACTCATTATTAGTCTCTCCTTTCACCTTTAAAACACTCTTTAAACTTACAGTTGAATATCGAACCAAGAACCAGTGGGCTCAGTTACGGTAATGGTACCATTGAAACCAACAACACGAGTCACGGTTTTCTAAAGATAAATATATCAGCAACAGCACAATCTTAATCATTACCCTACTTACATCAACCATCAAGTCAACAAAGACAGTCAAACCATGCTCTCCAGGAGCAAACTCGGAATAGAAGTTGTAAGGGATTTGAAGAGCGGAACCGGCAGCAAGTGTCTTACCATAACGGGTGGCAGTCAACTGAACGATAAAGTTAGTTTGCCATTCAGTTACACACACAGACAAAAAATTAACTTACGTTGCGAACAATGTTGGAAGCATCATCGACTTGATGAACTTGACCAGTGACAGCAAAAACAGTATAGGGAGTCTTTTCCTTGTTGACAATATCCAAAACAACCTTGTTACGTTGTCCATTGACAATCACTATTATTAAGAAATAATATTAGATGATGACCAGATGATGTTCTTTAATAATTAGGTACATACTACCGAATGGGTTATCAGGGAACTCTGCAGTTACTTCCACATTAGCTTGTGCGGTAACTACAATAGAACAATAGTTAGCTCATCTATCAAAATACATAATAATAAAAAACGCGTTTTTTTTTGTTCTTACCAAGACCAGCAACAAGTAATAAACCCAGAGCCCAGAGAGAAGAGAATTTAGCCATCATTTTTGTTTTTTTTTCCTAAATAAAAATAAAGAAGAGAAAACACCAGAAAAAAAAAAAGAAAGAAAAAATTATATAGACATTTTGTATTTTGTAATGGCTTGTTCAACCATGATTGGTTTACAACAAATTTGCGTGTGTGCCCATGCTTTTTTAAAATTCAGACTGTGTGTGTTCTCTAAGCGCTTCTCATTGGATCCCTTTCCTAATCTCGAAAACGCACCTTTTTTATTACCTCAATTGCATCTACCCAGAAACACTTTACATTGTGACACTCACTGATTTCAATCATATCATACAAAAAAATAAATAAAAAGACAGCAACAGTTTTATTGTTCAACAGAGGTTTCACGAGCTTCTTTTTAGCTGTATTCTTGATAAGGTGCCACTTGTTGTAAAGGCTCTTGAAGATGGTTCTTTAAGGCTTCCGCTTTGGCTTTTAATATACCTAAATCCACCTTGGATTCTCCTACAAGACATAACAACATGGCTCCAATGCCTGTAATGAAAACGATTCCCTCCTACAAACAGAAAAAAGTCTGATCAATAACTCTCCTCACACGCATACAATGAAGGACTCACATCACAGTGTAATATTTGAAATTGAAGGTTGGTATAGGTATCGTTATTCTTCTTTTTATAAGAGTTCCAGATATTAGCAGAGATGGCAGAGTAAATACTAGCATCTTTATCAATGTCGGCTGCAAACGATATTAATGACCCTTCGCTTGTCATGATTCTATATTTCTTGAGTTTTTAATTTTCAGTTCTTATTGCTACTTGCTTTTTTTTTTCTCAAAAAAATAAGAGTTTCTTACAATGCTGCCTTAATGCCATTATGCAATGATTGTCTCAACACTTGCGAGATAACTTTAGGTTTAAGCATGGTAAAAAGAGAGAGAAAAGAATAGTTTCCTCCGCCTCCACTCAACCGAGACGGACTTAATTTTATCCCGCATTTTTTTTTTTTTTTTTTTTTTTCATTTTCATTTATTAAAATTGTTAGGGACATTCCTGGTTGGAGTGACAAAGTAACCTCTGGATTACGGGTTAAGGTAATCGAGTTAGGGACCTGAAACAGCCGGTTAGGAAAGCCCAAGGAGTACCCCCATAAGCGGAGGCAACCTAAAGCCCCAGATCGACTATGGAGAAGAAAATGGGCAAAAATTTGTCTGCTTTTATATTTTTGAAAAGCCAAAAATTGTGGTGTAAATCATTATGAATGGCGTTTTCCTTGAGTTTCCTTGAGTTTCCATGGCACTTTATGACTGCTCCCTGTGATTAACGATATCACATCTAATAAGAAGTTAAGCGTGTATTCGGTTAAGTAGAAAGCGCCTGACTTGACTTGGGTATTTTCTTATTTGAATGATTGTATTGAAAGAGCTTTTTGGTGCCCACCAAGTACATTTTCTGATAAATATTGCCCAGTTTTTATTTTTTGCTTGAGTATTTAACATTCCAGATAAACGTACTCGTTCCACCTCTAGCCATCTTTTGTCACCACAACTGCACCTGTTGTATGCGCAAGGAAATCGTCACCAAGGCCATTCTTGATCACTTTATCCATCATCCAGCTGCTGCCTTTTTCTTACTGCCATCATCAAACATCACCGTCATTTCGTCTAATTATGCATTAACTTGCTTTGATTCTGAATATCAGCTTTTCTTTTAACTTCACATTTAAAGGGCCTTAAATAAAAACAGGAACCCCGCAAGAATATCTTTTGAATTACCTCCCAGTTGACTTCCTGGTAGTGCGAATTTATATCAACAACATAAAGACAAAATTATTGTAGAAACGTCAATTGTCAAATACTTTGGCATGAAGGGGAGACGTCAACTTATTTTTAGGATATTGAAGAAAAAGAATTCCTTGGACTTCAACTTTAACTTTGTAATAAAGAATTGATCGTCAGCAAAACTGACATCAGCAACCATAACGCCGGCATGGCTAGTCACTTTGAAAACGAGAACGAGTGAAGATACAAAGAAAAATTATAAATGACAAGAAAAAAGGTATCTGTTATCGAAAGCAATTTCTCTTCTGTTAATGGGAGAGAGGGAACTATTTTTTTTTTCTACACCACTAACCACCGTATTATTTAAAGTGCGACTTTTCCTTGAGATTTAGTCACCAAATAGAGTTTTTTGTTTCGCACTTTCCCAAACATGTTGAGTGCAAGACTTTTCATACTTGCTAACAACATTTTACATCCCGATTGGACAGCTCGCGTTTTGAGTGGATGAGTGCCCTATAAATCTTACTTCCAAACTTTTTCTTTTATTTTTCTCTTTGGACAATGTAGTTGGCAAAACATTGATCAGCCCTCTCTGTTCACTTTTCAACAATATGGACATGAAAACTGTCGACCCCCCTGCTAAGTTTTGAATTGCTCCATTGAAACATATAGGAAAAATGTATTCTGCTTTTCTTTTTGCATTTTACAAACTTTTGTATAGCTGTTGACTTTGGACATTACAAAATGACGATGCTTGAAGGAAGCCTAACCTTTACTTCAACATCGCAGGGAGTCTTCTTAAACTCTTATGTCAATCGGATATTTTATATAGGTAAAACCTATTTCTACATGACTATTTCTAATACTAAGACTATTGTAGTATCTTTTTGAATTTTATCGGCGTCAAACCAATAATGTCCTTAAGTTCTTTACCTATGAACTTGCTTTTTCAAGACGTCAAGATCAATAAATTCGTTCTTTATTTTGCTACTCAAGACCTTTGTAAATGGTTGGACCAGCAAAGAAATTAGTTTAGCAATAATGTGTTCACAGTTTATTATCATTTATTCATTCGTCATTAACAAATAAAGGATGTTTCCAATAAATAAAACTGAATATAATTTGTATTCTCTGTAAAATGCTTGTCATTATTGTTACATATATATAGCAGCTTCGAGAGTATCATCCTTGGTGTTTTCATACAACTGTGTTGTGCCATAATGTTAATGACAGTGATAAATATGTTGATGACAAATGTTTTTTAAATTAACTGTTTTAGTTCATGACCTTAATATTCATTCTCGTTCCAAATATAACATATCTTACGCTTGCTTAATTCCATTTCTTCTGAATAATAATTCATTTGATTATTCACACACAACTCGAAATTAGCATGGAACCATTCGAACTGCCCCCAAAAAAAAACAGATATATGCAGCAGATTGTATAGGATTTAATGAGTGCAACGATTTATTTATATTGATAATGCTGATGAACATAATAGTCATCGAGAAAGAGAGACCAAAATGTGAAATAAAAAGTCAAAGGTTTGGATTATAATAAAAAAGAAACCTTTTTTTCCTCCGTCCATTTTAGATTTGATTTACCTATTGCATACTTTGCCATATGAGTAAATTGTTGTTTTTATAATAATATTATTTATTTTATCAAATTAAGAATTCCTTGGCGATATTCAAACATCTGAGGTATCTTAGCAACAAAGTCAATTAATTTGGAGCATGTCGAGGGACAAGAAACAGTAAAATGAGTTCTTTTGACATAATAGTCATCAAAGTAAGTTGATGATTCAAAATATACTACGGGTCTCTTAGGGACAGCCAGGGTGTACGTAGTCGTAATCTTGGGATTATGATACTGTAATAGAAGCCAAGAGGTCAATATATCTTAATAACTTAAAAAAGATACAATCAGTATAGTGTAAACCAGTATATGTGTTTTATAGCTTACCTTCAGCTTCTAGTTTGGACTTGACCTTAATATTTCTGCGTAAGATTAAGATCAAACGAGCTTAAAGGCGAAGGAGTGATGTTAGAATTGTCAAACCAAGTACAAATCATTCAATATTCATTTATTTTTAATTACCATGTTGTTTTTTACTATATTTTCTTGTTTCCAAGTCTAAAGGATAGCCAAATCACAGATCGCACGTTGTGATTACGTGCACTTTGGCTGTCCCTAAGAAAAGCGAATATAATATCATGCCTAATTTAAATATGTTAGCTATTGGCTATTCAATCTTAAAAAGCAAAAGATAAAATAGAATGCTTACCAAAATATCTGACATAATATTGGCATGGTGTTTCAGCACCATCAGCCTTTTGTATTTTTAACAACTTGATGAACTGTTCAATGAGCTTCTTTTCATCATTGGTTTCTTTTTTATCAGTGCTGTTAAAATCAGTTCCCCCAGAAAGCTCCACAAACATAGGGGTCACCGTCTTATTTTCTATTACGAATACAACGCCATCCCACTTTGTATTGCCTGTGACACTTGCAGTTTTCTCGACCCTAAATATTCTGTAAGATATATAAAAAGAAAGGTATTCTACAACATTTACCATTGCATATCGAGTATGCCATTTCTTGATACAAATAGGTTGTGCAAGACGGGTATAGTAGCCAAAAAGCTTGCATTTCTTTCTAATTGCTTTTGAAGTAATGTGTTGCGTGGACTATCAATCATGTTTGAACTACACGTTTAACATTAGCTGCCGGTATACTATTTAGCCAATAAATATCAAAATTGTTCAACTTACAGATGGGTACACATGACTTCAGTAAAACTTAAATCCACATGAATGATCGGATCGAAAATATCGATCGTTTCTGCGATGTACAACTTGATTGTTTTTCTTAGTAATCTTGTACTTGGTTCGCAACCATTTATCTTATTTTGCAAGGATGAAAAGACATCAGGTGGTTTTTTTGTGGGCAAATCAGTAGCCTTGGTTAATTGAAGTATTTCTTCCTTCGCAGCTTTAGAAACCTTTAAATTTTTGTTTTGCAACAGAGAAATAAATTGAGCAACATCTTTTGGTTTATACTTAGTTGGTGTCCAAATCATATTAGGTAGAGGCGTTGCTTCTAATTCAATTTTTTTCCATAGCCACTGCTGTATTATAACCATCATCTTCATCCTCGGACGAAGACTCATAATCTGGAATACCTTCCATCTGGTACAGCGACTTAATAGCTGCTCCATCTTGTTTTGACTGGTAATCAGGTCCTTTATCACAAGCGAATTCGCCAGAGGATAGATACTGGTAAAATCTGATTGTGTTGTACATTGTAAGTAATAATAAATAGGTTAATTTTATAAAAAGTGTAAGGATGAGCAGAGTAATTATATCATTAAGAAAGCACCAAAGCCAAAATGCCAAGACTCTTTACACCAATTCTAAACAAAGTAGCATTTGAGAAACGTTGTTGTTTCTAACTCATGGATTTGGAAAAGCTCTCAGGAAATGTTTGCGTTTCTGACTCTTGAGATATTTATTTCTGTGTTAACCCTCTGGTTTACAATAATTCTACTGTTGGTTTTTTTTTCTACTGCTGATAATTTTTTTTTCTATTGACCTCAAGAAACCCTATTGTTAAAAAAAATATCTATTGCTCAATAAAAATTTCTATTGGTTAAGAAAAATTTCTCTTGTCAAGATTAAAAATTCTATTTTCAACGCAATTCACTGTACGGCACAACTGCCGAACTCTTATTGGAAGTTTGTTGTTCATAAAATATATTTTCTACAAAGCATCGACTATTAATGTCTCCAGTATGGGTTTATTTTCTTGGTATGCTCTTTGACCTTCATTCAGCAATCACCCTTATTTTATTGCATATCAATGATAAACTAATAGATATATTTTTAAGGGATTAATTGTCGCTATGAGTTTAGTGATCGAGGCCTTCTTCAAAAAATTTAAAGTACATATGCCCAATAATCTTCCCTTTCGAACAGATGGTTTTTTTGCAGTGATTTGTTTTTTTAATAGCCGTAGTTGATTGAAATTAAGTCAAATAGTAACTTATAGTGGATTAGTTATTGGTTACTATTTCCTTTTGATGGTGTCGTTATATAATAAAATATATTTTTACGGGCTGCTACAATCAATCACCAATAATGATGTATTCCTTTAAAACACGAATTAAACTATGCATAACCCTATTTAAAAGTCATCGTTATTCATTTTGAGAAGAATGATGACGCCAGCCGGTTTTTATCTCTAACTATTGGTATTAATCGATGCCAATTGCCATACAATGATGATTGTAATTTTTGAAATGCTATTTACATAAAAGAATAGTCATAACTATTTATACTTTTGACATTACTTCTGTTTGAGACACTAGCAAATGAAAAATAATTACAAAGGAGATAGACAAAAAAAAATTATCTCAACTGGTTTTTTATCCACACACATACACTTCCTTTTCCTCACTCCCTATCCCTACCTTCCTATCCCTACCTTCCTATCATATTGATATTATTTAGGTGCTTTATGGATTTTCGATTGGTCGGTTTTTTTTATTTATTTTTTTGCTAAATTGCCACTTGTCTAACGACTGTGGGTATAAAAGCAAAAAGCCATTGATGTTTATCTGCATTTAAGATAACAAGTTATCGATAGTGCGGCCGGTAGTACTAAAAAAAATCTACCAAGGCCTTGGTTTTAGCATGTAAATACAAGGGAAATGATGCTTTATAGGGCATAATAAAAAGGACATTATAAAATACGAAAAAAGAATCATTTTTTATTATGACTACAACTTATTACCAACTACTGGTTTTTCAGTCGCTTCCCTATGTCATTTTAAAACCATACCTTCCATCTACTACTGAGACATTTACTTCCCTACATAAATGTATCATCAAACCCTTCATCTTTTGCATCGAGCTTTTTTATGACCTCGCCTAAAGGATGGCTATGTTTGAGTTGGCTAGATTAAATTTTCCATGATTGTCCAGCTGCTCCATATTTTTACCAATGTAAACAGCCGTTGTCAAGCTAGTTCTTCAGGTAGTTATACTACGTTGTCGGAAACTGCTCCTTAGTCATTTGTTTGTAGCGTCCTCTTTTCACCATGTTAACAGATCTACCTTTTCCCTGTTGGTAGCTCGATATCTGCTAAAATGTCTTATGTAAAGATCAGCGCTTTTAATAGCCTAACAGGGATATTGTCAACCTTGCAATAAAAACCGTATTTATAGTCTCGAGTTCACCTTGTAAATAAACGTCTTTTCAACGGGAAATCTCGCGTTAAAGGTAGTCCTTAACTTGTCTACTTTACCTCAGCAAAAAAAGTAACATGTCGTGTCGCTTCGTGATGAGTTCATCAGAATATCCTTAGTCCTAAGAATCTGTTGTCTAATTCTTCGTTGATGCTGGAATGCTGTTCAAAGATTTCCTCTGTCCAAGCCTGTTCATAAATAGCTGGTTTTCAAAAATTTAATTTCATAATAAGCTGTGAGAAAAAGTTTTAAGCCGGCTCGGAATTGATTAATTGGAAAAATGGTTCCCACTGCCTATAATTAACCTTCATCCTTTCCATCCCAAAGAACCATTTTATGGAATTACCTTTGCCATTACTGACTCATTCTTGGTATCGTAAAAACTGTGTCATAAACTGTAATAATAGTATTCTTTTCAACCAGGACGCTATCAATTCTTACGATTTTCCTTTACACTTTAGGATTTGCACGACCAACATGAATCACTGTTCATATAACAAGACTTTACAGCTTTGAAGGTTTTCATGGTTCACATTCGACATTCTTATGGCTAGTTTATGAGTGGATGATTGGGAATGAAAGACATTTATACTCTACCTGCGAATTATGATTAACAGTATCTAAACACAACGAGCTGGCGGGATCAAGTTTATGTCGTTTTACCAAAAAGTTATACTCATTCTTCCACACCAGTATGCCATTCTCTCAGTCTACAATTAGATGGGTTAAAATACAAACACCTTTTACACACGAGCAACAAAACACCCATTAGTTTACCCTTGAAGGCTTGTATTAGGCGAACGAAATTTAAGCAAATTTGCAGACGAGGATAAAATTACCAGCCAAAAGGGAGATCGAAGGATAGACGTTTAAAGCCTTGTACGCAAGAAGCTAACAAATCTGGATGTATAGACATAATCGTGATCAAAATAGTGTGGTGGAGACAAATGGAATCGAGGATGTGGAATCGAACGTCTTATTAGAAGTGCTTTTGGACTTGTTAAAGCAATACGATGAAGATCAAGTCGAGGAAGGACAGGATATACACCAATCATAGTAATATTTTAAGAGGGATATAGACAATTGTGACATAGTTGAGGATCAAACTTGGGAACAATTCGGCTGACTATTTGGATTTATCATCTGACGACGAGGGGAAACACTGTTATTACTTAATCAATCTTTCACTCAAAATGACCGTATTACACGCCCAACTATTCTGCGCCAGAAATAATCATATGTGCAAGCAGTATGTTATCGATAGTAGCAATATATGATTACAACAGATAGCGAGGTTTAGTATACTCGTACGTCTGGGGGTTAGGGCAGTGTTGAAATTGGATAAACGAAAAGGATGCCAGGGTAGCAGTTATAATTCAACCTGGCGGATCCTCGAGTCTAGAGGTACAGGTATCATGAATCTCTATGAAATGAACCGAGATTCTAGTACTTTTGTGGGGGGAACTAGCAGAATAAAACGAAAACAGTAATGCTTATCACAGCCTAAAAAAAAAAAAAAAAAAAAAAAAAAAAAAAAAAAAAAAAAAAAAAAAAAAAAAAAAAAGAGAAAGAAACGACGAGGATTTGGATGATAAAATGAAGACTATGAAACATCAATGAATTGTAATCCCTGCGTTTGCAAGATGCATTCTTCTTTGTTGTACACAGTCTGACAATTATGCTATACATATTTAAAAAAAACTGATGGTGAGGTTAAAGCAGATATAAATAATTGGGGCACATTGGGCGTCTATTAGATGTTTCTTTTTTTTCTCCCTAGGAGTCTTTCATTATTTTAAAATTAAAATCAAGTTATTTTTTCAGAGTTATCATTTTAAGTGCTTAGCTCAATCCATGTGACATTATCTTTAAATCAGATTACAAACATACACGACTTCTTATTTTTAAAGCCTGGTTTTTTTCTGTTGAGCCATCTAGTTAAAAATCACAGCATTTAACTTTAAAGCTGCCGCGATATCAATTAACATTTTTTTGGGACCTTCACCTTCACACAGGACAATATAATAGTTGCAGCTACCTTTTTTTTTATCCGCGTCTTACCTGGTATATATATACTCGAATGAAACTACAGAGCTCTGATGGAATTGATAATATCACAGAAAAAAACAATGCCTACTTCATCCATTATAAGCTTCTTGAGAAGCACATTCATTCTGATCCCAGTAAGTGACAAGGTTGTTTTTATGGGTGATACTGAGACGCTTTGATTCCGACTGATAGCATGCTCTTAATAATAAGTCACACTTGTCACTTTAAATAAAATATTAAAAACGCCGTTTGCGTGTCTCACTTTCTTCCTTACAATCTACTCGAAGTAATCTTACTGTTGGAATGCATTGTGATTAGCAAAAAACTAAGTTGACACAACGATACAAAGCTTGAAATTCAATCATAATCCCACCATCGCGATCTTCTTCAACCGTTTATAGTCTTTTCTCTAGTCTTTATCGAGTCTGTAATAACTTGACCAGGTTTAAGAACGAAATTAAGAATGATCTTTATAAACACAAAACTGATCCTCTTAATTTCTGGTTGTATGCCTTCAGCTGCTGTGACTAACTGACCGCAAGAAGGCCTTATTCACCGTAAAAGACTACAGTATAATGAGCTTCGATTTTTTGCGTTATAGATCGCCTATATTCACCAAATAAAAAAAAAGCAAGGGGGAGGGGGAACTATCGACAAAATAATATGGTTTACAATTTGTCTTTCAAGGCAATTAAGGCCCCTTTGTTGGTGACATTCTGGTCTAGCCTACATCGTGGAATTAAACTCGTCTTGTATGCTGTTAGTTATGAACCAGTTTCGTAAAGATTTTGAATGAGTGTAGCAACTGGAACTTACAGGTGTTTATAATTATGACAGCTGAAGTTAGAATTCTTGCAAAAAAAAAAAAAAGAGTAGTATATTTCGGTAATATTCCATGTAATCAGTGAGCATGCAGAAACAATTAAATTAATAGACATATATCTTCATGGAAATAATGTGATTTATACAGAGTTTCTTATCTTATATCGTAAATAGTGGGGTCGTTTCTCATACTATGCCTCTTTATGTATTTTTTTTGTAACAGTCTCTGTTCCAATGTAAATCTTTTTATTTACTTCGACCAACAATAAATCCGTCTTTTATGTTTTTGTCATAAATTTTCTTTTTTTAAAAATAAACAAACATAGCAGCCAGTGGGTTCTGGTTGTAGACAAAAGCATATAACGATAATGGTTATTATTTTAAAGATGTTATCCAACGGCTACCCCTTTTACCAGTGGATACCACAATTTTATCTCCCCGTTCCCCTTTCTTTTATTTTCTTATTTTGTTACTGCGAAAGAGATAC